CCGAGTTGGATGCGTCTACAGTGATGCCAATTGGTGCTTTGGTGTCCTAATGTGCGAGCATTGTTGCTTGTGAGATTAGTTCTTTAAGTGTAAGGAATGCTTTATTCGAAGTGCCGTACAAATTGATGGATTTTGCATTTCCACAAAGTTGGTCTGACAAAGGCCTTATGAGGGACACGCATTCCGGTATGAACTGTCAACAAAACCTCATCAGGCTGCTGAACATCCGTAGCTGCTTGATTGTTGTCGCTTCTAGGTAATTCGGAATGGCCGCTACTTTGCTTTTCAGATGGTGAATGTGTTTGAGAAAAACTAAGAAGTCAGTTTGATTTGAAATTTCCGAATGTTTACAGTGAAGATGCCACAGGTATTCGGAGTTTGACAACTCCTTAACCAGTAACACCTTCTAATATGAAGCGTACTCACCAAGTGAAATCAAAAGACAGAAGCGAGAAGGTCCGAAGATATATTTGATAGGTTACCAAAATATCGAGGATCGTGCGATCTAATTCAGCTAGCGATTGCAAGGCTTTTTAAGCACGGCGTTCCTACTCGTAATCTGGTGTGGATGCGTGACCGCAATACATAACAATTAGAATAAAGAAATGGTATAAAAAGTTTTGAAATGGGAAAGAATCACAGTCAACGAGTTGGTGTATCAGATCACACCGGGCTCATAACTAAAGATGACACAAGTATTTTGGAGTTTGACAACACCCTGACCAGTAACAAATTCTGTAATAAAAACGTGCACACCCAGTGAAATCAGAAGTCAGAAGCGATGGGTCCGAATATATACTTGACAAGCTATCAATATATCGACAAGTGACTGATCTAAACTGGCTAGCGGTTGCAGGAGAAGTTGATCACAGCGTTCCCACTCATGATCTGGTGTGGATGCGTGACCGAGCGCCTTCAGCTAAGTGAGTCCATTGAAACTAATGTGGTCAGCTCCAATGTCGAGGATTTACAGAGCTATTTATTGTGAGGATTTATTTACCACTACAGATCATTTGAGGAATAAGACAACAGGTCTCGGGTTTTGGCGCGAAATTCACTCATCCGCTAAGTACAGTTTTGGCGTTGTAGCTAATGTCAGTTCGTGATGAAAACCCTAAATCTAATTCCTGACATAAACCATGAACTGCAAATCACAATTCTAATTCCTCACACTGTATTATGACTCTCATTTGGTTCTAATTATTAAATGGACATTCTCAGGGTTACTTTAGCGTCGCTCAAAGGTCGTCCATAGATTATAGTCTTACTGTCTATATATATATATATATATATATATATATATATATATATATATATATATTCAACCAGCAATTAGTGGCTATAGACTGGCTCCATATCCTTTTGTTATTCAACCCCGAGGTTGAGATCTCATTGGCTTAGTCATTTCCGACTGTGATCAAAGAAAAAGGTTACTTCAACCACTGAATTTTTGGTGATATAAACCAACAGTTAAAGATGTTAAGTCATATGCCTCGGAGTTAATCACAATTAAGCCTGGAATGTATCTACATTGCTTATAACTGAAGCGCACTTTTAGTAGTATTGATCTGGACATTTAATTTTCTGTTAGTCACGAACTCTTACTCATCTCCAGTTATCGTTTTATGTTTCTCAGCCAACAGCGATCACAAAGCATTTAGTGGACGTAAAAAATCGGCATGAACAGTTTTTACCACAATTTACCGAAAATTGTGTGTAGATTTGATTAAACATATATTAATGATTAGGAGTTGCATGCCCACCTTTCTGGGAGTATTAGTTCGACGTTTTTGAAGCGTGAATCAATTACCAACCGTGATGTTCAGAACATTAATCCAAGTTTTGATTTTGAAACATGGAACGGGGATATGAATAGGTAATTATGGAGTTTTACTTACCTTTAAAATTATGTATGTAGGTGTTTTGATGCTTTCCGAACAATCCACAAATTAATTGAAACACCAGAGATTTTGGAGAGAGTATGCATTTTTGATATAATAGTTTATTTACACTTTGATAAACATGCCAGTCAGTCAGTTACAACGTAGGACCAGGTACATATATACAACGGTCCAAGTTGCCACACCTCATTAGCACAACAAAACAAACACCAAATTCACAGTAGTTTTTTCGATGGCAGTAATATGTAAAGAAGGATTGCATATAAGGATATGATACAGGCAGAGTGAATTAGTTCATAGAAAGGGAGATATAAAGTAATTTTAATCTCACGGTTCAAGGCAGGACAGATAGTTTATACACCTACGCCGTTGTGATCGGTTCTGTCACACAGTCTCCAACCATTGGTTAAGATAGTCGCGCAGACCCCAACCAAGTAGTCTGCGTCTACCAACATGGCTCAGACCGGAAGTTAGTGACTTTATGGACTGATACCACGTTTTAGTCTGGCCGCCCTGACTTTCTTTCATCCGTCTTCAACACTAGTTGTTCGATGGTAATATTTTTGTGGATGAAATTGTACTGGTGACTGTAGTGGAGTATATCAAGAGAGGCTTTTTGAGAGAGTATCTAACTATATTGCCTTCTCATAGTTAATATGGGTTATTATATGACCGATGGATGTACTACACCTCTTAGCTCTGCTGATTTCCCTCAGTGTAGTCAGGTTATGGATCTTATTCTACATTAGCCTTCGATATATATATATATATATATATATATATATATATATATATATATACATATATCAGGTCTCGGGTTCACCCTTCCATCTTGACAAACCACTAGTACATATTCGTTTTTCTATATATCAAGAAGTAATCATTCATGTTATGGGAATGAAAGGAGTACCGATAATTTGTATACATTTTCAGCAATTGATGCACACCAATTTTTACATTGCCCTCTTCATTTCCTTCCGTACTTGTTGTCAACACTTAGACGGTTATTTCTAATGTTCTTATTTGTACAGAGTAAATGATCTTGCAATAAAATATCCCGATATCCGAATGTCAAGTTATTTCTTTCGTAGTTTTATTTTAATTGAGAAAAATTCTCGTTTAGTTCCTGAAGTTCATTTCATGTAATTGATTTTAATTTGACTGATAACTTAGATCTTTATAGTGTGGAGTATAATCAAGGAGTTTGTGAAACATTATGATGCAGATGTATGATTTTTCACCGCGAAGAAAATGTACAGAAAAACATCTCAACAGGATTTGTATTTGAAGTACCACAAAATGACAGTAAAATAAAAAAAATAATAAAATGATACATCAAAATTATCTATATAATTCTTCAGTTGAAATTGTTTCAGAGTGTAAAAGTCTTTTTCCTGAAAATTAGGTTAAATGTCATTAGCCAGGTTCTGTTCAAATATTAAGTTCTCTAGCCACCAAATTAATCTTTCCTAACATTAACTTTGTTTTTTGCATTGTTTTTGTGTTCCTGACCCTTAAAAGCGTTTATTTGTACATGTTGTTGGTGTAACATGAATTTCCATATAAAAATATTTGGGTTTTACAATAATTATTATTCGTTTCACTTGCTACACGTCTACACTAAATTGTAGGCTACAACTTCCGTTATTGAAGAATTTCATCAAGAAAACGTCATTCTTTTGGAATTGAGGACTACGTTACGACCAATTCCAACTCATCGTTCTTATTTGAATGCGGTAATCAGAGGAATACAGAATGCACCGAGTGTACTTGATAATAAAATATATGTGACATTAATACTATCTATAGACAGGTCTAAAAGTCTTGATGAAGCGTTACTCACTTTAGAGTTAGCAAAGGAATACTATTCTAATGGATTGGTATCAGGCATTGATCTCAGCGGGAATCCACTAGTAGGTTCATCTGTTTAAAAATTCCTAATGACTTAATTTTCATAATTTCATATTTGATTGTACTTCCTCTACTAAATTGATCCATAACTCAACCCAACAACGGTTAACCATTGACCTCGCCCATACGTAGCAAGATTTTTACTACTAAGCTGTGTTTCAATTCGATGTTGTGGAAAATCTAGTTCAACCAATTGTGGTCGGTTACTTTTCCACGTGCAGAGATAAACGTCTTTGGTGTCGTAGGGTTTGGAAGCATTCCCAGAAAAACGAGCCAGGCGTAACGTTACCCTTGAAATCGCGCGGCAGTGCCTTCACTTTTGCCAGAAATTATGCAAGTTGATCTGTCACTCCGTGCTCGTGGAAGTCGGCTTCTGAGTATCAGAACCGGGATTCGATATTTTCAATCCAGAATGGCATGAAATGGAAGGTGGGTAGTGTGAGAGTCTTAATGTTTAGCAGTTTGGGTGTCTATTTCGTCATCATGTGGATCAAATTTATAAATGGGCAAAAAAGCTCTGAGAACACGAAAATCTCTATTATAGTATGCGAAAAATAGATATAGTGTAACCACAAAGAAAAGACAGTTTATTTTTTGGTGTATCGGACCGAATCGGGTTCGCCACCTAGGATGTCACGGACATTCAGGGTTTGACAACGCGTTTGTCAGTAAGACCCTCATGATTGGAAGATATCAACCCAGTCAAACCTTAGGTCAGGGATAAATGAGTTCGAAAATATGTTCGTGAAGTCACCGATATGTTGAGAAGCGTCTGATTTAAGCTGGCTAGCTGTTACAAAGGATGCATATGCATCCACGCTATATAGCACGTAGTACCTATCTGTGATCCGGCGCTGATGCCTGACAGAGCACCTTCAGCCAAGACACATCCAGTGAGATTAGTGAGGTCAGAAGAAACGTCAAGGACTTACAGAACTATTTGTTTTGTTGGTTTACTTACCGCTACAATGGATAATAATAAAGTTAACGCTGAGATTCTCCATTCCATTTTGTTATTCATCATAAAGTTATGATGTTAACAGCAAAATATCATGTATTTCAAACCTTCTGTTGTTTCGTCTGTATTGTCGACTTGACAGCTTTCATAAGAAGCAGGTTGGCAGTATCTGTTTTACAGTATAGTGTGATGAGGTATTGACCTAAGGCGTCAAAATCGAAAAGTCCGGGATGGGTGTTCCAAAGTTCTTTAGATGGATTAGTGCTCGATACCCTTGCATCAACCAGATTTTGCGGCCAGGAGAGGTTGGTACTGTCTAGGAATTTGTTTTCTATTATATTTCTTAAAATATTGACGCTACAACAAAGCCTCGTACATTAAATTTTATTGTAACTAGCATTTACTGTAGACTACACTGCCATACCATGTCAGCCTCAATTTAGGAGTTTATCAAACTTCTTTGGATTTTCGAACATACAGCGCTGAGTTAATTATAGCGATAAAAATGCCCATGTGAGGTAAATGTATTTTATCAGAACTAAAAATACAGTATTTTAAAGTTGACCTGGGAATGATTAAGCTAAGAAACTACTAATAATTAGCTCCTGTTTAGTTAGTAACGAAGGTACCAAATTATACATTATTCAAATCACTGGTATATGATGGATTCATCAGGTGGATAGCCTTGAGGTTGAATGTGGGATTTTAGGTAGAAATTGAGTCGTTTAGTGAAAATTTAATTCGTTGTGGACAAACGTGCTTGCAGCATTTGTTATAAATATCAAGCCACCACCCATCGGACACAAGAAGGCAGAGACTTTCTAGTTGGTCCTCCAGGAGCTTGTAACTAAAGTTACTTGCTATACATTGACATCACTTCAACTAAATCAACAGTCCAATTAAACAAAGCAATTCAGATACGTTTTAAGAAAATTGATAAGTCTCATTTGTTATTTCACCCACTCTAGGAGCGTCAGAGGGGACATCCATTTCTCGAGACCGAATAAATTAAGTTTTCAACTTCACTTCGTGCATTTGGGCAACATGCCTTAACTTCCCAGTAAGGTTGTTTGTTAGCCAAAACACGGTTCTAGACTGTTACAGATATTTGTTAGCATCCTGGAAATTGAAAACGGTGGAATACATACAATCCTCAAGGTCGATTTATGTGAGTCATTCTCTCAATAATCTGTTTGATAGAATACTACTTATGATTCTTCTTGGTAAAGCGTGGATTCAATTCCTTTTTCTGGAGTGATTGTAAGTTGGTCAACAGTTTTCTATGGACAGTGACAACATTTATTATCAACAATATTTGTCACATGGATTATTGGGAAACAAATTAGTCCGTCCATAACGAGCTAATGGTTTGCGTTGTTTCATCACATGGAGCATCATGGTTATACATTTTATGCTCATATTACCGTTTATTACGTATATTTTCTTAATGGGTGTATTATCCTCTATTCTTAAAGATCCCTGTTATCGATCACTTTTATTTGGACATGAACGGTATACTTCACACTTGTTCACACCCAGAAGGTGGTAAAATAATCTTTTCGGAAGAGATTATATTTCGAAATATTTGTCTATATATTCAAGTAAAGTTGGCGTGCATCTAGTAAACTGCTTTTTCAGTTCTTGTTCAACCTCATTAAGCCACGTAAGACTTTCTTTATGGCCGTGGATGGTGTTGCACCTAGAGCTAAAATGACGCAGCAACGTGCTCGCCGTTTCCAGTAAGTATTCATTCGAATGTATTGACATTATGTTTCTTTGATAAATATTTATAATTGCATTTCAATTTTACAGATCTGCTTTAGAGGCTCGTATTGCCAAAGAGAATTTAAAAGATAGTTCACCTGAGACCCACTCATTCGACCCATGTGTGATTACTCCAGGTATGTAATTTTGTAATTGGATCACTTTCAGTAAGTTGTGTAAAAATAAATAAAAGTATATTCAAGTCTCACAACGACTTCATCAGAACGTTGGCTGAAGATTTATGTTTAATTTATGGCGGGAGTGACATTTTACCGTTTACTATTAACTTTGCTGTTATGTTTTGCAGAGCACGTTAATTAAGTCGTGATATTCTTGAGTCATCCATTTGTCAGAATATTAGTAAATGTTAGTTTCATTACTGAATTGCCGATAGTTTATGTTTTAGTTTAACATTCATGTTTATTCATTATAGGTAAGGGAAACATCTAAATTAGTATTATTTAAGCTGTATCAACGATTTTTGTAAGCGAAACTAAAGAACCAGATGTTCGTTTCTGATCGCCAACCAACTGTATTATATTGTCATTATAGAAAAAATGAAGGTTGTATTTGTCCTAATGTCAGTGATGTACTTACGTACGTACCATCAGTTCAGCACCTTACAGAGTTAATATCATAATTATGCTGACAACAGTCAACAAATAAGAAAGCGGAGATAGTGTAAATAAAAGACAAGATATTTATAATTTAAAAGATGAAGAGTATCACATAAGACCTTAAACTGCTAGTTTTGATCCTCTTACAGACTTAAACTATAAAACATCGGACTGAAGATAAGTGAATCAATAAATTACTATCATTTTTAGTGGAGAAATGTAAAATGAATACTTTCGTGCACATATGCTGAACACTAACACTGGAGAGCAAACACTGACATAAACTTGATAATGACGTGTCCGGTAGATGTTTCTCACTTTTTGTTTCCAGAATTACAAATTAGAGGTGCTGATTTGTGATGTAGATGTCTAGTTTGTTGGGTAAAAATCTGATCAATTGAAAACGTAGGATTGTGCAGTGCGATAAGTGCTAATGAGATTATGTCTCTTATTTTGTCACTCTCACTATTAGTCCCGAACAATAATAAAGTGTCGAAGTGCTGATTACAAAATCACATTCGTATTCTATTTATTCTTGTGACAAAATGAAACTTTTTAGCAACCTCAAATATTATCTAAAGTTATGTACAATATGGTCTGTTAACATATACAAGAGGGTGTTAAAATCATCCTGTGATAACCATAGAAGGATTAGTTTGACTAACATAGCATCTAAAATACTAACCTCAATAATCGTCGGATGCCTAACTAAGACCCGATAACTGAGAACACGAGAGAATAAAGATGGCTTCAGACCTGGTCGTGGCTGTATCGACCACATATTCACCATTCCTCAGACTTTAGAACACAAGCAGCTTATTGGCGTCCGACAATGGTGGTCTTTCTCGACTTAAAAGCAGCATTTGACTCTGTAGATCGCGAGATTCTGTGGCAGTGTCTGTCATTGAAAGGTATACCTCAAAATCGCATAAACCTTGTGAAGGTTCTTTACTCGAACACTACAAGTTGAGCCAGAGCTTATGGCAAACTGTCGTCTGCTTTTACAACCTCAGGTGGTGTCCAACAAGGCTGTCCACTTTCTCCATTTTTGTTGAACTTCATCATAGACATACTGATGGAAATAACTTTCTCGTCGACTGAGTTCTCGGGTATTGATCTCCATCCAGGAGGTCCGCTTATCGACTTAGAATACGCAGATGACATAGTCCTGTTTGGTGAAGACGCTGACAAAATGCAGTCTTTTGGTAGCACTAAGCAACAATGCCAGAATGTTTGGAATGCGCTTCTCTCCCTCTAAATGCAAGTTGTTGCTTCAGGACTGGCCTGCGTCAACACCTGAACTAAGGAAAGGGAGTGAAGTAGTCGAACGCGTTGACAACTTCACTTATCTTGGAAGTCTGATCAGCCCTAATGGGTTGGTGTCTGACGAAATCTCAGCACGGATTCGAAAAGCTCGATTGGCTTTTGCCAACTTGCGTCACCTTTGGCGAAGGCGAGATATCCGTCTATCAATAAAAGGACGGGCATACTGCGCGGCAGTCCGTTCTGTTTTACTTTACGGCAGCGAAACATGGCCACTAAGAGTAGAAGACACTCGTAAGCTATTAGTATTTGACCACAGATGCCTTAGAAATATTGCTGGCATCTGCTGAGATCACTGGGTAAGTAATAGTGAGGTTAGACGCAAAGTATTAGGGAATGATGGTAAATCAGTTGATGAGGTTATGAATCTTCATCGACTGAGATGGTTGGGCCACGTGTTACGTATGCCTGAACACCGATTACCACGAAGTGCAATGCTATCCGGTATTGGAGATGGTTGGAAGAAAGTTAGGGGCGGCCAAACCAAAACGTGGTATCAGTGCTTGAAGACACTAACTTCTAGTCTGAGCCATGTTAGTAGATGCAAACTACTTGGTTGGGGTCTGCGCGACTATCGTAACCGATGGTTGGAGACTCTTGGTGAGATGGCTCAGAATCGATCACAATGGCGTCGGTGTATATACTCCCTGTCTTCCCTTAAACTAAGAGATTAAAATCACTTCATATCTTTCTTTCTACGAACCAATTCTTTCTTCTTGTACTATATCTCTATATGCAATCTTTCTCTTACATATTACTACCTTTGACCTAACCACTGCTATGAATCCGGTGTTCATCTCGTTGTGCTGATGCGGTATGGCAACCTGGACCGATGCACATATGTGCCTGGTCCTACGTTGTAGCTGACTGACTGACTGACTTTCAATTCCAATCAATCGCATTTGATAATTACGTGGAAACCACCCATGCAAATACAGCCTATTACTTGTTAAATACCTACCACTTTGTTGTGTGTAAGAAAAATGTAAATTTTTGTGTTTTGGACCTGACATTGGTGAAATTGAAAATGTTTGACTGCTTTTATTGTTATCCAATGTTCGCAGCGTGGGAGTTTGCGAGGAAACAGTTGACTGATGTTGTTTTACTTTGAAATCAATATAAATTATATTCACTGAAGAAATCTGGATGTGACCGTGGCTAATGAAGAAGTTCAAACCTTTGATTTCGTAATGACTAAATCATATACATAATCGAAACAAACTATTTCCTTATTTTTTATCAGTGATGATAATTTGGTGATGAAATGTTTTTGTGAGACATAATTACTTAAAAACGTCTACCCAGTGATTTTGAACGAACGTTTTCAAATTACGTTAAGGAAGACGTAAGTACATCAATTATCACAAAGTCTTAGTTTTTGCGTGGAAGGTCATAATTTTTACACGAATCATGGAAGTCTTTTTTAATGCATCTTCCTCAGTTACTGGCAAAAGAACAGGGACATCTTGTCTATATAGTTGGATCATACATTTAAAAATAAGAGCTTTATCGTTTGATGTTAGACTATACTGCATTGTTGTTCATATAAATCCCTGGACAATAAATCCTGCTTAATTAGATGTCACACTGATTTGTCGTCCTGAACTTAAATTTCACAAAATAAGCGTTGGTATACATTAGAATTGGGATTACGATTTTTTACTTTTTATTTTTAGGTACTGAATTCATGGAGCGGTTACATCGTTATATTGTTACATTTGTAGAAAATCATGTAAATCATGATGCTGACTGGCAATGTATTGATGTCATTTTATCTGGGCATGATGTAAGTCTGTAAGCTTAGTTTGTTGATAACATCACTTCTCATGTTAAAAAATCCTACGTATAACTTCTCTGTGTAATGATGCTAAGCCCTGAATGTAGCTTAAGCTTAAGTTCGAAAATGAGCTGATGTATACGTCTTTAAACTACATATATTCTCTGATCAGATCGCTTTTGTTTCACAGTTATTCTCAGTAATAAAATATTGTCATTTCATTTCGTTCACTGTCAAATAATGATAGCGCTATAATAATTAACGTTACTTATTAGTTAGGTCCATTTTCATAGCCCAATTAAACTTCGTCCGTTCCGTAATGGTTAAGATTATTATTTAATCACCGGGTTACAAGTTCGAACGTAGCTTCTTTTTTACTTTGAAGACTACCATTTATTGTACCCGAAAATGGTACGTCAAAGCCGAGGCTTCCGTCGTACTTCGTAGGTTGTTCAAAACCCGATAAAGATTGACTCGTGAGGAGCAGGCTGGGTTTCTTTCTGGTCGAGGATGTATTGATCATATCTTCACCCTTCGCCAAGTGTTAGAACATCGCCATACTTTTCAAAGGTCAACAATCGTAGTGTTTCTTGACATCAGGGCTGCCTTCGATTCGTTGGACAGCACTGTTCTCTGGGATTGTCTATTGAAGAAGGGTGTGCCTGAGAAGTTTATTAACATCCTAAAGGCCCTATATACAAACACCTCAGACAGAGTGAGGGCATACAACCACCTCTCTCCATTGTTCCATTCGAGCATTGGGGTTAGACAGGGTTGCCCAATCTCACCATTCCTCTTCAACTTTGCCATCGATGACATTCTGGAAACAGCTCTGATGGATGTAAGTAATACCGGTGTGGATCTGTTGTCTAGAGAAAGACTTCTCGGCCTTCAATATGCGGATGATATTGTCTTACTGTGCGATAATGCCCAAGCCATGCAATCCGCACTTAATCAGTTAGCAATCAGTGTCCGTAGGTATGGTATGTGCTTTGCACCTTCGAAGTGCAATGTACTTCTGCAAGAGTGGCAGGATCCTAATCCTGTACTCACCCTGGATGGTGAGCAGATAGAAGTAGTCGAGAAGTTCGTATATCTGGGTAGCTGCATAAGTGCTGGTGGGGCTGTGAGTGATGAGATCAATGCACGTATAGTGAAAGCCAGAGCGGCTTATGCCAATCTGGGCCATCTTTGGCGCCTTCGTGATGTTAGTCTGGCTGTAAAAGGTCGGATCTACAACGCGTCGGTGAGAACAGTCTTGCTCTATGCTTGTGAAACCTGGCCTCTCCGAGTTGAGGACGTTAGAAGACTCTCTGTGTTCGATCATCGCTGTCTCCGAAGGATTGCTGACATCCAGTGGCAACACCATGTTAGTAATGCAGAGGTTCGGCATCGTGTGTTCGGGCACAGAGATGATAATGCAATTGGTGTCACCATCTTGAAACACCGACTTCGGTGTCTTGGGCATGTTCTACGAATGTCGTCCCAGAGAATTCCACGCCGTGCATTATTTGCCGACTCTGGGACTGGTTGGAAGAAGCGGAGAGGTGGTCAGTGTATGACATGGTGTCTTGGCATGAAAGAAAGCTGCAAAGGACTAGCTTGTGTCGGTCCTTCACGACTCCCTGGTTGGGGTCCGAGAGATGGTGCAACACAGTGGCTAGAAACGTTATCAGATATGGCTCAGAATAGAAGCCAGTGGCGACCATGATGTAACCTTCCTTTACTTTCTTCATAAAAAAGTGGTTGTATCTTCCTTAACTGAAAGATTTCTTCTGATTGTACCCTTCTGTTCCCCTACTATTGCTATTATTATTATTACACTACCTTACACCAATCTCTTCGTTATTGCTTCTTATTTTTTTTGCGTTCCTCACTTTTTTTTCTCTTTGTTTTGTGTGGCGCATATATATTTGGCGCACTCCTGTACCAATATATATGTGTTCAAATAAATAATTAAATAAATTACCGAGCATAACTCAATTTACGTGGTTTTGAATCATACTGTTTTTGTGAGGGCTAGTAATATTACCTGGCTGCCCATACCAAATAGGTTGATGGAGGTGTTGTGTTCTTAGAGCTCCTGACGTTCTCATCCTGAGTTACGAATATTTTTTACCTTAGAAGTAGGCTGACTTAAATTCAAACGTCTTATCTGTTGGCCAAACACTAGTTTAGGAACTGTTAAGGAACCAACTTACTAGTTGTTTGCTTTATAAACAACTTTCAGTTAATGTTCAAAAAGATTGTTAAGTGGTACTTTTAACTTCCATGGTAATTATTCTGACTTAATTGGCATGTATTCGTTTGGCATTTTTGTTTTGAGTAACATTACTCAATTGATTTTACAAAAATTAGGATGAACTAATAGCGAAAATATGTATAAAGAGATTTCATTTTTATTTTATAATTAACAAGTGTCCTGGAGAAGGCGAACACAAAATTCGGGAGTATATGGCATATCGTCGTGGTCTACCAAATTACCGTCCTAATGAGCGTCACTGTATATACGGAATGGACGCTGACTTGGTAAGCCGTATGGTGCTAAGTTGTTTTTATCCCTAATATTTTTGTTTGGCTTCTGATGTTGATGTGAATTTTTAGTCATCCCTAGATTGTTAATATTGTTTTAGTTTGAACTGGACACAATGTGAGCCACAGGAGGAATGTCTGTAGCTTTATTCCAGCCTATTCCCACACCAGAAGACGTCGCGCATCGAGTTAGGTGGTGGTTGTGCATAAGTTTTCGGAAGTCCAACGCACTTCAGTTGAAGATTTACTACCTTATCACTCGATTTGTTACAATTACCTAGCACTCTGCCATTGCTTACTCGTTAGTCCCAAAATACGCGAGCAATGCTTTCAAGACACCTTTGGTTGAATACTAGTAACCTACAAAGATACTCTATTCTTAATGGCTGTTTCATACCCATGAAGCAGAACGGAGCGAACTGTTGTTGCATTGTTGCTTAAGGTGGTCGGAAGACTGCATTTTGTCAGCGTCTTCACCAAACAGAGCTATATCATCTGCGTATTCTAAGTCAGTAACTGAATATCCTGGTAGAAGATCAATCCCTAAAAAGTCAGAAGATGAAATTATTATATCTAAAAGCATATATATGACAAAGTTAAGAATCGGGAAGACAGACAACCCTGACGAACACCACCTGAAGTAACCAATTGCGATGACAGTTCACCATGAGCTCTGACTAGACCAGTAGTGTTCCAGTAGAAAGCCTGTACAAGGTTAATGTACTTGTTTGGTAAACTATTCAACAACAGACATCGTCACAGGACCTCACGATTAACGGAATGGAACGCCACCTTACGGTCAAGAAATACAACTGTAGTCAGACGTTGAAAAGTATGTCTGTGTTCCAGAATTTGCCGAAGGGTGAATATTCGGTCAATAAATTCATGTCCAGGTTTGAAACCAGCCTGGTTTTCTTGGGTTTGCTCTTCACGGACTTTGGTTAGATGTGAAATTATTATTGAGGTTAATATTCTATACACTATATAGGTGAAAATAATTTCTTTGTGATTATCGCAAGACGATTGTTGTCCTATCAGTGATGGAGACCAGTCAGATGGGATCACGCCTAGTTCTCAGATTTCTGCTATGATCTCGATTAATGTAACTGCTAAAACTGGACTACCATTCTTTAAGATCTCGGGTTAATCCGTCAGACACTGCTGCTCTCCCTCGCTTCAGATTGCTGATAGCCTTTTCAACCTCACTAATAGTTGGAGGACTTACATCAGTTTGCGATTCAGGTTGTTTGGAGATAGTGGGTAATTGAATGGTGCTTGAAAACCGTTTGAACTGTTCTCTAAATTGTTCTGCCTGTAGGTCCAATCTCCTGGATTAAAAGTTGGTAATATTCTCACTAACAGCCGAATTTTTAATATCTGTTTCTTTGGTACGTCTGAACAGCTGTCTACGGTTACCTATCGCCACTGCCTTTTCCATCTCTTCTGCTTTTGCTACCTACCACTGCTCACGATTACTGAGTAGGCTTTTTATCAGCCTTAGTTTAGGTCGCCTCCGCGCCTCGTCATGTTCAAAGCCAGATGGTCTAAATTTCCGAGCATCTATCAGTCCAGTAGACGCCGCTGAAATCCACTGATTTTTCCTAACCTTTACTGGTAGATATCACTGCTGTTTTCACAGCTCTTTGAATATCATGCCAAGCTACCTCAGGGAGAATATCATTTTCACTATTGATTAACTCTTTCTCTAGTTGTTCCTAAAATATATCCTCAACTTTTTCATTACTAAGTTTGACTCTAAGGTGTTTTGTTGCTACTGGTTTTTTCTGTCAAGTAAGACTCAGATACGTACGTGCTCGGATAAGCGCATGATCTGAGTTTAAATATGTACTCTAAAATGGACGAGTCATATATCGAGCCCATCCAACAGTGGTTGATGGCAACGTGATCTATTTGAGTCCATTGTTCGTTTGATTATGGAGGTTGCCACGTAGACGATGTTTTACCATATGCTTAAGGTTGGTGCTTGCTAGAAATAGAAATTTATCTGAACGTGATTGCAACAGACGGTCTCCATTATCTGTTCGCCGAGCCGCAACACTATAAGATCCACCCAAGTGTTAGGCTACTAAAATCACTAGACACTTACTACATCAGAGAATTTAACTTTTTCGAATGAAATTGGAAAGCTTCATATAAAGTTCATCTTTTACTTTATCCCAGCTGCAATCGGTGTGAGCGTAAGCAGCGACAAAGAATAGGCAATGATATGTATCCCTATCTTTCCGAGTTCTTACTGTTCCGTTTTGTCAGACAGCACACATGCAACCGTCTATTGGAATGCGTGATGGTAAATATATATGAGAAGAGTTATTTGCGGGGATAGGAGAATTAATAATAAATGAGGGAGGGATTTGACCGTGAAAATGATGATCCCGGGCGCTGTTGGAGGTATGAGAACAGTTGCCACTTCCAGTTTGCTCTCATCGTAGAAGGATATCTCTTCTTGAGATACGTGAAAGATAAACTGGATTAGTGGTGATCTTAACGACCTGGGAGCGTAACCACAGAGCACAAGAAACAACCACTTGAGGTCGGTAGCACATGGTCTTTTTATGGTAGGTTTATGATGTATTAGCTCTCCACTTCAAAAGTTCTTTCTATCGAAGACGGAAATCCGAGGGTTAAGGTCACAAGTGACGTATTGGGGTCGATCTTATCTAGCCCTTTCCTTTCGTTGTTCGAAGGAAACACCTTACTGCTGTTACAAACCTTTTCAGTCAGCAGTGTGATTTCGCTTTCGGACTTTAAGTTGCTACTTTCAGTGTTATCACTCTCGAACCAACCCGCCTGGCATGATAGGACCTAGAGGGACATGTGTTCCGGCCAATATAGCCCTGTTGAGTCATCACTATAGATAAGCCTTACCACTACGTCACGGTAGCAGCTACTGTTGGGACACCCTCAATCAGATTCACTGTGATTTACTGTTTATGGGTAGTATATGAGAAAATGTATTTGAGTATCGCTAGTAAACACATTTGTTGAATCACAGCTAATAAACAGTGCTTTCAAACCTAAATCTAACCATTTGAGCATGGGAAGGATTTTCTTAGGTATTTTGAGGGGTGCTCCTCAAGTGTGTGATCATCTTTCCCATTAGGAGATTATTTATGTTACTTATAGCTCACTTTTTGGGGTTTTAAGTCAGTTTTCAAACACTAGAAGTCTCAAATAAGCAACAGATGACGTTATGTTATTTAAGTGTATATTCCAGACCATTGATTAACTTAATGTTAGAACTACATGCTATACAGTTATTCTCCTTGCCAATCAATTAGTCAGTCAGCTACAACGTTGAACTAGGCACATATATGCATCGGTTCAAGTTGCCACACCTCATTAGCACAACAACATGAACACCGAATTCATAGTAGTTACTTCAATGGTAGTAATATATAAAAGAAAGATTGCATATAAGGATATAATACAGGAAGAAAGAATTAGTCGGTAGAAAGAAAGATAAGAAGAAATTTTAATCTCACGGTTTAAAGGAAGACAAAGAGTGTATATATCTACGCCATTGTGATCGATTCTGTGCCATGTCACCGAGAGTCTCCAACCATTGGTTAAGATAGTCGCGCAGACCCCAACCAAGTAGTCTGCGTCTACCAACATGGCTCAGACCGAAAGTTAGTGACTTCAAGGACTGATGCCATGTTTTGGTTTGGCCGCCCCTAACTTTCTTCCAACCATCTCCAATACCGGATAGCATTGCACTTCGTGGTAATCGGTGTTCAGGCATACGTAACACGTGGCCCAACCATCTCAGTCGATGAAGATTCACGACATCATCAACCGAATAACCACCATTCTCTCATACCCTGCGTCAAACCTCACCATTACTTACTCGGTGATCCCAGCAGATGCGAATACTAGTGGCTTACGAGTATCTTCTACACTTAATGGCCACGTTTCTCATCCGTAAAGTAGAACGGAACGAGCCGTCGCGCAGTATACTCGTCCCTTAATTGATAAACGGATATCTCGCCTTCGCCAAGGGTGAGGTAAGTTGGCAAAAGCCGAACGAGCCTTCTGAATCCGTACTGAGATTTCGTCAGATACCAACCCATTCAGGTTGATCAAACTTCCAAAATAAGTTTTGTCGACACGTTCGACTACTTCACTCCCTATCCCTAGTTCAGGTGTTGACGCAGGCCAGTCCTGAAGCAACAACTTGCATTTAGAGGGAGAGAAGCGCATTCCAAACATTCTGGCATTGTTGCTTAGTGCTACCGAAAGACTGCATTTTGTCAGCGTCTTCACCAAACAGGACTATGTCATCTGCGTATTCTAAGTCGACAAGTGGACTTCCTGGTAGGAGGTCAATGGCCAAGAATTCAGTCGATGAGAACGTTATTTCCATCAGTATGTCTATGATGAAGTTGAACAAAAGTGGAGATAATGGACAGCCTTGTTGGACACCACCTGAGGTTGTAAAAGCAGACGACAGTTTGCCATAAGCTCTGGCTCAACTTGTAGTGTTCGAGTAAAGAACCTTCACAAGGTTTATGCGATTTTGAGGTATACCTTTCAATGACAGACACTGCCACAGAATCTCTCGGTCTACAGAGTCAAATGCTGCTTTGAAGTCGAGAAAGACCACTATTGTTGGACGCCAATAAGCTGCTTGTGTTCTAAAGTCTGAGGAATGGTGAATATGTGGTCGATACAGCCACGACCAGGTCTGAAGCCATCTTTATTCTCTCGTGTTCTCAGTTATCGGGTCTTAGTTAGGCATCCGACGATTATTGAGGTTAGTATTTTAGATGCTATGTTAGTCAAACTAATCCTTCTATGGTTATCACAGGATGATTTTAACACCCTCTTGTATATTGGGTCAATCAGTGATTGTGACCAATCAGGTGGGCTTACGTCCAACTCCCAGATTTTAGCTAAAATGTTAGACAACCTAATCACTAAAACTGGGCCATCATACTTAAAGACCTTTGGAACCAATCCATCTGCGCCAACTGTTCTTCCTCACTTCAGATTAGATATAGGCTTTTGGACTTCAGCTGAAGTCGGGAGACCTACTTCAGTGTTCCATTCAGACTGTCTGGGAATGGTGGATAGTTGTAGAGTAACAGAAGGTCAGCTGAACTACTCTTTAAAGTGTTCCACCCATCGTTCTAAATGTCTGGACTAAGAGCAGATAAAAGTGTCGTCTTTTTTCGAGATAGTCTCACTTATACTCGACCTATTAATTTCAGTTTCTTTTATTAGTCTGGAATGTTGTATTGTGTTTCCTACAGCCGCTGCCATCTCTCCTTGAACGTTTTTAATTTTGTCTGAATAACATCTCATTCATTAGCGTTCTTTTCTTTTTCCGCTTAGATATTTTTGGGTTTGACAACTCATGAAATCAACATTTGTATCTTGCGTGAGAACGTTGTTAAAGCCCAGTAAGTTTCAACTGTACTTCTGTAATTATTCCGTTCTTCACTTAACTCAGGAAAATCTTATACTTAGTTAGTTTCATATCAGTTCAGGTCTCCTGTCTGTCAAGAGCTTATCTTGACATCCCAATAGTCGTAATTCAGTAATCATATGTAGATTTTCGCATCATTTTAAGTTTGAGTTATGAAAATAGTGTTCAATTCAAAGTCAGTTGAACAAAATATTTTATTGCAAATATACAGTTGTAGCTAACTTAACATATACTACTCATGATAAAACACGATTGGTTTACATAAATCATAAATACAGCCAAAAATATGTCATATTAACATTTTAAAAGCCTGAAAATCCTTAAATAACTATTTAATGGATAAGTCGTCTATCATCAGTCATGTACAGCTAATGAGTGCTACTTAATAGATTTCATCTTTCCTCTATTACTTACCAAGCGTGTATATATATATATATATATATATATATATATATATATATATATATACTGGTGTACAGTCATGATGAAAAACCAATTGAAGAATGTTTTTTGCTTCCTTCCCCTCAGTTTTTACTTTGAATTTATTTTTGTTTTCTAACTTTAATAGAAATTGTTCGGCTGATAATAAACCTTTCTGTATTACTTATTTGTCAGTTCTTCGGGAGTATATTGATTTGGAATTTACGGAATTAAAGGTTGGTAATTAGTGTTTTCTGTTTTAAGTTTTAGAGATATAAGTTGACTGAGATTGACCAATTGATTAAATTAGGAGGAATTTGTGTATTGAGCCGATTTTCAACGAATTCTTTACAAAATAAAATAACATGGAATACGCGTTGTATGTATTATATGTATGATGAAGAATCGTAAATCAAACGGACAACTTTTAGTGGTGGTGGTGGTGGAGGCGGTATATTTTCGCTGGCAGTACAGTTTAATTATAAAGATTTTATTGTTGTTCTGTACAACACTAGTGCCCATTTCAAATAGTAGAATTACACTTAATCACTTCAAAACTCCCCTGTAAAAATTTATATAAAAAGTACATTTAGCTAATGTAGTCAAACATTTATCTATAAATATTCCATACTTTTCATAAAGCATACTCAAACAATATCTTCTTAGATCGTCCACAAGTATCGATAACGAATTAGTTAGGCTTATATATCTAGAACATTTTTATTGGTAAAATATTTGTTGAACTATTTCTTAACGTTTATTTAAACTGATTTCATTGTTCTGTTAAAAATGTTTTACTATTTCAATTACTGAAAATATTAATTTAAGTCAAATATTTCGAAAATTTTACAATTAACAACATTCTTTTCGTTTAAATAATGTATTTCTAATGCAGAAGACATTGCCGTTTCCTTATGATTTGGAACGCCTGATTGATGATTGGGTTTTTATGGCTTTTCTATTGGGAAATGATTTCATACCTCACATACCTAATTTGCATATACATGCGGAGTCTTTGTTAACTGTCTGGGATACATATCAAGTTGTATTACCGAAATTGGACGGTAAGTTTTATTTAATCTATTCACATTATCTTTACTTTTTATCAATCCTTTAACCAGTTGATTAAAAACGAAATCGTTTTCTTGAGAAGCTCTATCACAAAATGTACAGAGTTCAAAAGATTTATCTTAAAGTTGCTGGAGAAACTTAAATTGCACTATTTATTTACTAGTCTCCATTGATTAAAAATAGACCGATCGGGATATTTGAGTGTGCCTTACACCAAACATACTGCCGTTAAAAGTTTGTCCTCCTAACGACAATACTTGTCAAAAAGTTTTCCCGTTGGTCTTGAGTTAAAATCTAGTATAAATACCTATTTTTCTTTTAGGAAGCATATACTTTTTTGTAATAATCTTCAAGGGGTAACAAACACATATTATCTAAAGTTTATAATACAATCCATTGCGTTAATAATGTGGTTTTGTATATTATTGTTTTACTTCTGAATTAAGAAATAACTAAAAGGTTTCGTACACTTTAGTAAATTCATTAATATCGTTCTAGTGATGTAGTTAAATATTTTTGACTCGATAGTATATTAAGAGTACTGTGTGGAATTTTCAAAAAAGATATTAATTACTAGCTACATATGTGTACAGTGATTAGGGCCTAGTAGGCAGAAGTAGCTAAAGTTGACTGAAAAGAATAATGAAATTGAAAGTACATATTAGTAGCATAATAGCACTACTCTATATGTGACTAGTAAGTTAGCTACTCGGATAAACGTTTGTTTTCATTAGTAACTAAACCAGAGAAATGATTTCCAGTCGTAGAATATTTGCAGTTGTAACAAAACAAACATTTATTTAGCTTGTTTTCCACCATTTGATACTATTTTTTGTGTAAATTAGCTTCTTATCATTAGTATTATTTTCGGACATATGTCTTTAACAATAGGTTACCTTGTGGAGTTTGGATATTTAAATCTTCCACGATTTCATAAATATCTGGAAGAACTTTCTCAGGTTAGTAATTTTCCTTTTAATTTACATTATTTTAAAATGCATTATATATATAATTTCGCTGAGGTAGATTTATTCTTTAAAATACGGAATCGATAAGGTTTCCTGTAATGGTTTACGACAAAAATAACCCTTTTATTTGATTTACTAGCGGTCATGAACATGGTAACCAGCAATCAATTATTTGTTCATGGTTTACGTACTTTGTATTTAAACTACAAAAGTCTAATGTAGTGGAATGAAGTCATTCAATGAATAACAATTTCTATTAAATGTTTATCTTATTGTTTGTTAGTACTATCCTCGCCAAATTCAAGCACTATCACAAGGAGAACGGTAACCAAATTGTAAAAACTGTAGAATGTTTCCGCTTCAGAAAGACAGGGTTTCTTAAGCGCATGGCGGAATAAGTTTCACTAAAACCATCTATACCGAACTCCACAATTCGATAAACACAGCCACTCCACCAGTAATCTACACCTTCATACTTCGTTTTAATTTTCTGCATATAAAAAGTGCTCTCGTGCTGCACCATTCCATGATCTACCTAGTAACTTGAAATCCCGAGTAGTTTCCGGTGGTTTATATTTCCATATGAATACAAATTCATGCTCCCGTTTATGCTAACATGGTATGTGCGAAGCATGTAGCGTAGGTTTGGTTTTTTCTGAAGTGTTTGGTCAGTCTGATCTATATGTTATAGAATAATAAAGCTACTTTGTTTACAGAAAAATGTATTCCTCCTATAGTATATTAGTTTTTATCACTTTTCAGTTTGAGCGTGATTGGTTCGAGGAACGTGAAGCAGCTTTCCATTGGATGCGAGGAAAACAAGGTGCTCGTATGGCAAATGAACTGGAAAAACTCGGTCTATCATCTGAGGATAATCAGATGCCACCTCATAAACCTCTCAGTTCAACAGGGAAACGTTTCCCCGAAATGACTAAAAGTAGTTTATTAGATAAGAAAGATGGTAAGTGTTGTGGTTTTGTTGCTTTTTTAACGGCACACTGAATGGAATACATCGTTATTAACTTATCACTATTGGTTTTGTTGAAACCGAGGGGTTTTTATAAATGGTTCTCATAGCTTGCTTTCAAATAATCGTAAAACCCGGTTAATTTAGACATTTTAGTTATTTCTTAAGAAATTAGTCAAACTAAGTGTCATATAATCACGTTCGCCATAGCGACCTGTTGATTAAGTGTGTAACGACGCTGTTATCGGCGTAGACTTTCAGGTCTTCCATGGACTTGAACTTTTGTTATGTAAAGAATTTGATTATCTATAGTGTGGTCCGGTGAACCTCATGTAGCTTTGTACACGTGTTTTTGGAAGAAAATATTGCTGTAAGTATACCGATCTGCCGGTCACTCACCTTTCTTCTAATTCATATTTCCCCATAATGAGTTCCTACCCAGCGTTGTCCATCCTGACCTTGGCGTTTACGTCTCCCATCATCAGGATGGTCGTTTTTTTCTGAGTAGTTCTCTATGATAGGTTACAGCCTCGTGAAACTGATCTTTATAGTCTCCACTGCTCTCATTGGTGGGCACGTACCACATAGCATTGTTATCCCTTCCGTCTTTTTTAATCCGTCTTTGATGATCCTAGAGCCATGAGATTCCCATCCTATAAGTGCTTTTCGGGCTTCTTTGGATAATATCAATTCGACTCTTTGTGTATGCGTGACATTTTATTTTTCATAACCAGATCACAAAAACACCTGTCTCGAAGCAAGTATTTTCTGTTCATTTTGTGTCCATCGGCTTTCACCTATTCCAAGCAGAAGAAAGCAAAAACAAGAAGACAGCTATTAACAGCAGCCGAACAAGAACAGTGAAAGTCAAGGTATAAGCTAAGTACACAAAAGCAAACAAGCAAGTGAAGAGCAATAGAGCTGATAAACAGAAATATGTGGAAGTTGTAGCAACGACATCAGGACAAGCTGTAAGAAAAGGAAATATGAAACAACTGCATGACACGACGAAGAAACTGATAGGGAAATATACTAAACCAATGAGACTGCCCAAGAACGAGGAAGACAAGCTAATCACTGAGATTCAAGAACAGAGGAACAGGTGAGTAAAACACTTTGTTTAAGGAACTCTTGAATAAGTCAGCCCCGTTAAATCCACCGGACATGGAGCGACACCTACAGACCTTCCTATAGATGTCACTCCACTAACGGTGGAAGATGTTAGGATGGCCATCGGACCTAACAATAAACCAGTAAAAGCATTGAAGCCAGACATAAGTAACTGCAAAGATGCTCCACGTTCTATTCAGGAAAATTTGGAAGGCCGAACAAGTGCCGACGGGCTGGAAAGGATACCTCATCACAATACCAAAGAAAAATATGAGCAAATGTGAGAACTACAGAGGCATCACACTACTATCGGTACCAGGAAAGGTTTTCAACAAAGTGTTGCTGAACCGGATGAAAGATTCAGTAGACGCCCAGTTTCGAGATTAGTAGGATGGATTCCGTAAGTATTGGTCGTGCGCACACCAGATCTAGACACTATGGATCCTTATTGAACAATCAATTGAATGGAACTCGTTACTATACATCAACTTCCTTGACTATGAGAAAGCGTTTGTCAGTGTGGATAGGAGAACATCATGGAAACCTCTTTGACACTAGGATGTACCTGAGAAGATCGTTAACATCGTACAAAATTCTTAGGATGGACTACACTGCAAAGTGCTGCATGGAGGACAGCTGACAGATGCATTCCAAGTAAGGACCAGAGTCAGACAAGGCTGCCTGCTGTCCCCCCTTTCTCTTCCTTCTAGTGGTCCACTGGATTATGAGGACCACTTCTCATGAGAAGTATAGAATATAATGAACAGCTTTTATGCGGCTAGACGATTTGGATTTCGCAGATGACCTAGTTCTTCTATCCCATGCACACGAACAAATGCAGGTGAAGACAACCAGTGTAGCAGTAGCCTCTGCATCAGTAGGCCTCAACATACACAATGTAAAAAGCAAGATCCTCAATTACAACACGGGGAACACCAACCCAATCACACTTGATGGGGAAACGTTGAAAGAGGAGGAAACTTTCACGTACCGGGTCAGTATCATCGATGAACTAGGAAGATCAGATGTAGATATGAAAGTAAGGATTGGCAAAGCAAAGACAACATTCCTACAGTTGGAGAACATATGAAACTCAAAACGTCTGTCAAACAACGTCAAGATCAGAATCTTCAATACGAACGTCGCGACAGTTCTACCGTGCGGTGCTAAAACTTGAAGAACGACCACCACCGTCATCAAGATACTACAATTATCTATCAACAATTGTCTACGTAAGATACTGAATGTCCGTTGGTCGAGTACCATTAGCAACAACTTACTGTGGGAGAGAACAAACCAGGTTCCATCTGATGAGGAAATTAGGAAAAGACTTTGGAAACGGATATGACATACATTACGAAAATCACCAAGCTGCATTACGAAGGAAGCGCTAATTTGGAATCCTGAAGCGGAACGGAAAAGAAGACCAAAGAATACGCTGCCCCGAGAATTAGAAGCAGACATGAAGAGGATGGATAGCAACTGTGAAGGATTGCCGAGGACATAGTTGAACGAAGAATGCTGATGGGCAACCCATGCTCCTCGACGAGGGGTAAAAGGCGTAATTAGGTATGTATTCCAAACAGAGCCACGTTATGTCTTCTCATTTCCACAGCTGTTTGAATGGTCTTCGCTGTCACCCACACCGTGCAGATATTCCATGTTCCTATGTTAACTGTTACTCTGAATGTCAGTAGGTGCATCAAGCTCATGGTTTCCGAAGAATCTCGGCTTTCAACGTGAGACATCATAAGTCTTCTAATTAAAGATCCTTCAACTCCTAGTTCAATGTCCAAATAGTTTAGATGATTTTTTTGATCGTCAGCTTTCCGGCAAGTTTTTTAACTATAGAGTGGAGTTGATAACCCCATACTCAATCATCTTCCTTTATCCGGGTTTTGAACTGCAACAGTACTGGAGGGCTCCTGGCGGAGCAGAGTATCTTAAATGATAATGTCTTTTTTAGCTTTTTATTTGTCGTTGACATTAATCTTACTAATCTGTGTGACTGTCATTTTGTACATATGTGTGAATAAAAAACAATCGGTTTAAATCTATTCCACTTCGCACGGTTTTCACAAGTCTTTCGTATCGACGGCTTTGTACCCATTCTTTATGGTTTATTGCTTGAGCCATCTAATACTTCCTGCTGAATTAGACTTTCTTATTAGCAATAATAACTTCGAAGTCACTATGCAGAGTTCTTCAAATGGACATAGTCTTTATCCATCGCAGATCACTATGGATGGAAATTTTGTGTTTACTTTCTACTCCTAGTAGTAGTTTTGTACGATGTTTCAGCTACTGTGTTTAATAAGTGACCGTTTAGCGACACAGTTTCCCGAACACAAATTAACACATAGCTTAAATCTTTATAGTACAAAATATCAATAATAGGTTTATAAATAATTCATAAGCGTTTGTGAACGGGAAAAATGACACGAGTTGTTAGGTCAACTGAGAGATTAGCGCTAAGACAATATTAAAATACTACCATAAATCAATTATTCGATAAGTGTGCATTGAAAATATATCAGCTAGTTCACTGGACGACAGTTCCTAAAGTTTTCTCTTTACATCTACTCACTTATCTATTATGGAAAATGCGTGTAAATTTACAACGATTTATTCAAATCTGTTTTCATCTATTATGGAACGCTCTATGTAGAACACTAAAAAACAAATACGAATTAAACAATTCACTTTGTGGATACAAAAGCGAAAATATTCTTCTTTGAAACCTTACCTTTCCGAACTGGCTCCAGTTAAAGTTTTTTCTCTCCCGACTAACGGTATTTCCAATGTCACTAGTTGACGAACACGTTAGAAAAAATAAACCTTGTTACACAGAAAGTTAAATGATCCTATCTTTAGTTCAGTTTGTACTATAGTATATCACTGAACTACTTCTACAACATTTATCTTAGTATTTTTATTTTGTAGATTTCGATCAATTGACTGATTTTATAGATTTATTCGCACCTCAATCTGATTGTCAATATGATAATGTTATGTTAGATGAAGCCGCTGAATTAATGGAAGAAGGTGTTGTTGTTTCATTAAGGACACATGATGATAAAGTCAAGCAGTTATATAATAAAAGTGATCCGTCCAATAGAACTTCCCATAATAATACACATAACACAATAGGCGATAATCATGATCATGAGGATAATATAGATGATGAAACAGAAGAGGAAATAGAAAACGAGAATGCCACCTATGTTGAAAGTGATACAGATCTAGATGAAGATTTATTAGTTTATAAAATGCATCGACGTGATTATTATTCCTCGAAACTTGGTATACAACTCGATGAGATGTCAGGTGATCTTGGTGAAGATTCCACATTAATGTCTTTAATTCAAGATTATATCCGAATGTTACAATGGATATTGAATTATTACTTTCTAAATGTGGCTGATTGGGATTTTTTCTATGCTTATCACTATGCACCATTTGTGCATGATCTTATTTTATATACAAAAAAGTTTGAGAATTATCAAAATTTCAATGGTATTAAATTGTCTTGGACAAACTTTCAAACAAATTCACAACCAGTTTTACCGTTTGTTCAACAATTAATGATATTACCATCGGATTCAGCTTATATAGTTCCAGCACCTTATTGGGAAATAATGATTTCTCCATCTTCCCCATTAGCTGAATTCTTTCCTAGAGAATTCGAAACTGATATAAATGGGAAAATAGCATCATGGGAGGCTGTAGTGGTAAGTCTATTAACACTGCGTAAATATGCATGCATGATTCCATCGGAAAGGGTATCAAATTATTGATAAAACTTTTAAATAAATTTGTGTAAGGTTTGGAGAAATGATATGTTGAATTCTTTTTTCTCTTAAGCTAACCAATGAGCTGCTGACAAATTTTTCGGAAGGTTCTCTGTTATTTTTAGATAAATGACTAACCTAAATAAATATATCACAAACGAAAACCTTTTTGTTCAGCTGGAATTTCATCAGCATAACGCCAGTGTTATGTTTTCGCTAGGAATGCATTGATTTTTTTTATTGGAATTACTTGAATAAAAGGTGTTCGAAATTTTAAGCATACAGAATTATCATTTACGTATGAGGTTTTTCACATTGAAATCCCATTCAATAAATGCTAGCAATAGACTGATAATTTTGATAAATTAGTAACTAATAAATGCCATCAAAATTGAACTACCAATCAAATAATTTGTAATAGTTTGCATTTGTTTTTCTTTCGTCACTTGATGGCTTTGGTTTGCAGTTCCCTACTAATCTAATTGTTCCTAAACCTGTATTGTGTACATTGCAAACCCGTTGATTAGATTGATCAGATATATCTATAACCTATTCCAAGTGAAGCAAGTGTACGCAAATATTCAGAAAAGTCACTCACCTTTCGCATAAATATGAATTTTTAATACATTTTTGCCATAATCATTGGTCGTTCCTGAGTTTTTGGGAATGGAAACCCTTCATTTGGCTTCAGTATACACTAATATCTAGATAAGTTGTCCCATGGTTTTGTTTGTGAATTTCTTAGTCAAGCTACCAAGCATTCATAGTTTCATATCATATGAACAAGTTCCCAGGTCATTTGTTAACTTGTCTTAGTTTTATATTTTATACTAACAATTTATTTCATAATTTGACCTATTTTGTTGTTTTGTACCTATATTCACAGTTAATTCCGTTTTTGGATCAGCAACTTCTCATAGATGCAATGAAGGATGGAAACACTAAACTAACTGAACAAGAAAAACAACGCAACCAACATAAATCTCACTTGTTTTATCGTGCTTGTCCAATTGGACGTGTAAAATCTCCTGTAGAATTAATTAATTATGATTTTTATCGTAAATCTGTCAATTGTGGTGAATCAGAATTAAGTCAGTTTTATGCTTCAATCACTAGATCTGTTGTTGATGATTTTCCAAGTTTATCAAGACTACCGTTTACCCATAAAATACAAAGAATACCAGTTTATGTAAGATATTTTTCTAGCCTATATATATATATATATATATATATATATATATATATATATACTGTAATAACGAAAGTTAGTCACATCAGAAATATTTTTGAACATCTATTTGGATTATTATTATTATTATTATTATTATTATTATTATTATTATTATTATTTGAGTAACCGTTATCACTCATTCTATAATGGATTATCCTTTTGTCTACTTCACAAGTGGCACAAACCGACCAAAAGTAGGTGAGCTTCCTGAATAAGTGTTAAGGATTTATCAGACATCAATCCACTGGTATTGACGAGCCTTCTAAGATAAGTGTTTTCCACATACAACTACCGTACTCCTCATGATCAGTCTTGGTGATGACACAGACCATTTGTGAATCAACATTTTGCATTCTAGAGGGAGAAAAACGTATCCCAAATATGATTGTATTTTTGCTCAAAGCGTTCAGAAGGTTATGTTTTTTGTCAGCCTCTTCATCATATTTGATTGTCAACTATGTACTCCATGTCGATTATTGAGTTTTCGAGAGAGGAAATCAATCCCTGGGCAGTTGGTCGAAGAAATTTGGTTTATTTTAGGATATGTGTGAGGAAGCTTAATCGGAATGCGCAAAATAGTTCTGACAAACATCATTTGCAGTTACCAACTGTTAGCGGTTTACCATTCGCTCTAACCTAATACTGTTCTGTCCAAGAGCCCTCATAGACACATTGTCATTTCAATCCACCTTATAATCACTGTGTCAGAAACCCGTTGTTCGACGAAGTGGAACGGTACCTTAAGGTGTGTGGGAATTCGATCGATACACTCATATTATTATTTGTTTTAGAACAAGTAATCATCACCATTTTTTGGTAAACACTGTTTCTAGTTTGGTGTTTGTGTTATTTTGGGCAGCTCGGTGGTTTTCTTATTTAGCGCTGTGGTTTGATTTGTGAATTCTTTACTACTCCATACCAATACAGAGTTGGTCGATTTATGTGCAGCAGAAAATCTCTAAATACGTAATCTGGTACATATGTACTACTAGTCAGTTTCTGCCCTTGTCTGACTGATATTAAATGTTAACGTTTTTTGAATAAGTGTTTTATCAGTAGAATTTAAATTATGTTGCTTGTTGAATACATGTATACTGGAGTTCTAAAATGCTTATGAGTTTGCCGATTGTTCTGTGGGTCTAGTCTGATACAAGCCTTGTTACATAAATCATCGTATTTATTCTAACGTACCTGTAAAAAAAAAGTTTGAAGCTCGTGATTTAACTACATGTTTCCATTTGATCTTCTACAAATTAGCACTTGTTTATTATTCCTGTGTATTAAAACTAGGTTTTTGAACGCCCTAGTAAATTAGATAGTATGGCGTTAACAATGAAACCTCATCCAGAATTTTCAAAATATGATAGCCTTGGTCAGTTAGCTGAAAGTATTCTTGGGCGTCCTATTCGTGTTCGTTGGCCATTCTGTGCTACAGTGATGCCTGTTCGATTGATGAGCACTAGCGAAATGTAAGAATGTGCAATATACACTTTCACATTAATATAATTATAATCCTAGTCAATTTTACATTGTATTTCGTTAGTACTTTTAAATTTTGACTTTTTCTATGACGAAATTGTAGTTTTCAGAACTGCTCATTAATCTGTTTATGATCTTATATTAAATATGGTGTTTATTTCTTGTAAGCGAGTAAGTCAGCAGCTCGAAACTTTGACTTGAGTAAATAGTTTGTGCGAAGTGTTTTCGACGTCATATTGGACTTGTAAGACCGATTTTAAGTGGAGTTGGTACATGTTCGAAATTAGCAAACCCTTGAACTAATTTCCTTTTTGGCGTACAGACATTGTTATTCTAGCTCAATAATTTCTGTATACTTTCATGTGTATATTGATGCTTGTAGAAGTGAGAATGCACGATCGAATGCTGTTATTATCAGTTTAAGCATTGTTTTTCTGAATTGCTTAAAAATTGTTTTTCGCAATACCATTATATATATAATTGTTAATGAACGTTTTCACATCCGACATTGTCGGACTTCATTGGTCACGACTGCTCACTAAAACTCCGGAAAATTCTTTGTAAAGCAAGTCCCTAGTGAGTTCTAACTTTCTGTTTCCCTCTCTGTTCTCTTTGATTCAATCTTCTGTTGGCAGGCATTCCACTACCGATTCCTGCCACATGCTACTTTTATCTGTCAACATAAGTACTATTCACCACACCATGACTAGTGTTACTCAATCGTGTCGAGTGTGAGGTAGGTACTGGCTGCCAACTGTGGAAGGCTGTTAAACAATGTCCATTAATTCTTCTTTCTCTTCGTGTGGTTTCTATTTTTCTTTTGAATTATACTTACAGATAGACTATTGCCATTACTTTATTCCATCTTTTTCACAGTTTGGATTTGTTATAACGGTTTTCAGTTTGATTAACATAGACATTTTTGAAATAGTTTCAGAAATATCTGCAACATATTTATTTGATGATTTGACCAGTTCATTGAAACAGAAATGGAACAATCTAAGAAATTCGATAAAATTTAGTGGTGCTGAGTAGTCAGCTTCAAAATAGTTTTTTTCTTACCATATCTACTGATGATTTTGGTTAGTTTTGTACCTGCATTAATAACACTCATGTGGAAACCGTCAATATTGTTGAATGATGCATCTGTCTTTGTTAGGTATAATGATCAATATGACCTAGCCAGAACGTTATATTGCTGGGCCTGGTATATAAATCATACATATCGGTAAATGAATTCTATTTCCTTCAGTATCCTCCATCTTCGATTCTCATAATTTTTTTGTTTGCTATGTAATCTAACGAGTTTACTAAAATCTCAACTTATGATCATATGTTTTGTATTGTTTGTTGTTATTGGTATGTGTGAATTGTAGAAATCTATTTCCATTGAAATGTATTTATCTTAATTTTTTTTAAAACTAGTTGGGAACTAGTGGATTTTAATGTAGAACCAATAATTGAGTCTTCAAGCGATTTGTCCTCTGAATCCCTGCACTTTCGTCCACTTTTATCGTCTAAAGACAATAATCATGAATTGGATTGGATAAATAGCCAACTGTCAAGTTTAAAACACCATTTTGAGAAACGTCGAGCAATTTTATTTGATGACAAAAGTGATAATAATGACTGTGATGAGCTGGATGCTCATGTGAATTTGATACCATCGTCAGTTCTAGTTTTTTCTCGTCCATTAGACGGTTGGTCTGTAGTACCTGTACGAGCAAATGATTCGGATGGTTTTACTCTTATACCGAATTTTGTTCGTTCGCGTGCTCAAAATGGTGATGATTTAGAATTGTCTAATACACCATTTGCATCTTTATTTATTCAATCAGAAAATATGATTGACTTATCCGGGAAACGAGATAAAAAACGAAAAACACTTGTCGAAAAACCTTCATTGAGTATAGAACCTGCTTATGGTCTATCGGATGGTTTAAATCTAGACTTATTAGATGTCCTATTACCTGGTATACCTCCACCACCATCAATTGGATGTGTTGAAGTTGACTGGGGTTATAATAAAATAATTTCACTCCATACAATATTTCATCCTGGTAAAATAGTGTTTAGTTTAGCCAAAGAAAGTTATGGATCAGTGGGTGAAGTGAGTTATTAGTAGTTTTATACAATCTTATATAGCCTTTATATCATAATGTTGTTATATATTATAAATAAACTAGAGCAGTTTATGATTATTTGTCAGTATGTTGCTTACTTGCTATAATACGTCATAACACACTAAATCAGTACATTTTTTAAATCCTGGTCAATGTGTTCTTTCTTATTAATAGCAAATAATAAATATGAAATATTCCCTGATTGTAAATATAGAACAACATATATAACCGAACAATATTGTTTTCGATTAGATCTTCATCAGGCTTTGCTCTAATATACAGTAATATTTATATGCATATACGAAATTATTAAACCAATCAAGGTAGTTTGTAAGTCAATGATAACTATGATAAAGATTACATAATAAGTGAAAAGTACAAATTCTTAGTGTGATAACAGGTGCATTAGTTTTTGATAAGAATAATAAAGGCTCAAATCAATGTTACATAATCGGAAATAGGTCAATGATTAGAAAAATATGGACAATCAGATAACATTTATAAAATTATAAGATGACGTAATAAGAAGTGTTCAGATAATTGTACTTTGAAACGTATATTTGAGGGAAAATAAAATAAAATGGTAGGAGGGGGTGAAGAAAAATAATTAACGAAGAGAAAGTTTTGAAAAATTAATAAATAAATTCATTTATTGAGGCCAAGGGAGAGATAAGGGTGTTACGAATTTCTTCTGGACACAAAGACTTGGCTTGTTGGCTCGAATCCCTATAGCTTCTGCTATGTGTAAGAGATGAGATCGAACACCATAAGGGAAACTAGTGAGAATACGATAGATAACTTTAAATGGCTTGTTTCTGTCCACTACATGACCACTATCGATCAAGTGTGATAGAACCGAGCTGCGTATTGTCTTGACGTTACCTTTTTCTAACCACGAAGGGAGTTGTTCACTATCTCTTTCTCTATTGAGCAGCTGAATTCGTAGATACACATAGAAGTGGCATAACCAGGTAACTTATCCTTCAGTTGGGGAATCACCATAGATCGGGTCGAATACGATAGATAGATGCTGGTAGCATTGAACGTTCTCTTTACTACTCTAGTCAGTCTATCACGTAATACATCACTAGCTACATCACCATTGAATTGCAGCTTCAAGAAAAGAGGTTTCTTATTAACAGTCAGTGTCACTATTTTCTTGCTTGTTACACGCAAGTGTTTCTTCAGGAAACCCTGTGGATATTCCCATTCAATCAACATATTATGAATACACTCTAATTCCTTAATAGAACTATTTAATAACAAACATCCTGGAATTAAATTTGCATGTGAAGAGGAAATAGGTAATAAACTACATTTCCTTGTCGTTTTGTTGAATAGAAAAGAAAATGGTTCTATCAGCAGAGGTGCGTATAGAAAAAGTTCTTCTCCAAGCAAATACACACATTTTTAAAGCTTTGTGCCTCTTCATTATAAGAGAAGCCTAGTCAAATGCCTGGCAAATAGAGCCATTAAGATATGCTCAGTTGACACAATTGATAAGGAAGAAGCGTACTTCGACGATGTTCATGTCTCATGACGAATGTGCAAATATCTTTGACAGATATAATCCATAAATTTAAATCAATCTCCCTAAAACCTCATTTCAAACTAATCTGTTAATGTGAAAAAGTTCTTTATTCTCTCTACTGTTTCATGTTTTCATGTTCCATATTTTTAGATTATTGGAGTTGATCAGAAGAAAGGTAAAGTTATGGTACGCTTCTATCCTGATGTCTCATCATCAACTGACTTAACGGAATTTTGTAGTCAGGTCGAAGTAAGTATAATTGTAATTATATAAGAAAACTATTATCTTGTAAATGAAATCACTACTTGTATTATCTTTGCATAACAACGAGTTGTGACCCCAAAAACTAAACTTAGAACTTTTTTACTTTTCTGAAAATGTCTTTTTGCTAATTTAACTTTAATATGAAGTCAGTTAATCTGATACTTTTAGTTCTTAACATGATTAGTTGACGTTTTTATTAATCGAGAACTTAAATGTAACGTACCATGTTATCCTTTTGTACTTGTTCCACGCTTGTTGCACAGTTAAGAAGCGTTTGATGTTCATTTAGTAATACACCACTTAAAAATTTGCAGGGCTTTTAATCAGATTGTATTTTTCAACATTATTTCAAGTTAGAAACTCTCAGAATGAGCTTTTTCAATTCAATCTATCGTAATTTGTCTCTAGCCCCCAAATGCCCTGGTATGGCCGAGAGTGGGGAGAGTCCGCCCTCCCTCTCGAAATGCTCTCACATGGCCATGCTTATATAGCCTCTGCCAGGGAAGTCCTACTCATTGCCTTCTCGTGGCAGGGGTGTTGTTTACAAAATTGAGAGGACAAAAAGCGAATGTCCGGCGCTTTAACCGGATTCCAAACCAATGGTGCACATGGGCCCCAGTATCCTGCGGGAACAAATGGCGTATGAACCAATTGTTGGTCACCGGCTTACATGGGACTGCATCTCCTTACGATGCTCCACTGCCTTGTGGATCAGACCTTCAGGTCGAAGGCTCCGGGTGTGGCCCCATAAGAAAACCACCTGCTTCGTTTTGGGAACCCGAGCAGTATCACAGCCCTCACACATATCGAATGAGATTTGTGTGGCGCATTTGTATCTGGTGCCTCCTTGTACCAATATCTATGTGTTAAAATAAAACAAATAAATAAATAAATAATAATTTGTCTCAAAGCTAGAAGGAGTGACCTCATTAGTGTATTAACACCTGTTTCTCATACCGTTTGTTCTTATTCTGTATATCCTGTAACAAGTTTGATTTATTAATCTATGACAATGTTTTTTTCATCAATGATCAAAACATTAAGACCCATATATAGTCAATGATTTTTCCTGATATTAGATCTACTTCTTATCCTAACACAATTTCTTTACATTTCGCATCGAATGACTCATGCTCACATTATAAAATGTTCATATTCAGCATTAATAGCATAATTAGTTGATTTGTTTAGTACACAGTTATTTTGTGGACCATGTAATATTCAATAGTTTTGATGTTAAATTATTTCCCCTTGAAGAACATAAAGGAAGCGTTAAATTTATTTTATTTTCAATCGTTGAGATTTTCAAAAATACAGTTTCCTCTTCATTTCTTCCATCATCTTGGAACCGACGTACTGTGAAATGTCATTTTGTTAAATCTCAAATCTGCACCCATGAGTATGCAGGTTAAAGGTTTTGTAATCGTCAGTATAGTTTAATCTCCATGTATTTTAACAATTTATCAGTTTCCCTATTGTGATGCAGATTATATAGTTATCTTGTTTATATAGTTTATTCAAATAAAAAAATGGTTTCAAGATTCTTGTTGTTCACTGACACATGCACTGTATTGTTTGATACTTTTAGTTACAAACATTTGGTTGATTAAGTTTTCGTTTGTTTCTTATTTACTGTGTTTTGTTTACAAATATCCATTACAGTTGCTATTTTTCTTGCTCTATGCTTGTGCTAATTTCTCTTCGTGCAGTGATGTGCAGTGTGATAACTTGGATCGATACGTTCTCGTGCTAGGTTTTATGTTGACAACTGACCAATGGAAGTTTAGTTTCAGGAGAGAATCTTCTAAATTGGATAGTTCCTTCTGTAATCAACAATAATCTTTAACAGAACTCCGTAGTTCAAATAAATTGTTTGGTCAATATATGTTTAAGTAGTGTTCTTCATGTATATTTTGAACTGGAAAAAATAACACTGTTGGATACCATCTCAGTGGTTTAAAGTTTATACGTTCGCGCGCTGGGTCATGGATACACGCTGATGAGGATTCTCATACTGCGACGAAACGACCGTACAGTGCTTCCAGGTTTTTAATGGTGATTTAACGTTGATTGGTTCATTTATAACCTAACGTTCTTAACTGAGTAGTTGTATCTGATATCTAATGTAATTGCTATGACATCACAGTTGATTATATTTGCTAATTGTTTCTCTGGAGGAAATTCAGCTTTGCTGAATTTCAGGATTCTTTTAGTACTCAGGATTGTGTCATTTAGTTTTTTCCTGTAAAAAGTTTTGATTTGTCAGCCAAACAAATTACTTCTCGAAATCAAGTGTTTATTTTAATAAGTAAACAATTATTTCCATAAATTTTGCATTTATATATAGGAATGGGAACATGATAATTTTTATACAAATATCATGGTTGCAGATCAATTAAGTGTCCCAGTATTTGTAGTGAATCGATTTACCGGCAGTTTGATGGTTCAAATTACTTCTGAATCTTGTTCATCATTTGGAGATAATGATGGCATTATTAGTAAACATAATCAATACGCTGAAACATCAACTGATAACAATGCAGAAAATAATACGGCAAATAAAAAATGTGGGCAGAAATCATTTGCTAATATTGGTTTAAACCTGAAACGGAATCGTTCTGGTGCTCAGGTAATATTTTTCTTTGAGTGTGCTCTATTTTTTAATTGGAAATTTGCGTATTGTACTGTTCTTATTTAGTTCATACATCTTACTGATAAAATATTTCTAGTGAATACTGCGTTAGCATCGTCAAATTTAAACTTAAGTACTTAGATAATTGATTGTTGACTGTCGGGTCATTTCTTACAATCCTTTGTATATGTTTTTTTGTTTAAATATCCGGGTAGTTATCTGATTTTGAAACTTGATCCGAGTGTTTTGTATTTTTATTATTGGCCTACAAATAGGTTCTATCACTAGTATGTTTCCAAATCATATTCATTTTGCATGACAGTGCATACACTCTCTATCTTCCCTTAAACTAAGAGATTAAAATTGCTTCATATCTTTCTTTCTATAAACTAATTACTTCTTCCTGTACTATATCATTATTGCAATCTTTCTTTTATATATTACCACCTCTGAATTAACTACTTTTATGAATCCGGTGTCCATCTTGTTGTGTTAATGAGGTATGGCAACTTGGACCGATGCATATATGTGCCTGGTCCTACGTTGTAGCTGACTGACTGTATTCATTCACAATGTTGTCTGTTACGAACTACTGTTTGACATTACTCATTCAGCCTGTGCTCCGATGTAGCTAGTGTTTTCCTCGTACTCATATATTAAGGGGAGACGGTAGAATGAGTAGAATATTTTATTCTCAGATTAACAGTAACTACAGTTTGTGTACATGTTTGCAATGAATTATGGCAAAGTGAAAATGTAATCATTAAATACCACCTATATCCATTTTCTTCCGAATTACTATACAATCGTGATACGTAACGATTCCGACTAAATCTATCTCCTTTACTCAGCTTGTCAGATACTTCCATAGACGCATCATTAAATAAAAGAGTCCTATTATATTTGTGATAGTTTAGTTTGAGTGACAAAACAACATGACATTATTTTCGTTATCGTTTCCTAATTGATTGTTCTGTTCGTTTAAATGCTATTTTAGATAAATTTCATTAGATATCACTTATATCAAATCTATTCCTTCCCAACGGATCTCTAGTCAATGGTCTGAGCTCCTCTGCTAATATTTCAAACCCTTATTCACTTGCGTACACCGTAAATACAGTTCATTTATGTAATAGTAGATCAATTCAACAAGGTATACGATCTATCAGTTAAAATGGTTCTTTATTCATGTTTATGTTTCCAGAAGTTCAAATACAATAGCTTGAATCTGAGAGTGGTGAATCCCCGTTTCTTGACTACCTAGTTAGATGGAAAGAAAATGGATATTTTAATATAACTTCAGGACGAAAACATAAACAAATATTATGATTTTATATCTTAGCACCTCATCAACTCAAGGATATAAGTTGTTTCAAGTGTTTCAGGAAGGGGACACACATTGTAAAATAAAATTAACTAAAGTAACCGGAAGGCTTAAAATAAATAACTATCCTAAAAATGTCCACTAATTTAAAAATAACTTTAAACGGGACGGAAATAGTACTCCAGAAACATGAACTACATTCATTGTCATTCCACACATATCACAAACATAAGAATGTTCCGAAGGTAAAGCATATCACTTTGAATAGAGTCTCAATTGTCTGAGTAGGAACAAGAGTATAAGACAAAATTTCAACCTGGTACCAACACTATCCTCTCACTAACTAGTTTGATCAACATATATGTTGATAGAACAATTAGAAGACGGAGTTGATCTAAAAAAATATGGTCTATTTACGCTATGCATACAACACAAATGTGCCAAGAATTTTTCATCATATAAATGCATACTTTTTATGATTCATACACCCATTGAACCTAATAATCTTCAGCTGTCTTCTGTCTTTATCAATTCATTCTACAACGCAGAAGTATTTCATACAAAAGAAATTTTATCGAGTTACTTTATATCAGCTGAGATTTTTGTAAATCTCTAGTTTACTAGTATTACTATGAAGTTATTAGCAATAAACAATGAAACGTTATCTGAAACAATTTTATTTTGTTTTTCATTTATTGGAAAGTATAGATTTTTGGTGATGGCAAAATAGTCCCTAATTTTTTGGAACTATTGCACAATATAACCAGACTAATAGAGGTCAATTTAGTTTACTAACTCTTTATCATACAATAGGTTTGTTTGTGGACACATTTATAAATTGTATAGTCTTAAATAATGTCGTTTTTGTACCACAGTTCTTGCCCTCCTTTCTTCATTGTCAGTTGGTGTTTGAATCAATTGTCATTTTGATAGTTGATATTACGTCATCTACATTTTAATAATGAACACATTCTATCTCGCCTCACTTTCTTACTGTGTATTCTTGTTTTACAACCTCTTGTATAAATTACATTCCAATTATGCATAATATTCTTTCGTCTCGCTGAACTTATTTCGAATTGTCATTCAAGCACTGTAAAACGTTCATTAACATAGGTCTTTGTCAGTAGTAAGCATTTCATGAGCATATATATATATACTCCGAATGCTTTTTTAGTTAGTCCTTTGTTTACAAAAATTTCGTAGATCATTCTGCATTGAGCAGTATTTGCCAGAACTTGAAATCACTTGCGGTTACCAGTTCAAACACAAAGTCCAACTTCTTGTCTCAACAATAAGTTACTCATTACCGTCAGTCAGTCAGAAACAACGTAGAACTTCGTACGTACGTACATCAGTTCGAGTTGCCATACCACATTAGCACAGAGATGCAGTTGTACGAAACATTAATGTTTGAAGATGTTATTCAAAGAGTATAATCCAGTGAAATAAATGTGGAAAGAGAAAAAAGGGACACGAGGAATTCAGAAGATTAGAATTTGGCAGAACACAAATAGTGAATGCACCTGCGCCACTGCAAACGACTTTGAGCCATGTCATCCAAGGTCTCTAGCCGTCGGTTGCTATCGTCTCGCGGACCCAAACCAGATTGTCTACACCTACCAACATGACTCAGTCCACTTATCAATGACTTCATGGACATGTGCCATGTTTTGGTCTGGCCGCTCCTAGATTTCTTCCAACCTACTCCTATATCACTGAACATCGCACGTCGAGGCAGTCGATCGTTTGGCATACGTAACACGTGTCCCAGCCATCTCAACTGATAAAGTTTAACTACTTCATCAATTGATTTGCCATCCTTACCTAGTACCCGTTTTCTAACAATTGCATTACTTACTTGGTGGTCCCAGGATATACGAGCAATGCTTCGAAGACACCTATGATCGAATACTAGTAACCTACAAATATCCTCTAACCTTATCGGCCATGTTTCACTGCCATAAAGTAGGACGAAATAAACTACTGCAAAGTAAACCCGTCCTTGCCTCGTAGACAGATATCTCGCCTACGTCATAAACGACGCAAGTTGGCAAAAGCTAATCGAGTCTTCTGTATCCGTGCTGAGATTTCGTCACACACCAGACCACAAGGGCTGATCAGACTCCCAAAATAAGTGAAACGATCGACACGTTCAACTACTTCACTCTCTGTCATTAGTACAGGTTTCGATGCAACCCAATCCTGAAGCAACATTTTGCATTTCGAGAAGGATAATCGCATCCTGAACATGTTTGTATTGCTGCTTAGAGTGGTCAGAAGACTGAATTTTGTCAGCGTCTTCACCGAGTAGAATTATGTCATCGGCATATTCTAAGTCAACAAGTGAACCTCCCAGTAGAAGTTCAACTCCTGGAAATTTAGATGAGGAAAGTGTCATCTGTAAAAGCACGTCAACGATGAAATTAAACAAGAATGGAGAGAGTGAACAGCCCTGACAAACACCACTTGAGGTAATCAATTCTGATGACAAGTCTCCATAAGCTCTCACTCAACCAGTTCTGTTCGAGTAGTGAGACTTTATAAGGTTAATGTACTTCTTTGGTACTCCTTTCAGTGATAAACACTGTCATAAAACCTCACGATCAACATAGTCGAATAATATCTTAAGATTGGGAAATTTTACTATTGTGGAGCGTCTGAATGTGTCTATGTTCTAGGACCTGACGTTATGTGAATATCTGGTCTATACAGCCACGTCCAGTTCGTGTAGAATGTAAATACTTATATTTCGAGGTTTGTTTGTGAACAAGAAAGCTTTTCTGAACGGAATTATGAGTTTCACTGAATTCTATGAAGATTGCCTGGATAGCTGTTACTTATATGAACGAAAACATTTAACACATATATTTTTTATTTCTTGGTCTCTAGTTTTCGTGTGGATTATTATTATTATTCTTGAGCTGAACTTGAAAAAGTGTCTGTACTTGGCTCTTGGATGAGTGAAATGACAAGGACAGCTTAAGAGCTTGATTTCTGCTGACTTCTAGAGATTCCTCACACAATATAAACGAAGATAGTACAACGATAGAGCTTCACCTGGGTCAAAAGCAGTTTACCTTAATTCTGAGAATTAACGTGTTTTTTTAACTGACTGAATACAAAATAAATGAATGTATCGTAACATAGTCTTTTATACAGTTATATCACTTTACAGTTATGTTTATATGAAGTGATTTTCACTATGTTAATTATATTTCAGGTTTTAGGTTGGTCACGTTTTTGTACTGTTCGTCATACATGGTTATTTTCTAATAGAACTGTTGATTTACTCAAGAAATTCAGTGAAAAATTTCCAGGTGTTTGGGAAAAAGTTTTAAAGTCGTCAGATTCATCTACAAAAAATAATGCATGTATACAACTTGATCCGTAAGTGTTTTGTATCAGATTTTATCATGTGCGTAATTTTTAACACGTTAACTATTCATTAGTCCTGTTTTCTTTAAATCCTTCCATCTGAAGCCATTAGGTGACAAATTCTTTTTCCATATAAATTACTTTATATATCATATTTCCAAAGTGTACAGCATCTAGTCAGTATTGTAATGCTCAAATGATCTACTTACCAATAAACAGGATAAGGGCTGAATAGTTATTCACTAAGGTACTTCATTAACTAAACACTGAGATACAAAAGAACATTTGTTACGCTTTATTGTCGATCTTATTCACTAGATACCATTTTAAAACAGGAGCAAATCAGGTTGCAATATATGTTTCCTGATATTTTGCCGTATCTTTAAGCTCCAACCACTGTTTCAAATCGCACTAAAGTACACTTCGGAGGTTATGAAAGTTATCCTTTAAATGCCTCTATACATGACATACATCACTGAATATTAGTGTTGTCTGGAAATTCTACTTTTTATATTTGATTCATGTGTCTTCATATCCGCTTCACATTCAGTAGTTTGCGCATACAGATAATGTCATCTACTCTCACATTTTAAATGTTGCCACACATTACTTGTTCATAGAGTCTTACATCACACACTTCAGCATTAGTGAACAACAAAGTGAAAGTTTTAAGATGTAAGATATTGGCGCTTTGGTTTATCGATAATCATCTCAATAATCCAGTAAGAGTAGATTGTAATCGTTCGTTCTCTTTCCCTTACTTAACAATATCATACAAACGTATCAAAGATTATGATCAGACTTTGTTGCGTTTCGTGGGAGTAGTGAACGGTATAGAATGATTGGTGATATTTGTTGCATATGTAACGGTACGAACGATTTTAATTTTCATAACAAGTGTGCAATACAATCATTGTCTCTTTAGTTATTATTCTTATTGCTTCTTTTATTCTCGTTTGCCTAGATTGATCCCCTTTTTTGTAATTATCATAGAAATAGCTTAATGATTCACTTCATGTTCAGCTTATTCAAAATATATTTCACCAAATAATTTATCGTAAGTAATCTATAGGTTCGTGGTAAATAATTGGTAAAATAAAATAATATCAGAAGGGTTTTTTGTGGATATTATAATAATTTCAATGGTTGAGATCATGAGTCAAGCTTCAATTGACCCATGATCTCAACTATTAAATAATAATAATAATTTAAATTTAGTTTATTGTATAACTTAACTCTATTAAATAATATATCTCCTTGATATTATAGTATCGTAAAAAGAAGACAAACTAAATGAAATTCATTTATTTTTCCAAAATCTAATTTAGAAAATTTTTTAGTATTTGTTTTTTATGTTTTTCCATCCCATTTTGTTGTCATATCACTTCAAAAGGCTATGCATTTTTATTTCGATAGGAAAGAAGTTGACGAGATTATGGAATTTATTGCTAATTCTGAATGTAGAAGTGCTCCAGTTTTACCACAGAAAGGTATCTACTTGGATAAGGAATGGTTACAAAAATTAAAATCATTATATCTTAAAGACATGGATGAAACTGTAAATGAACCGTTTGATCGTCAGATTTGGAATAAAAGATCTCCAGTAAATTGTTCACCAACAACTTTGTTTGTTGTGAGTTTTTTTTTGTTGATTTTCTATTCATTCTTCCAATTGCTATTTGTCAACGCTCTACTATATATGTATGTATTTTATACGGAATTATTAGTTGTAAGCGGAACTCATTATGTACACCTTAGTAATATTATAATAACTATTACTTTTAGAATAATACTCTATTTAATCTAGCCATTATCTTTCATTTTCCATTTTGCCTAAATGCTTGGTCAATTTACTTAGAAATTACTTCCCGTCGATTCAGTAATTGGTTAAAATAAGAACCTAAATTCAATGTGTAAATGACTGAATGTCATCCAACTACATCACAATCTAAATATTGTGATTCTTCTTACTGAATCATCTTTCTAACATTGATATTGATATTTTTGTAGTTGTATCTTGTTCGATAAACAACGTTTTGAATTGTTAATAAATTAAAAGTTCCACTAATTATTTCGTATTACATGCTTATTAATAATATAAAACAATACATGTAATATTTTCTTTAGTGGTTTAATTTATTTTACTGTTAATGTTTTTTCTTACGTATTATTAACTTACCTAGTCAGTGAATTCAGATACAAGAATATATCCATCCTCTTATAATTTATCACCATTCGATCGTTGTTATTATTCATCAAACTACTCGTCAGTGTTTAGTTCATTCACATTATTGGATAAAGTTGTTTATATTGGGATAGGACAAAATATTCCATTGGGATTACATGGGATTGTTATTGGTGTACCATCTGGTAAGTAATAAATAGATAAAAACACTGATTAATGTTATACCGTCTGATTTATAACTTATTCTTATTGCCGAGCTTTATATATATGTAATAGTTTTTATCACAGACTAACTTCAGACTGACAACTATTGAAAATCTCGGAAAACTGTACAGCTGTCTCTTACTAGATTGGGATTTCACAGCAGTCTTCACCGACGACTCATTCAGGGATACCATATGAAATAATCGTATCCCATATTATGATCCAACACACTTGAAATACAAATACGTAAAGTTGGAGTCGTATGATAGATTAATACAAACTATTTTGTGAGCACTTCTTACACGTGCGGCTGTAATTTTAACGTAATTGACTACATTGTACATAACCATATGTAACTAGTCCTGACCTTACACCTGTGTGCACTCTTTATACGCATATTTGTTTATCTCTGTCTATTTTCATATGTAAGCTGAGGCATAAACTTATTTATTTGGGAGCGGCATAAAACCGATCTCTAGGCATCACCTCTTCATTTTTGCATTCTGCCTGGTTGAATGCAAATGCCTGAAAAAATTCCTTCAGAACAATTCGTATTTGGCTTTTTATTATTATCACCATTCCACAATGTTAGCCCAAGTATTTTATTCGAAACTGGGGAATCATGTTTCGCCAGCACCACTATCCGTCTTTCGTCGAAAACAATCGAAATCAATACGTGGTACCTTACGTACTAATGATAGGCTGCGACTGTTAAAGATTAGCTATTTCAAAGCAGTAGTAATGAGTAGTAATCACATAATATCACGAATTGATTGAAATCGATAGTGAGTGTGGTAACTCGCTTATCTTAGAAATAACTCTCTCTCTCTGAGACCTGAGAATACGCATTACTAAAGAATGCCGTGCTAGAATGAAAAACATTATGTATACTGCTTGATTGTTTCTATTGCTTATAAGATTTCGATTTGAATATCTTTTTTTCAGGTATGTGATAAATTCTTACAAAGTATGAGCAATATCACGAATTCTATTTAGGGCACTGTGTTTTTTAGAGCTGTTATACAGTAAGCGTGATTCATTACTGTCTATATACTGTATCGATCACTACGTGATCGTCTAACTAAAGGTGGTTCATGATATGGAACTTTGAATTCAACAATCTGCACAATACTCTGTAATAACAATTCATTAAGTGTCGACATTACACTAGTAAGGTGTAAATTGATGTACTTTTATACTAATCATTTGTGTATATATCTTAATTTTATCCGCACACTTTTTTTCATTTTTCTTATATCTTAATTATAAGGTGTAAGCTCTCAAAAGAGTGAACAATTGGTAGAGATCATGTTTTGCCGAACATTCACTGATGCCATAGATATTAGGTTAGTATGTATTATGCTTTTGTCAAATAATTTATGATCACATATCTTATTTGGAAAAAGTTGTCTATTTATTTCAATCATTTCATTCTTCTTATGTTAAGTTGGTAAACAGGATGGTTTCCGTTAACTTTTATTTCGTCATGAAATTGTTAAAGTTCTTAGTTATTCTTATCAAACTAATATATTTGACTTGTAAAATTGCATTCTAGTAAATACCAAAGTAAACTGAGTTTGTTTCAATATTTATGAATCATTGATTGCAAACGAGGTAATCTCTTGTGTTAAGGTGATTATCAATTTCCGGTTACCCACATCGTGGAAGTATGCTTCCTCTTGATTTACCTGGGAAGGTCTTAACGACTTGGAAACATTCGTAATGTCTAAAGGATAACTACTTAAGAGATGTTACACAGTACTTTTTGTGAATAGTTTTGAAATTGTTGGCTTCACTGACGAGGATGGAAATTTGTGGAAATATCATTTGATTTGCTTGTTGAATATCAGTAATATTCTGTGACTGAGTATATATATATATTTCAATCAATATCCGGATCCATGATTGTGCCTTAATTAAACTTCAATTTGTTCATCTTAATTATGCTAACTGATTTATTTAAACATCATTTTATCAGTCATTTATAAATAGTAGTTATTTTATTCTATTAAGAGTTTTAATCTGTTAGTTTTTTTCCTCAAAAGATTAGTCTTATGACAACTTTATAGCCTAAAGTATCTATTGTTATATTAGGTGCTCACAATAATTAGACTTAAACTCATACACATAACTATGCATATAATATATTTCTTCACTAGAAATGTGTATGGAATTCGGTCGATGTTTTGAGATTGTTTCACGAGAAACACAATGTATGTGCGTATATGTATATTTGTATTTTTTCTGCGTACCTGTTTTCATCGCAAGCACTAGTAACAGTGGTAGTAATAATGATATAATCATTCTGTTTTCATAGTATTAAATGTGATATAAAAAACTGTTATGATTTAGATTAGTCTTAGCTGTTGTTGCTTTGATTATCATTCTTTGATTTGCAAATTCTAATAATACCACGTTTTACTAACCTTGTGATTAAAAATAACTTAAGGCGTAAATTATGCGTCTTGTTAAAAAAAACTGAATCATTCCATTTATTCGCTTCATGAAATTATATTAGGGATTTCTAAAAAAGCAATACTAGTTAACTAGCCGATTTGTAAATTAAGTAGCTCAAATCAGGTCACTTATTATTTATTTAAACTCATAAACATTGGTGCAAGTAGGTACCAAATATATTTGTACCACACTTCATCAGTCGATTTGTGTGAGGGTTGTGATACTGTCCAGGCGCCAAACTTAAGTAGGTGGTTTTTATATGGGGCCACACTCGGAAACTTTGACCCAAACGTCTAATCCACAAGACGGTGGAGTAACGTTAGGAGATGTAATCTCATGGTAGTTTCTGACCAACAATTGGTCCATACGCAATTTTTTCTCTCAGGATCTTGGGGCTGATGTGCACCACCGGTTTGGAGTCAAGGTTTTCCAACTCCCCTAGGTGTACCACTTGTGTCCGCTGATCCGGTTAGAGCTCCGCTTTTGGTCCTCCCAATTTTGTAAACAATACCCCGTCTCGAGAAGGCAAAAAGTAGAACTTCCCTGACAGTAGCTGTATACGTGTGGCCTGCTAGAACATTTCAAGAGAGAACGAATTCTTCCGCCATACGAGGGCATTTGTGGGCCACAGATCAGGTGAGAAAGCAGAAAAGAGTCGGAGTAGCCATTAATAATAATAATAACAGTGAAGTTTGTAAGAGATAATTCCAGGAAGATGTTCAATTGGTGTTTTTAGTGTATTGTTTTCATCTTTTACAAATACAGTTTGTGATGTTACTTAAAGTAAATTGGTTTACCCTACCTAAGTATTCGTTCATTACACCTGTTTTAACTGGAACAAAGTATTTCTATTTTTAACCGAACAAAACTGATATTGCTCAGTGCAAGGAAGAAAATGAGGCTGTAGACATAGTCGTTTATGCGCCAACCATAAAATCTACAAACTAATCAACAATTAGTCCGTATGTATATGATTTTTCAAATATCATTGACATTAAATAAGTATAGATTAATCGACAATTCTTCCTTGTCGAAAATCCATATTACTAACGTATCTCTTTCAGATTCAGTTTTTTTTCATCGTCATGTAATATTCAATACTTTTGTTAGTAGTATTGGGTAAGCCTACAGCAATTGTCCCACATTCAAGTATAAACCACTTTTACAAGTTGTATATTTCTATCTACAATTATAGTTGGAAAAGGTGATATTGTTACTTATTCATGTTCTGTTTCAAAAACTTAACTCTGACTGGTATGTGTTGAAATCTTTTCTTTTTCAAATTTCCTTGGATAGATTCATAATTCAATGTAGTTGTTTTTTTTTAATCTATCTAAGAACATTTTAACAATGTCAAGTGAATAGTTTCTTTTTGTTTATTAATTAGATTGTAAGTATAATTTCCTCGCTTTTATTATAAATAAAATAATCACGTCAATAAAACTATTGATTTTTATTGTTTTACATTCTATGTAGCTATGTGCACTAGACTTTACACTTTAATATGACCTTAGCCTTTATTGTTTATCGTTTCAATGATGATTCTTTCGATATTATAGTGTACATAACTATTTGTCTATAAGTCACATTTCGTAACTTAATTCAGTCTTTTTTTCTTTTCCAGGAAAAATAATCTAATTAAGTTGAACTAATGTATATGTACCTCTGTTATTATTAGTTAACATTTTCCTTGCCGCTAGTAGTGCTAGCAATGCTGTTTAAACAAGTTATATTCAATTAGTTTTGGAGTGAATTTGTTTTAATACACATGATAATATAATCTCTGGCGAGATGCCTAAACAACTAGAAGTAGTAATCACAATAAATCCTTAATTGTTCTTTGTTTGATATGATAGAATAGAAATGCTTCTCTCTCTCTCTCTGTTTCTTGAAATATATGTATCATTTAAGTAAATGGGAGAATGTAAATAATACATTTTATTTTTTTAAATCAAATTTAAGAGGATCAGGTCCTGTATGTGCACTGGTACATCCATCAATGTTACTCAGACTACCAGAAAAATGTGATGATAAACATCAGTCAATCTCTCAGCCGAAATTAACTAGACCAATTTCGAAACCTGTTCAAGTTTCATGGGTTACTAAAGGACCTCCGCGTAATTACCGTCCATGGCCAACTAATAATAAACTTGATCAAAACACCTCTCATAAAAATAAAATGGATGATGCAAATCATAGTAATATATCAAAGGCTAGTCCCGTTCATTCATGGAATTCGTCTAAATTGAAAACTAAACAAAAACAACCACCACAACAACAGTTGCAACAACAAAATATTAAGGTTTGTGAAATCTGTGTTCACTTGTTCGGTTTCATAATGCCAATATGTTTCTTTTTAAATACTGTTATTTTAAGCTGTTGTTCTTGTTGTTCGGTGTCATTCTCAGATGACATTATTAATGTAACATAAATTGGTCGTAATTGTTTAGAAATAGATCAATTTCGTTGTGTCAGATCCTCATGTGAACTTTAACAGACACTATTGTTTTTGTATTATTGATTCTTTAATCCTCTTAAAAATGTCTCTTTTTATTTGTTCGATTATTATGATTGTTTATTCTCATGTTTAAGTATTGTGTCATACACTGATACATATCTATATCTGTTTGAACCATTTATTGTCGGAATATCTCAAATAACCTGTATGGTACATTCAATTGTTAAATGATTTAATAGTTGTGAACATTTGTAGCAACATTAATACATATCATGTTTTGTTTATATTTGTCATTAATTAATTAATTGTTTAGTCTACATTAAAATAATTAATTGATTCGGGATAAATGATCATGAACTGTTTAAATAAGAGTTGAAAGGCATAAGACAATCAGTTGTACAGCATTTTTATGTCAATATCTTCAAAGCATAAAATATATGTAAAAACAATCATTTCGAAATAAGAAATGATAGAATTGAATGAAGAGTAATTAGTGATTAAGTCAGTTTGTTCAATTGTTAACTACTCACTTAATTATTTTTACTCTTAATCTTGGAAATAAAATTCAGTAGTTATGTTACGATTTAATAGAAATGCTTTCTTTTATTTTTATCTACTTCGTTTTTACTATTTTGTATAATGGTATTTTATTCACACTGACACCTACTTCGATTTCTGTTATACTGTTGTATAGGCTACTTATGTTGACAGATTAAGTAGTATGTCAGTCAGTCAGCTACAACATAGGACCAGGCACATATATGCATCGGTCCAGGTTGCCATAACTCATTAGCACAACAAGATGAACACCAAATTCATAGAAGTAGTTACTTCAATGGTAGTAAAAGACTGTGTATAAGGATATAATACAGAAAGAAAGGATTAGTACGCAGAAATAAAGCAATTTTAATCTCACAGTTTAAGGGAAGACAGAGAGTGTGTCCACCTACGCCACTGTTATCGATTCTGAGCCATATCGCCCAGTAGTGTGTAGCACCAATCGACAGTTCAATACCTGTCAGCAGAAGACTGAGCTGGTTGAATTGAAGAAAACAAAGAGGAATTGTAATACCAACCGAATTTGATGAAGTATGTACAGATAAACTGAAGGAAGATGTACAAATTACGTATCTAATGTATGATTTTCATATTTTATGGAATCACCATGTAATTTTGTACATAATAATAAATTGATCTTCACCACCTGAGCTTTGTTCACGACAATAATATTAACTGCATTAAAAAAGGAAAACTTTCTATTTATTTTATGATGTATTATATCCACTGAAGGAGCTTTTAATGATTTCTCAACCATTATTTGTCGTCAACTGATACATGTTGGTTAACCATAATACACATTCTGTTTATGTTTTGTCGAAGTTAAGCACCTTTCTTGGTCGAAAATCTGTTTGTGTTAATAGTTTGTTTACCTACTATTGAAACTTTACTTTCGAATTTAGAGAGTGTATGTTGCAGTTGAAAATGTTTTTATATCTGCTCTCATAACAATGGTCTTGAGATTGACAGTTATCTGATGTGTATCGACTTTGGACTGTCTATCACTCGTTCATTGAGTAACAATGTCACTGTAATGACATAGATTTATGTCTGGATGTTGACTTCCACATAATTCTGTATACCCTAGATTGGAAACTACTTTTTATTGTTTTTTAGAATGCATTTAAATGTTATGTTAGATGGTTTGTTCAATTATGTATTAAGATGTACGTGGAATGTATTTTTCCATAACTCCACGCAAATATATTCAACTTCACTAAAGTTTCATGTATATCGGTATAAGGTTGCGGAGATAGTTGAGTTTTATTGAGATCATGAACCGATCGATGTTAAACCACCAGTGCTTCTAGGTTTTTACGTATGTGTTTATCTCTTTTTTAGCCTGCTAAAAACCTATCCTCAACGGGAAAAGATACGATAAACAAGAAAACGCAAGGTTAGTGTATGATATTTTTCAAATATTTACTGACATTCTACTTTCTAAATATTGACTATTATTATCAGGTGTAGTCATTGCTAATATGTAGATAAAATTTTGGAGGGATAACCGTTCTCAACATTTATAAACACATAAGCACTGTATTACAATACTCAGTATAAAACGTGGAATTTATGTTTAGATTAATTAGTTATTCTCCAAGCATCTTTAACTACCATAGACCCAGTTAACTCATCTTCATATATGCCGTATAAGTATGCAAATAAATCAATTTATCTATTTTTAACTTATCAAAATGATCTGTTACTAACACAAGTTTTATAATCCATAATAATATATACACGAATTTTTTTCAATCAGTCTGATGTTATAGGTAATCATCTAAATCTTGCTTACTTGTATTGTGTTTTTTCAACCAGGTCATTTCATATGTCATTCAATTCTAACATTCGTCCTATTATTTTTATTACTATGATTGTATGCTTGTGTTTTCAGATTTTAGCGATTACTTCGTTGAAACTCACATATAGTTCATTTTAGTACCTTGTATTTTTCATCAACAAAAACACTTATCACTGTTTTTTCATGTCATTTGTTATTAGTAATGTTTCAAGTCCAGTTGAACTGATCTACACGTATGGTAGACTCGACATTCTGTATGAACAACTGACTGAATTCCATTCGGTCCTTAAGGTCAATAGTTGTAGACGAATTACGTTGCTGAGAGAATCCCTGTCAACAATACATGAACATATTCTTTATTTTAACATACTGAATTCCGATATTCCTTCGTACTTTTATTCTTAGAATTAATTTTTTTCCCAACCATATTTACCATACTTGTTTGTTTTCTGATAATTAGCGACACCATTATTATTTCTATTATATTTAATATTCAGTATGTTGACTTCATCTCAGCGTACTGTTGCAACTCGGGCTAATGGTCACTTAATTTATTGTCCTGTGGATTTTGTCTGTTTGATTATTTATAAATGATTTTCTGGTTTGTAAATTTTTACTATATATGTTAATATTTCTTAAAAGTAGGTTCTAATACCTACATAATGCTCTAATTAACCTGTTATTTCAACAAAATATATCAAATCTTTAAAAAAGATACTTTAAAGATATATATTTATTGTGATGCATAAGTTTAGATTTGAGTTATTTTGTATTTCAATAATATCGTTTCTCAACGGAACAACTGCTTTGCGTCTTTTGGACTCCTGCAATATATATTATATCCTCTGCTTAATGGATCAACAAGCTGTGATTGGTCCACAATCATTTTTTTCTTAGTTTTATCAATTATTTTGTGATTTTTTTTCACCTTTACATATGTATATCTATACTCGTTGAATTAATCATTTAGTACATACAGCTTGCTAATCCCCAAAATAGTAGCCTTAGTTTTTACGGATCAATAATTAACCCAATAATTGGTGCTGAGATATTTTAGACTATTAAAGAAGTTATTATTTATAAACAAACAATTTAATCACAATAATTTGAATGTGTCAGTTAGGAAATGTAAAACAATGTCATTATTTCATCAAATGTTAAACAGTCATAATAAAACATCGTTTTTATTCATTTCCATTGTGTGATATTTATATTAATTTTATTAGTTGGGATTATGAGTCAGTTGAAGCTATACCATCATGGAAAACCTGGAAGGAATGAGCGGCCTTTTCGTCCCACTGCCAAGGAGTCCCACAGTAGGACGAAACAGCCGTCCAATGCTTTCAGGTTTTCCATGGTGGTCTAGCTTCGATTGACTCATAATATCAACTATTAAAATTACTAGAATATTCACAAAACCCTTTCTGATGTTTTTATATTACATTTTGTTTTAATGGGTCTAATGTTTTTGAAACTAAATCATATAATAGTTTTATATTGAACAAGATGCAAAACAGCATTGTATAATGAATCTTATGATGTGCTGTTGAAAATAGTTTATATGTATTATTATTTAGCCAAATACTTACATGTTCACGATTTCATTGACTTACTTATATTGGTCAAATTGAATAGGTTATTTATTATTAGTTACGCAAATGTTGTTCAATACAACAGTAGTTATAATAATCAGATCTATTGAGAATATTTAATAATATATTACCCAGTATTCATCTTATATTTGTATTAGTTAAATTTAGAAAATTACCACAGAGACTATTCATATTCATATTGATCTTAATTATCATGTAAATTATTCAAATGATATATTTATGTACTCATATTCGTGAAGAATACACTCACTATATAATTTTGAAAAGTATTTTCAACTTCCCAATTTATAAGTTTTTTTTGAAAATCAAAATATTTAGACTGTGCTTCATTCAAGTTTCATACAGGATACCCGTGCTATATTATTGATGACAAAATTCTATTTGTGTTGTGCAAAAACAATATCCCTTAGCATTTAATGGTTTTTTTCAAATTGTCACTATGGTTTCAACCTTTATCACAATAGTATCTACTTTTTTAAACTAAAATGCATTCTTCTATTTTTTTTAAATTTTTTATCAGAACTGGATTGTCGACCAAACTGTGGTGATACATATTCCACTTTTCCTACTCTACAGAATAAATTTAACCGTTCGCGAAGCATAAGTGAACATAATACAAGTCTAGACGATAACAACGATAATGTAAGTCTATCTAATTTGTCACATGATGCAGAACATAATTCGCATTTTTGGACTATGCCAAGCCCACCGGACGTACCTCTCCCTCCATCTTATTGGTCTAATATTAACAAGCCTACACATGACTTGAAATTAAATAATAAGACTAAAGATGATAAAGAAAAGAACCAACGGAGTAGGGACGAAAAAAGTACTGGGTCATCTAAGATTAAATCTCGTTCTTGTAATTCTGTAGAACGTAATAAAAAAAGTTCTATTACTCGTTGTGATAATCGTCCACGGTTAAACCACAATAGTGAGGTTTGTCAGAGAGCACCAACTTCAGTCATGCCGAAACAAATACCAATGCCCGATTTCGAAAGACAAAATCTTAATAGACCTCCAAACATGCATCAGTATCCTCCTCTTAACCAAATGCAACCTCATTTGCAATCTGCATATCAACCACTGCCATTTCTGCAGTTTCAACGGGTAATGCCATCTACAGTATACCCGGTTAATATGATGGCTCCGTATCTGTATGGTCAAAGAATGCCTGATTCTTCCTATATTTCATATCCTTCGTATTCCCCTTCGCCTATTTATCCACCTAACTTTGTAAATCGTGCACCTATTCCTCAGTTTCCATTGATGTCGAATCCTAATGCTCAGGTTTTTAACTCTACGATGAACTACGAGAATACTCACCGGTATGTTAATTCATTATTTTTACTATACTGTTATTTGCATGTTTTAGTTATTCGTTCATTCATTAAATCACAGAATAGCAGGTAAATTAATATCTGCTCTGGGAAAAATTTATTCGACTTTACATTAGAAAAATCATTTGCGGCAACTATTGAGTTTATTTTTACATGCATCTAAACGCTTCATTTTTTTGTTAATAAATGCACAAAGATAATCTTCTGAATGTGTTTACGTTATGAGTATTCTATTTCTAGTGTCTGTTGAAAAGATCAGTGAACATATTCATAAATATGTTTTAATTAAATTTTTATCTGAAAATAACACTGAAATTTTTTTAACAAAAAGAAATGAGTTATTGCATAGTCAACCTTAAAAGAATAGACTATTGTTTATTGATTTTCTCATGAACAAAGCGTTTCTGTCGAAAAAACTATGCTTCATTATACTATGTATCAAAATGGTAAGGGTAATATTTGTTCAATCCAAAGCATAAATATGGAACGAATCATATTTGGACATTTCAATGAATATAACAGATAATTAGAAGTGTTGGTGATATAGTTAGAAAATAAATCTAAATGAAGTCAACCGGTAAATTTTCAGTTGATTGCTTTTGTACTTTTGAAAAGTGTGTTTCCTTTTTTCATGGAATCTGTACATCTGGGTGCTGTGCAAAATAAACTATATTAGATGGTGGTTGGAGGTAGTCGACAGGAAACCCTGGACCCAGATTTCGTGCTACGTGGCACTCGTCAGCAAGGCGTACCTTTAATCCTGAGGGAACTGGTGCTCCCTGACGGACTCGATCCCGTGTTACCCAGCTTCATAGTCAGAGACGTCACCACTGAGCTATCTGGGCTGCGACCGACCTCCTTCAGGACTGAGATGTAATCACAATTGATTGATCACCACCCAGGAATTTTAATTAAGTCACCATATAAAAAAAACATTAGATTGTCAACTACAATTTGGAAAATGTGAAATTCTCATTGGAATTTCCGGACTCGTTAATTTCCCACTTTTTTTCGATAGGTTTAACAACCCGTCGGTGCTATCATATGGGGAAAGAAACAGTCGGGATTCTTTCCGTCCTCCTGTTAAACAGGATCTACCATCTAACCGACCAACTACACCTCATCATAATAATCAGTCAAGACGTTTTATTCCTCCTCAGGTTAGTATATATTCTATGATTTACTAAACTGTACACATTATAATTAAATAGATTCGCGCTTCACTAGAGTGATAATGATGTTTCTTTTCGAAATAAGTAAATTATTTACACTTATTCATCTCATGTTCAACCACATTAATATCAACTCAGATTGTGATTATAGGTACACGGGATGGAATTATCACGTTAATCAGATTCTTACGTGATAGCCTCAAATATGATATTTTATCGTTTGCTTATCTAGTAGTGACTCTAATTTACTGAATTATGTTTTCCGGGATTACCACCTTAATGTCCCAGGATATACGAGCAGTGTTTCGTAAACACCTATAATCGAAACATTGCTCGTATATCCTGGGACCACCAAGTAAGTAATGCAGTTGTTAGAAAACGGGTACTAGGTAAGGATGGCAAATCAATTGATGAAGTAGTGAAACTTTATCAGTTGAGATGGCTGGGACACGTGTTACGTATGCCCAACCACCGACTGTCTCGATGTGCGATGTTTCATGGTATAGGAGTAGGTTGGAAGAAAGCTGGGGTGGCCAGTCCAAAACATGACACAAATCCGTAAAGTCACTGACAAGTGAACTGAGTCATGTTGGTAGGTGTAGACTACCTTGGTTGGGGACCGCGAGATGATAGCAACCGATGGTTAGAGACCCTGAATGACATGGCTAAAAATCGTTTGCAATGGCACAGGTGCATTCACTATTTGTGTTCTGCCAAATTCTAATCTTCTGAATTATTCGTGTCCTTTTTTTCTCTTTCCACATTTATTTCACTGGATTATACTCTTTGAATAACATCTTCAAACATTAATGTTTCGTACAACTGCATCTCTGTGTTAATGTGGTATGGCAACTCGAACTGATGTACGTACGTACGAAGTTCTACGTTGTTACTGATCGACACCTTAATTAGTGTTAAACTTCAGTTGTCACCCGTTTAGCTTCCCTAGCATTATGTTTTTAAAATAATCTGGAGTGATTAGTTAGTACCTATGTTTAGTTTTCAATCAATAACACCAGGTCCAAACCCTGACATTTTTATTACAGTTTGAGCAAATGAACAGTAATATTACAAGCTTTCATATAATACAGTGTTTCTATGTATATGAGTTTGTACTTGGTAAATGAATTAGATTGTTTGGATTTTTTGTGCTGAAACGTATCGAAGTCAATCAATATTATCGAAAGGGAATCAGCTTAAAGACAAACGTGTTATTACACAAGATGTTCATATTCAGACTGTTTATGATTATTCTTAAGAGAACAGACAATTGTCACAGTGTCAATTAGTAAGATAAATATTAATACAATTTCGCTCAAATTATTTTGACTGGTATGGTAACTCAGCAGACATAATCGAAATAAAGATCCTAGATTCCAATTCTTATATTGTATTTAGACTAATCGCACTTACACAACACGATATTATATTCCAAGCAAACGTATGTAGCAGCCAGACAAAAAGTGTGCTAGATGGTATACGTTTGGATTGATCGGATTAAATCAGTGTACTACTAAGTGACTCAGTTTATATAACCTTACATTTAGTGCAATCATTAAGTATCCATAATTACATGCAGACAAACTCTGACACGTGGAAAATATGATATGATTAAAATTGCATATGTCTGATGGTCTGTCTGGTTTCATTCTTACTTGTAATAGGATAGATTTACATAGGCTACTTGAAGGTCTCTAGAATGCTGATTACTGTTTCTCTTTATCTTACGTTTCTAGGCCTTTCATTTCCTAACTTTGTCCATATCTACAACCTCATATAAGAATCGTAATTTGGGTAGAGTAAATTAACGGATTGAATTTGTTGTGTATTTCCCGAAGTAGTAGTACTGTGTATTGAATGTGTCCTGATGACGTAGCAATACATAACAAGTTTCTGATCAGACATAAGAGTAAGCTATCAACTATAGTGTCGGTAAACAGAGCATGTCCTAGCTCTGCCTACCTTACAGAATTTGTTTCAATACTCTACTGTTGTAGTGCTATGATCCTTTCATTCGTTATTTATCGAAATTTGAATATCCTTATTATCTCTTCTATTTTTCCTTAGGTTTCACGAACGCGTCGACCTTGAATTGGGAAAACATTGCTTTTCCTAAAGACAATCACTTTTAATTGCTCGTTCTTCTTTTAAGGGAAAGTCATTTGTTTCTTTTCCACACTTCCAGAACATTTTTTGTTCAGATTCCCTTAAAATGTATTAAAATGTTTATCGAAGTGGGACTGATATAATGTATTTGATAATGACTGCTTTTTTACGGGTTGGTTTTCATCCTTTCAAAATTCTTTGATTGTTTGTTTATTAATTATATTTGTATAACATCTTTTTCTAACAACTAATTTAAAAGACTTAATTAAAATACATGTTCAACTCCATAAATGTTATCCTTTTGAATGTATGGAGACTGTATGTGAGTAAATTGACGATTTCATGATGTCTTCTGTGTTGTAATTGACCGATATCATACGAACGATCCTTATTTCATTCGATAACCACTAAATCTAATTTAGCAAATAATGGTACTGTTATTTTCTATGTAAATTGAACACACAAATTAACAACTTAGTACACGAATAACGACGAGTTCGTTTATACTAAACACATTGCCAATTGTTAAACTATTCAATAACTTCTTACAGACAATAAATGGTAATTTTTTACATTCAATATCCAATCTCTTTTAATTAAAACGTCTTAAACCAAAAAAAGCGCGTACTACAAAAAAAATTTTCTTCAGAAAAAAAGAACGTGACTTGACCCTTTAAAAAATAAACGAAGTGTAAAATCAAACCTGGATCATTTTTAAAAAAAACAACAATAAATTTAGAGGTAAAAGCTATTCACTTCAGTACGATATTATAAGTCGAATGAACATTTGGATATATACAAGCAAAGGATTAAACAATACGAGAATTTAGATTAAAGAAAATGAAACATCTTAAAACTAAGATATGCAAAACAACGAAATAATAGTGAGTGATTACTGTTTAATTGTAATATGTTCTCTTCTAGATCTTGCCTTCAATTAATAAAGCCATTTAGCTGGTACCCATTGTGGTTCTGTTAATAAATTATTTAAATGATAATTTAATTGTTCAAAAGTTGTTTCAATATTATCACATAATAAAATTAAATCCATGAGATAATTGTATTCACGTTCTATGTAGGTACTGGTTTCAAGTGTTTTACGAAATGTTTCATCCTGATTGATTAGAAAAAAATATTATTAACATTTTAGAAGGTGAAATATAATGACAATAGCTAAAATTATGGTATAACATCAAACTAATGACTTTTATGTTTCTATGCAAAAGTCAAGAGTTTATGTGATGTTTAACGTTACATTAAGTAAAAATCATAGTAGAAATTACGATTATATAATGATCAGATTGTTAAAAAGGATCACACGCCAAAAATAGTTTTGTTCACAATGTAAGAATAGTGTTGAAATTATCAATAACTGTTTGAAGTGGAATTTTCCTATGCACAAAATTTTTAGACAGACTTTAAAATTAACAGTTTGCACCAGAATAGTTATGTATAATCAAATAAATTTTCTCCATTGAGACTCAAAATCAAAATGTTAGATAATTGTAGTCCGCGAAAATCGAACAGTGCAGCTTTAAAAAACTTAGAGTTATGACATTCAAAGAGATGGGCAATTAATGATTACATTTATAAGAAACGGTTCAATTTCATGGCAAAATACTTTTTTATTAGTGTACAGTTATTGGCCTCGCATATGATCGGTCTCCATAGTTGTTTGAAATAAGCTAAACGCTGTTATCAATAATTGACTGTTCAAAAGTTTTTAACTACTGAATATTATTTGAACATAAGTGAACTTTGCTTCATCTTGATTGTATCGTGATTACTCGTTACAAGTAGTGTAACCACTGCATCGGTATATTTTTACAACAGTATGAAACAAACCGCTAATTGTTACCATCATTACACGATAACGGTTATCAAGTTTGCAAAAGAAGCTTATCGGAATGTGCAAGCGCTGGTAGAAAACAATCATCAGACAGAAAGTTTTGAATTATTCTCTTTCTGTTGTTTTAAAGTTCGTATAATTTGTTCACTACTTCTTAATACATAGACAAAAATATTGGTAGTAGAACTAACTAATTTTAGGTAGATTTATGTAACTCAAATATTTTCTATTTGTGCATATATCCTAAACGAATTTAAATAAATGAGGTTTGTTACAAAAGTAAATTTTACAGATCCACACATAATCATAATTGGAAAAACAATCATTAAATTTTTAAATAAAACATACTCTTTTCCATTTCTCAGTGAAACCCATACTCATGCCATATTCATACATTGCTTTCATACAACTAACCGATGGAGCAGCAAGAAATACAACATAAGGCATAAATTCTGAATTTCTTAACTTGGACACAGCTTGTACCGAACAATCAAGTAAGCATGTACGGCCTGCTTGCACTACTTCTCGGATACTATCATATTTTGTACCATAGAAATTATCTTCATAATCGCCGAACTTCAATTTAAAAGGTGAAAAATATACATGAATAGAAGTAGCGAATGTATTGACATACAATTACTTTATTCAAGAGTTAAACTGAGAGTTCTCACCATAACTTCCTAAAATGTATGATATAAAAGGTTACAGACCCTATCAGAATTTCTTTTATAATCAAATACTTATTGTTTTAAAGTGTACGTAAGTTGTTCATTACTTCTAAACACATAGAAGACAGTATTTGTACTAGTAGTACCGAATTTGATATACTATTAATTGATGTTGGTAGTTGGACCAATGTAGTTCAGCTCAAAAATATTTTCCATTTGTACAGTTTTGTAATTGGATTCACAGAAAAGAGAACTCATTGTTTAATTCATCTTATTTTATAGCTAAGTATATACAAAACCCAACATGTTCTACAACATGTCAGTATGGATAAAGTAAACTACAAGTTGTAAAAGTACAAAATCAACTTAGGATTTCAACGCTAAAACACTGAATTTAAGAATTGTTTTATTTAGTTATTGATATTGCGTTATGACACAAAATTTCGCTACAATAATTTAGATCTTTTCTCTACATTCTAACCAGTTAACATAAATATGTATAAATAAGTGATATGGGAAGAAAAATAGGTTAATTATTTTAGCGGGACCTGAAATACACTCAAGAAATCCATGCAGGATGGACAGTTGTTTATGAAGATAACGTAAAAAAGAAAAGTTTTTTTTAACTAAGTCAAGCATTTTAGGGAGAGCTATGAAGACTGGAACTAGGATGAGAAGTCCCGGCGACTGTTGACTTTACGTGCTGTAGATTTTAGCAGATTCACTTACCAAATAAAATGGGCTAAATCCAAAGAAATTTTATCATGGGCACAATTATAGCAAAACGTGGAACGGCAAGGTAGTTGAAGAGCTTTACTAACAGAAATAATGTAAACAGTGGAAATGAAGACTGGTAAAATGTATTGCCATAAATGAAGAATATTCTAATGGAGATAAAATTGATCTACGCTAAAGTTTTTTTTCCGAAATGACTTTCCACAACCTAATTTTTTGTATAAATTGAATAAAATACTGATGACCAATCTCCAGTAATTTTTCCTCAACAATGAGAACCATCAGCGAAATAAGATTCAAACGTTATTCAATAATTTTTTGTTGAAAACCTAACTATTATCATGTATTTTCAGTTCAGAAGAAAATTAGATCAGTAACGTAGATAAGCAGTATACATTGAATTAAACATACAGATAAACTGTAGGAAATCATTTACCACTCCATATCTATTATTTAAAAAGTTATTCGTATATACTGATTATAATACGTATGCAAAAGATATTGATATCCTACAAGAAAAAAAAGACTTATAATAGATGTGAATTACCAATGATTTCTGCCCTTGATAAATGGTTATGTTGTTTTAATAGACGATTCATTCAAACCAATATTTGATTAAACCAGTTGACTTATATCATATAAAAAAGTATGTGAAGATTATTTACAAAATTCATAATTCATCTCTGTATTCTATCCAATTAAATAGTGTTTATTTCTGTGTAATCCAAGCACAACTTTGGTAGAAATGACTTATTTTTATTATTACTTTAGAAATATCCTCTTCTATAATTTCATATTTAAATCATCTAGCAACATTCTTAGTAAGGTTTATATAATAAATTAAAATTTAATAATTAATTAATTCAACATTGAAAATTTAAATTTACTTCAAGATATTTATTTTTCAAATTATCCATTTCCATTTTCTCTTTCGATTCAACAATAAATTCACCATCATCCTCTTCTCCAACATCTAATTCTTTTGATGTATCTAAGGTCAATAAAAAGAAATAAAACAATAAATAAACACGAATTAATTTTAGAGTGGAGTAATTTAATAAAAGAGAAAATAGTAAAAAAATTCTAAGACGTAGGTGGTTTACCGAGATTCTTCAGATGAATCTTACATATGGAGAATTGGTTTTAGATATAAAAAAAGAGTCCTGTTACACAGCTGTCTGATTCTACTTTGAGAGGGGACTTGAAGGTAGAATACATGTAACACACAAAACAACCCTGAACCAAATCTTAACTTCTGATCCTAACTCTAACCAGGAAAAATGTGCAAACTCCTAAAAATCTTTCTAGGTCTTAATAAGCGTTTGATTAGACGAATCTACTATATTCGTATGAATGACATTAATTATGTAAAATCTGTTTGTAACTTCTAATATAATTGTTTTTCCCCATAAACTATTTATTTACAAAAGTTGTTCACTTATTGGTTAACAGTTGGATAAAATTCGCCTCGGTCGTTTTAAACACATCTCTATACTACACTCTTACCGGCTCTAATTCATATTGAGTTCATAAAATGATATTAATTACTGTTGATATAAGACAGAAAAGATAATATAAAAGAATAATAATACAGTGAAATTTATTCATATTTATGATTACTTGACTGATTGAGATATTCTATACCATAGAATGGTAAAAAAACTAAAATAAATAAGCTTAATTGAAATAATATGTAACTTGTATACAAAAAGGAAATTCCTAATCAATTTACGTGCAATAGCTGATGCATATCTCTCTCGATTGGCACGAATAAGCATATTACGTAAACTTCGACGACCAACTCCAGGAGCTCCGATTAAACAAATAACAGGACGCTGGAAACCTGATACCATAGCAACTTCTTCATAAAGTACAATATCTTTAGTATCATAATTATCAGCATCTCTTGCACAAAATGGTATAGTGACCTATAATGAAAGTTATCAACAAAAAAAAAACAACACATGATTGACCTTAACATTTTTGTTCATCAGATTACTCATATAAAATGGCGGTCTATATTTATCAATTTTATAGAGTTTAATCCAAAATCATATGTGCTAGAAGTCTGTTAAATTACCCATAGAATTTATTGTTTTTATATTTAACTAGTGCCCTGAAATCAGTAATACAAAGAAAAAAAGGCTTATGTGGAGTGCAATTGTCAATAATTATGGTGTTTGAAACCTTGGTACTAATTTCTAACCGCTTCTTAGTTTCCCAAAATAATCCTGAACAAAGACAAAAAATGGAAAGCGAGAAAAGAAATTTTACTTGTAAGGTTAATTTATGGTTAGAAAACAAGGATATTTATAAGTATTTCTGTAGACTTGGTACTCTGAAAGCTTCTGAAAAGACCTTAAATTTATTAATAGGACTGGCGATCATCCGATAAGGATACGACACAATTTATCGTTTTCTAAAACTTTGTATTAAAAGTTGATTGTATAAAGTTTTTACAGCCTTGTGACGGCCAGAAAAGGTTTTTTCAGGAATTCCCAAGAGTTCCTAACTATTTTCCCGTGTTTGTCAGCTAGATAACCTCCGTCCACAATTAATTTGTTCCGAATATAATTGTTTCCGTTACCTGTGTCTGCTGTTTACAAAATATATTGCTACCTTATAATATTTATTCTCCTCTTACCACGTGAGATCTTATGAACAACTGCTTAATAGAGCATATTTATTTTTAAATAGTTCATTTCATAAACCGACATTACCTCGACACCCATTAAAAGTGAAGGAACATTGGATAGCTGCTTTGTCCTGGATTGAAACCCTTTAGCGATGTGCACTCATGGTTACACCCCGAATATCAACCCACAGTCTTCACACCTCTCAGATAGCAAGTTACCTACAAACTACTGGGTTCACCTCTACAATTTATTTTACAATTAGTTGCGCAAGAATCATCTAGTGCCACTGGTGATAATTGTTAAACTCCCTACATGATTGAGCTCAGTGGGTCAGATCACAAATGAAAAACATGACAGTCCTACCCCTATAAAATCATTTGCTATTGTCTTTCTAAACTACTACAAATCTGATAATGTTCGAAACAATCAAATAAATATTTACATCGGGATTCACAATCACCAATATTAGAAGAATTCTGAAATTCAGTACACTTAAACAGTACTTTCTTGTTAGAATAGAATCGGAACAAAAATTGATACAGAAAAACATGAATTCATTATATTTGGTGGTTTCTCACCAACTGCTTACAACCATATATGTGTTGAACGTTAACATTGAGGTAAGAAATTATGTGAAACAATTGACGTAGATGAACGAAAAGAATTAAAATGTCGGTTATCAATCATAACTATGTGTATATATGCAAAAACAGGTTAGAGGTTATTTGGTGTTGTAATTCAAAAACATAAGGAGTGGGTGGCGCATTAATTAAATGAGGCCTGGATACAGATAAGATCAATTGTGTGATAATTTTAGAGGTTACGAAAGGTTGACATAAGATTACTGGAATTAATAAGATGAGTTACGTAATAAGTGAATACGAAATGAAGAATTTACATAAGTTAACAGAATTAGTTGAGGAAAGACTGTATAACAAAATAAACACTAATAAAATAGTGACAAAAATAATTCACAAAGGTAGTGAAAAGTTTATTACATAAGTCAGATCTGAGTTTTTTTATTGCTCTTGTTTAGGTGCGCTTTTGTGCATGCTGATAATTTTGAAGGATTGAGGACTTTCAATGGAAAGCTCGGTATTAATTAAATGCTGAGTCAGTGCACTTATTTAGAAGAGTTACGCCTCTCAGTCTCAAATTCTTTGAAATGTGCTCAGAAATACGAACATGTACTATTCTTTATGTTCATCCAGTGTATGTGCTTTGGCACGTACTTATAAATTTGTAAATGCATTTGGAGGTACTGAGAAAAAGATGACCTGTCAATTTTGTTTGTTTGAGAGAGCAGTGCATTTCATATAACGTCGTCAGTTTTGCTGATGGATGAGCAACCTGTAATGCGGCATTTGTCCTGTGGTTAATCATTCCAATGACTTCATCTCCTTTGAAGCGCGAATATAATTAGAAGGATTTCTTATCAACGGTATCGTGCTTAACCCGTAAATTGGTTTTGATATACTTCTCTATGAATTTCGTTGGATATGCATTTTCGCGTAGGCGATTTGTGATGAAGGCAAGTACTTGCTTCCAGGCTTTTCTTGGAGCAAAGTATACGGGCGCGGTTAAAAAGAGTTCGTACAATTCCCTTTTTGTAACTTATTGGACAGAAACTGTTGAAACTGAGGTAAACTTTCTTGGTAACTTTGTCTGACATAAAATATTAAACCTGGGATCCCATCCCCGTCGTCAATTGTTATAACTTGTAACCGCCGATTAGAGGGTAGTGACTTATCGATCGAACCAATGACGCATAAAACACGTGCGAGCAGTCTAGAGTCTTGATTGGTCCTGCTTTTCGTCTAGCCCAGCCAGTTAAGTTCAGAACACCAATCCGAGCTTCTGTGATATGAACCATTATATTTCAAACATACTGAGTTTATATACCAATCAAACAGACCACAAAGTACCAATAAAATATGAAACAACATTTGTACAAGAATTAGCCAGATGTGGCTGTGAATGAGGGAGGTAGTAATTAATACACTGCGTAGAACTCAAGAATGGTAAAATGTATAATAATAGTTTATGGGTCAAAATAAAGCTTATAATAAGAGGAATATGAATGTGCATAGTTTAGTTACTTAATAGTTATACAATAGAAATATAGGTTTAGTATTGGTTCATAAATAGACCCCAAAGGTTACCATTCATTATTCTTGTCGGGACATAACACGAATACAGCGTACAAATGGAATTGAAGTGAATTATCATATTGATTGATAAATCTAACTTTAAAGTAGCCAGTGAGTAAATAAAACCTCAGTAGACTTTCTGAAATTGATGAACGTGTAATTAAGTGACATAGGACTAAGTAATAAAGTTAGTATTAATGGTTTTATTTAGACCATAGTATCAATATTTCAAGGCATACACTGTCATAACACAATTTAGTGAACAAGATAAAACAACACGAGGTGAATTCCTAGTGACTGATAATTTTGTGTCGTTCATTCTTACGAGAGATCAGTTGAGAGCTGAGTAATTTACTAGTAATTTCTCTGATTTTAAAGAAAACAAAGGATAGTCTTAACTGCAATGAAACTATTTATTTATCTCCAAAGTGTTTAAATACATTTTGTTAACTATCATGAAACCGAATTTCTTCGATATCAATAGATTACTTATCGATAAAACTAGCCAAGCGCAATTGAAATAATACATACATACAAATTAGTGTTATACACAGAGAGATAATTAGTAACTATTTACTTTTTTCTTTCTACGTTTTGCAAGTCCACAAGCGAACATTTTATAAGTTAGCTCTTCTGGATTAGGCGCACTTTGAATAAAGGCTTTACGTCTTTCTTGTAGTACTATAGATGGAATTAGACCAGCACGACCATCTTGATTATGATGTCTTGCCTAAAAATACAAACACACAAAATGATCAGTTAAATATAATATATGGAAAAATCTTATCTTATTTGAAACTCAATTTTTTTTATCATACTTCCTAAAATAATTAACTGTATAATTTAAAAACGGAAATTTACCATGCTTTCATCAATAGATTTACGAACATGTTCGCGTTGCATGAAACTTTTGACATGTTAAAGTGAGGAATATTTTATTTCTATAGCAGTTATAAATCGAGAATATGAAGGCTTCAAGATAAAAGCCCATAAGGGTGTTGGTTTTAATATAACATTCAGATCAAGATGGATCGGTTTCTGTTCCAAGGAATGCCTTAAAAGTATGTCCTAATATACTTTATTAATTTCCAATATTCTTTTGACTTCTGTATTTTTTTCAACATCGCTTCAAACAATTTATTCATATGCGAAAATAACGCGTTGTTTCACACTAAACCCACTGGCGCATTTTTTTGTTTTTAATACATTTTTTCTTTAGTTTACTCTTTGCCTACACAGCACACCCATATTCCTACATAGATCCATTAAACAGTCTAAGATAATTTTCAAAATACTCTTCATATTCCTTCTTTATGTCAAGGTTGCTGATTACGAAAACGTTATAGGCTACGCTGATATTTACTGATAGTATTATAATTCGAATAAATTTATTGTAAATCTATAACTTACATAACCCTCTTCATAAATACCAACCACACTTCGACGACCATAGAACGGGAAATATTTTAATTTTCTCTGACAGATAAATAAAAGAATCACCATAAATTAAAAAATAATTTTTTTCCGTCAATTTACCTGCCACCAATAAGGATCTTCTTGTTTAAGAACTTGAAGGACAGAACCGGCTGAAAATTTTAAACCAGCTTCTTTGCATGGAATTAAATTATCATTTTTCGGATCATAAGAAAAGTGAGCTCGAAGAAAAAGCTTGGGAAAAATATGAACATTAAATAATAACAATAACAGTAATAATGAATAAATTGCCAAATTTGGATAGTTCTTTTTAAACACTTATTTTCAAGCAATATAAAAGTTAGAGTTAAATAAAATGGAAAGGGGACCAAAAATAACCATAAAGGGCAATCTGAATAGCATTAGTAAATGTAAAGTATAGTACCACATTACACGTTATTTGTTTTAGAGATAAAACACCATCAATCTCAAAATTATTGGTAATCGGAATAATAGAAAATTATTAACTGTATGAGATTATTATCTTCCAATGTTGATATTCAAAACTGAATTCATCAATTTCGGTTGTTATATGGGCTCCTTGAACAAACGTTTTCAGATTACTTGTATTTACTTGTTGATTATAATTTGAATAAAACTGAGCAGTGAAAATCAGTTCGCGCGTTTGATTATGTCTGTATTCAAGTTTCGATATTCTTAATATTACAAGTAATAATATAACGTAACTCTTTGAACAATTGATGGAAATCGTGACCCAGTAGCTTAGTGTGTAATGATCCTATGTTTTAAGTTATATGTACATAGCTTATATCCTAGTAAGAAAACAAACACTAGGATAAAAGTTTATTTAGTTGATGGTTCTTAAATATGATGAAAAGCCATAACTAAACAATAGTCACTAGACACCCAGTTTCTTCTGTCAAAAATTCTTAATAGTTTTTCCCATGAGTTAAAAGTATAACTGTTGTCTTAAGTTAACGTACACCTTCATTTGGCATTCAAATCTAAGTTATTCAACTATCAGATTCATCAAACTTTTCACACTACAAATAACGAAGAAATTACCAAGTCATACGTAGGATCATGGTTAACTAAGTAGTATTGTTCAAGGACTATTAATTACCATAAACAATTTGACACTGACATCGTCCTAATTTATGCTAAGAAACATGAAACCAAGACCGAAAGTTGATTTTACAGATAAAAAAAATAAAACAAATATATTTTACTGTTGTTATTTCGCTTAATTATGATGATAAATTTCCATGCTGACCAATTATGATGAAGTATTAGTTAAGTACTATTAATCACGTTACAAAACAGTACGACTATTTTAAGGGATTTCTTATAACAATATATCGTATTTACAACCTAATAGCAACATTAAATCATAAAACAACTCTGTAATACTTATTAACAAATTTTAAATCACATTTGAATCCAAATTTATTATCAACAACACAATACTGTGTGAATGATATGCGATCTACATTGATATTCACGTGTAAGAGTAAAAAAAATAACTGTCAGCCCTAGCAGATTTTAAAATATGTAATATAATACAATGATATAATGTTAATGATCAGTGTATTTTAACTATAATTCAATTGACTACCATCTATCAAGTGATAACTGTCTACCCTATAAAAAAGAACTGAAATTTCATTGCACTGAATTTATTTTCAGTGCAATACTAAACTGTAAGAAACAACTGACTTATAAAAATTCAATAAATTGAATTCGATTATATTTCATAAATATTGAAACTTTGAGTTCAAACATTGAACATGGATGATTTGAAAGTGGAACAATTTGAAATAACTAAAAATCTCCCCTCCTATTTTTTCTAAACTGTAGAACAGTCATGAAAATTTTACTTTGAATGTTTGATTTCGTGAAATTACAGTGTAAATAAAAAAATATTCTGAACAATAATATAAAAAGAAAATCATTACAGTTTCTCATACTGAGTTCGAGTCCCAGAGTGAACATCAACTCTGAGATGCAGGTACATCCAGCTGACGAGTCCCAAACAGGACTAAACGCGCATCCTGGATTCCACTGCTAGCAACTATCCATCTTTGCTTATATGATGAATAGATTGTACAGATAATATGTATTAAATTCTCATAATTTTTAAAAAAAAACTTATTTTTAAGTGAGATTATAATTATGATTGAAGATGTTTGATGAGATTTCACAAATAATTTTCATTATTATGTTACTATCATAAATAAGTTAATTTAAAAACCGAAATAATACCTAATAGATCCTGTATTATCTCGTTACAAATATCAATCGATAACATACATTTCTATTTTAAGAAATGATCAAGTACAAACTTATTGAAGAGAAATAACACTAACATGAATTACTGTAAAAATGACTTCAAGAAGGTTGGAAATGTAATGTATTAAATATGATTTCAATAGTTTGAGGATTATTGATTTTTAATATTCTGTTATAATTTGTGGCTTTGTGCCCTATTAATTTATAACGTAATGGTACCGCCAATTAGAGAACAGTGATTGATCGATGAGACCAATGGCACAAAAAAAACCGTACAAGCAGTCTTGAGTCCTTATCGGTCAAATTTCGTGCCTAGATCTACCTGTTATGTTCAGAATACCAATCTCAGCCTTTGCGATATGAATCATGTATTTCAAACAGTCTGGGTTTATATACAAACCAAACAGACCACATCATACCATAAAATAGGAAATAAAATTTGTACGAGATTTAGCCAAAAGCGGCTGTGAATATAGGAGGTAGTAATTGGTAGACTGGGTATAACTCAAGAATGATAAATCGTATAATAAAAGTTCATAGATCAAAATAAATCTTTTATTAAGAGGAACATGCATATGCATAGTTTAGCTATTTAATAATTATACAATAAAAATATATGTATAGTATTAGCCTAGAAATATATTCTAACAGTTACCATTCATTATTCTCGTCGGGATATAACATATTTACAGCTTAAGAATGATTCTGTTATATTTTAGGAGTTGTTATAGCTAGTTATTGAGTTAGCTTGACCTCAATTTTACAAATTATAGTGAATGGAAATAAAAAGTTTCAATTGTATATGAGTTTCTTCAAGGTTATATTTACCATCTCGTTAATTTATGATAAAAAAAAACATGAACTCAAGATAGAAAAATGATTTTCTGCATGTAAAGTTAAAAAAATATCATAATGTTATCACTTTGGTTAATTACATAGATAAATTTGTGTCTATATACTGTTCTTGATTACTAAGGTTCAATCTACCAACTTAGCCGAATAGCAAGGAAAGCAGCTACACTCAACCGTGTCAAGTATTTACGTAAACATGGTAATACAGTGCATTTAATCAAGAGAAGATTAATTTGTCAAAAATATTCTACCAATTAAAAAACATTTTATCAGTATGGGGGTTGTGGAGATTGTTAAGTTTTTGGTTGAGATCATGAATTAATTGATGTTAGACCACCGTTGGAAACCTGGAAGCACTGGACGACCGTTTCGTCCTAGTATTGGACTCCTCAGCAGTGCGCATCCACGATCCCGCACCCCACGGGATTCGAACCCATGGCCTACTGGCTTCGCGCCAGAGCACTTAACCATTAGACCACTGAGCCGGCATCCAATGGTGTTAGTGTCTAACATCAACCAATCCACGAAATTGCGCGACCAACTTCCATTGTACCGACTTAACAATCTCCATAACCCCCATACTGATAATTAACATGTGCTCACTAGTGACTAGCTTCGTGAGGGAATTCTCGGAGTTCTAGTGAGAAGTCATGACCAGTGGAGCTAATCCGTGTCGGGTAGAGACAGGTATCTACCTCAGTACAATGGAAGTTGGTCGCGCAATTTCGTGGATTGGTTGATGTTAGACACTAACACCATTGGATGCCGGCTCAGTGGTCTAATGGTTAAGTGCTCTGGCGCGAAGCCAGTAGGCCCTGGGTTCGAATCCCGTGGGGTGCGGGATCGTGGATGCGCACTGCTGAGGAGTCCCATACTAGGACGAAACGGCCGTCCAGTGCTTCCAGGTTTCCAACGGTGGTCTAACATCAATTAATTCATGATCTCAACCAAAAAATAAAAAACATTTGTTTATTTTTTTACTCAACAGTGAAATAACTAACAGGATTAGTTTTTGTTTTCAGAAATCTTCAAAAACCTTTACAACCCTCTCTCTAACACATTTTTAGATTGATTTAATTGTATTTAAAATAAACTTGAAAATACTCTCAAATTTTTGTAGGTCGCATAATGTAAAGAAAAATAACATTTCGAAACATGTATATATGATTGTTTCAATACTTTTTTATCACTAATACATACCGAGTTATATACTACTTGATTCAAAAAATATATATAGATTAAAGAATTGTTTAGTCAAATTGGATTTAAACAAAAAAAACCCACTGAATTCCCATAAAGAAATTGAACAATTTTTATTATAAAATTTTATGAAATAGATGAAAAAAGTGAAATTTTAAAGAAAAAATATATTGTTCTTTATTAATCTTACTTGTGACGAAATAGGAGTTGACTGATAACCAGGAATGATTTTCAATGTGACATTTCCAGATGCATTTTTTAATACTTTTTGTAATACTTCAGGATTATCAACCGGAACTCCATTCGCTTCACGAATCACATCACCTACGTGTAGTAAATCTAGCTGTTCAACATGAGAAGCAGCTAAAATTCGTTTAATTACTAATTCTTTCACTAAACCATAATGTGCAGACATATATTGTTGTTGAATAACAGTGATACCCTGTATAGAATAAAACAATATGTCATGTGATATTTCAAAAAATTCAAACTTTTAAATGAAAATTTTAGCATTTTATAAAAAGGCAGAGAAGAACTGATTATCTGGTAATTCGCGAAAATAAAAATATTTATTTGATGATGTAAGAAATAGTAACAATCAGTTCATTTCGCTGAACAACAAACCTTCAAAATAATGTCAGTAAAACTTTCGACGTCTAGTCAGATAAGAATAGTGGTTATAAAAGAAATGCTTTTATCGAGAGATAACATACAACTCTATAATTTACATCAGATCTACTTACATAAACACACGACTGTTGTCATAACACAATTTTCTTAACTATTCACACGAGATGTTTCATATGCAGTACAAAAAAACTTACTTTCATCGGCGTTAACATGATCTGAAGACCTGTTTAGGATACGGTTAACAGGAGAACCATGCCACTTATTTATATTCGATAATTTTGATAATTAATTATATTTCCCTGAAAAGAGCTTGGATCAGATTGCCAATCGAAACGTTGAATTTGCTTGAAGTTTAATCGCCGAGATTTTTATAAATATAATCTACCTGCTTTATGTCTTACAATAACTTGGCGCCCAACTACTATGAAACCATTTGTTCAAATTTAAACGAAAGTTCTTATAGATTTAATTTGAAGGTTGGAGGGAACATATTCCCACGCTGACATCGACTAATCATCGCAAAAGAGAAGTTACTGATAAAACCCACTCAATTTTATAAATTAATCGGAAATACGTGCAAAAAAGTAATGAAAAAAAGGAAATAGAGGTGCCATAAATAATGAGAATAAATATTTTCATTCAAGGTTGGCAAATATATGTTCTGAAAATTTAGTCATCGATGCAAAAAAAATTTCCACAACATAATAATAGTATATGTATCCTTATTAAAGTAAAACTTAATCTGAACGCGTGTTATGGACAGTAAAATCTTCTGAAAAAGTTCAAAAAAGTATATATGAAATTGTGTACAATTTGAAAATATTCGGTGAATAAGCTGTACGTAACACATGTTGGTACCTGCCTAAACAAATAAACTAAGTGTTGACATACAATCAAATGTCTTAGACTACTAAATTTAACAAGAATTAAGCTCAGTGGTTACTTTTGGATTCCGTTTGTGAATTAATTGCCAACAAAAGTATATTCGCCAAACACTAACTTGTTGAGCAACATTCGATCATAAGTACTTTGGTGTTTGGTATTTTTCAAATAAGTATACTATTTGACTACAAAATATTTATTTTACTTGCTAGTTGTCCTGTTTTTCAATACCGATTCAGTCACAGGCTAACGTCTCCTAATGGCCTGGTATGGTGGAGGGCGAGGAGAGTCCTCTCTCCCTTGCAAAATGCTCTCACATGGCTACACGTATACCGCCACTGTCAGGGAAGTCCTACTCTACGATGGGCGGGGTTTCTCGAGGAGCAGTTAAACTGACCTGGTGTCCCGGAAACATCGATCAGACTGTCCTGCTCTCCATGGTCTGTGACGACTGACCCACCTAACGGGGCGGAAGTCCTCGAAGAAACTAACTCTTCAGGCGCGACAAATCGCCAGACCCAGACGACTTACATCCGGCACTTTTAAAGATGGCGGCAACCTGATTTAGAAACTGAGTAGATTACAAACATCTGGCACTTATAGTGTTACAAAATCGTGGAATGAGTAGATAGTTGTCCCTGTGTTTAAAAAGGATTCACGTCACTTATGCAACAACTATCAGGGATAAGTCTACATCCGATGGCGTCCAGACTATTGACTCCTGTCATACTTCGTAGGTTGTTCGAATCCCAAGAAAGATTAGCTCGCGAGGAACGTCGACTTTGGTGGCTTGGACATGTTCTGAGGACGTCATCCCAGAGAATCTCACGTAGTGCACTATTTGCCGACACTGGGACTAGTTTGAAAAAGCGGAGAAGTGATCAGTGTATGATATGGTGTCGTGATATGAAAGATGTACAGGACTGGCTTATTTTGGTCCTTCACAACCACATGGTTGCGGTCCTAGAAATAGGGTGACACAGTGGCTAGAGACGTTATCAGAAATGGGTCAGAATAAAAGCCAGTGACGATCCTGCTGTAACTTTTTTTTAGTTTATTTATATAAGTGAACATAACTTCTTTAACTGGAAGAATTCTTCCTGTTTATATTTTTGCTAAGTGAACTGTTTCTCCCATTGTTTACTATTATTATTATTATTATTATTATTATTATTATTTCACTTCCATACACTAATTTCTGCTCGCCGTTGTTCTTAATTTATTATACGCACTTTACATTCTCTATCTCTTGACAAATTCATTGTTACTGTGTGGTGCATATGTGTTTTGGTGCCTCCTTGTACCAATGTTTATATGTTCAAATAAAACTTCAATAATTTGGTGTATTAGGTAGTCATCAATCTGCCATGTAGTCTCAATACGCATCATACATCAGCCGACATTCAATTTACTTATTTCAACTGGCATGGAACTCCATTCTAATATAATCTCTAAATGTTGCCGACTGCACTAGCCTATTGATTGATTTTTGTTCTAAACTTTCTGAAATTCTAATATTACTCTAGATTTTCAAAACATCTTCATTTTCTATAACTACAAGCTTTCAAACTATAGATCCGGACTGACTGTATATTTATCACATATACGCGACATCTCATAACCCATTAAATAAAAAAGCAACTCACTAAATCTTCACCATGATTCTTTTGAATCCCGATCATTTTTACTGCACCATCTACAGGTGGTAATGCTGGACCATCGCCACCTCCAGTAAGTGTAGCTTCATTTTTTCTCAAGTCAGTATACACATTTTCACTACCAGCACCGTACATAATTGATCGTGAATTATACAGTTCATTGGGGATTCCATTTCGATTATCTTTTATAGTACCATCTCCAAAACTTCTGTCAGCCACATGTAAATTAGATGCTTTGCTGGCTAGAAAACTCCCCAGATTTGTATGAGTACCACCCAGGCCCGACGTCATGTACGCTACCTCAGGTAATTCAGGCATATCAAAGTGACTGGTTGTTATTTCAGTGTATGCAGTAGAAAAGCTACGCCATACTGGAGAACTAAGTAGTTGAATTAATTCATTCGCTTCTACATCCAAAGGATCAATGGTTAATGGACCATCATAAAGTGCTTCTACTAAGTCATTGGTAATCGCATTTAGATCTGTATCTTTATTCGGTACTTGTTCACAAGGATAAGATATCAGATCGTATATCTGGAGACATTAAGGAGTAAAAAAACAAAATTCCATTAATTTTACTTCAAAGACATATACGTACCCAATTGGTCTTGGTTTTAACAGTACTGAAAATAGATGTTAATTCTAAGCCGACAGGATTCGCACATTACAATTCCCAGATGGCTATTCCACCAGTCTCATTCTTTATATCCAATAATCACTTATATACTTCTTGTTACTAAGGGTATGTAAAATGTCACACTTTGATTTATACTTTGATCTACTAAAAATAAAATGAACGGATATTGGACCACGAAGAGTTGGCGAACCGAAGTAGTCAGTATTACAGTTTTACGCATTAAAATCAGAAATCTGTAGCCGATTTGTCCAAAATTATGATATGAGTAAGGAAGTAGCTTATTAATCCAGTCAGTTAAGTAATTCAATGTACATACTTAGGTAAATGATAAAACATCATCGTTACTGACAGTGTAATGAGAAACACATATATTTCGCGAAATAACTTTCCACTTTTGTAAAAACCCAAACTAGACGACAGATATCACTAGAGATTCCAAAAACATACGTTTACTTAAAAACATAAAACTCTTGCTGCATATATGTTAACGAGCAAAATAAACAGTTTGACATGTCCAGGTTGGTAGAAAACAGATAATATACCTATATTAGACATGATTTCGTTAATTTGTATAACTACATAAGTACGAATGTAGCCTAATTTTAAGTTTTGAAAACAACATGAATAACTATCGTGATATTATCAGAGAGCACAAACGTGAGGAATATGAAAATACTTGGAGCCAGATGAATTAGAATATTTGATTAAACCTTGAACAAAGCTAGGCACGAGATGCAGAAATAAGATTACAAATAATTACATTTATTCGTTTTTTGGTGATATATGTGATATGAATATTGTCTTGAAAAATATCCGATAAGAATGAGACTTAATATTCACATATTAGTTACAGTAAAAATTTCGAGGTACTGCCTTATTACCTAACCTAACTCAGTAAAATAGATTCTGATCTGTGATTTTGTAATTACTAGATAACTTCTGAAGACAAAAAGTAAGGCCTTATCCCGAATTACTACAGCTTTATTATAATCGACAGGCCCTAAGTTCGAAGTTTGCTTCAACAACTCCAGTTTGAACATCCATGTAGTTTCCTAAATTCTCGCACACAAGAGTGCATACACGTATACTTTGTAAGTAATTTACACTGAATGAATAAATTGGCAAAATAACAAGCCGAATAGTTATCAACACAAACAATTTTAAAAAATTGAAGGCCTCTCTCAATTATAAATAAAAGCAGCTAAATAGACGGTCCATGAGGCACTAATTGTATGACTAAAGCAAATCTCAACATCACGCTATAACAGTTGTAAGTTGATATGAATTAAAACATATTGTAGAGTTAGAAAATTCGAAATACTGTGGACATTCGTTAATGTTGGTCTAAATGCAGGATTTACATGACCTATTTTTCGACTTTCTAACATGTACAAACGGGTTCTTTTTAAAAAATGATATAACGGTTATTTAAAGGTTCATGTAGCAAACTATAAACACTAACTCATATAAATTAAACTTACGAACAGTCTAACAATACTGAGTGGTGTGAAAAAAAGCTGTGAACTGTGACTATACGGAAGATAGGTTATAGTTTAGGCAGTTCGCGCAATCATTAAAAAATTGCTCGATACCTCACAACAAAACTGTATTTCACCAATCGTGATAAGGAAAAGCTGAGTTAATGCAAAACATGTTCGTGTAACTTTTTATTATGCAGTCATTCAGATACAATAACAAAATTCTGCGTGAATATGATGAGATACGAGTCTCTAGTCGTATATTACAAACCAATTCACTAAAGCATTTTCTAATTTTACAGTCATTATATCCCAGTGATATAAAGTCAAAATGAAAAACTTAAGCACACTCATTGAAACAACTTAAATCATAAAAATATAGGATAGGTTCCTAGAATTACCTCTACCAAGTTCCCGAACAATTTTTTCGACAATACTTTGTAGAGTTCAGAAGCATCTTGATCGTTAAAGTGTTTTTTTATATTTTTCTTAACCTTTTTGAGGGCGGCTAAGTTAGAAATTACAAAATGAACAGCATTTCTCAAACCATACCTACTGAATGCCTTTGCTTCATGACAACGCTGAGAACAGCTCTAGACGTCGATATACTGCAATTGGTTTCGTAGAATTATTTCTGTCAGAAAGATCACAGAGTATTTAACTCGGGTGTTGAACATTCATGCATAACCTATACGAAACTGAAATAAAATGGAAATATAGTATATCTAACAACATCAGTATATAAGGTAATGGAAAAATTCATGATATATTTATTTGTACCTCAGAAAAATGCCGTTATGTGAAGGTCATCTGCAGTGAACTGCTCTGTAAATAATTACAATATTGTGGACATTGTAAAATATATTTATACTACTTTACGGCCAACCCTAAACAACATCACATTAAGTGTGGAACATCAACCCAGAAATTAAATATATCCCATGTTATGAATACTTGATTTAAAGTACCATGCAAAATGCTCTGAACTTGTAAGTACACTGCATTTCTGTCCCATGCAAACAATTGAAAATAGTGGGTTTTTTCATCCCCAAATCAAAATGGAAATGCAATTACCGATCTTGTTTAAAGATCATGACTTGCAATACACAAAATCAATCATAGTGGCATATTTGTACTTAATACCATAAATTTCAGTAGACCTGATTTCTTCACAAATAAAACGCTATTATTTCGCGGTGAATTAAGAATAACAGTGTTGAACGAGGTTCCGTGCCTGTTTAGATAGACGAATAAAGGAATTCATAAAAGCTTGAACGAAATTACACAACCCAACCACGTTTTATTTACTTAACCTGCAAAAATGTAACGTCTACACTTATAAGTTGTGTTATTCCTGAACTCCAAAGCAAATTACCTATACATCACCATTTACAGGATTACATTTTTTATCTAAATCCACCATTGTTGCAAAACGTAATGAGAAGTTGACACTGATGACTAATTTGATTATGTGAAAAATTAAAATCGAAATTCAAGAAAGTCATATATGTATATAAAGTCACTTCGCAATATATAAGTATTAATTAAGTTTACGCCAGTTCCCGTTTAAGACTCACGTTAACATATAGAAGCTCTGTGAAGTTTCCTTTAGCATGAAGTAGGAAAGGCATACTGAACTACAATATCGAACACCAAACATCGCGCTATTTACCTTTGCGTTTTTCTGACGAAAGTTCCAGTTTATTTTTTATTACACATTCGTTGTGGAATGACAAGTTCATTTAAAACAGATCATAGAACGGAGGAAAAAAGTATTATTTGTGACTTCTGTCGCAATTTCGGACAAGAACTTAACATAAGCTCTCGAGCATTCGCATAACAGATACCGTACGTTGTGGATAAAAAACTTTCTTTGTGTTAGAAGACGGGGAGTGAAACAGTAATTGAATTGAAACTGGTCAAAAGAATTGCGCTCTAAGGTACCATTTTGAGCTCACCATATTATTTCACTACTTCGATAAATTACCGTAATTATTCATGTTGGCGATACTAGTATTGACAGATGGCTTTAAAGTTCAGAGAATAATCCAAATCAACTACTTAAATGGTCGCGATTTCGGGATTTGAAATTATTTCTATAATGAGTGTGTTAATGCATAGTGAACACCGTGAAGGTAACCAGTGGATTGTCAGCGGAACACCCCCCCCAACTCCTGCAAGGACGAACAGACCTAGACGTTATAGTAGTCGTGCCTGGGAATCGGATGCGAATTGAAATGCAATAGTAGCTCCAGGTTATATAGTCACGGAGCATTCAAATGTTTTAACGAATTTTAAACATCATACACGTAATGTCATATCCTGATTAGGTTCTTCTTCTGGCTCGCCAAGAAACCTACTTAGAACATTGTGTTCATGCATCTGGTTCATATTCGATTACGGCAGCTAACTTAGTAATGTTCAACGTGTAAGTATTAAGTTACAGTAAGGACTTTCCAAGCTTTCTTAGCACTGAAGATGGCAACTTTCCAACCTTTTCCTTTCATTATACCGCAGAATATAATGTGACCTCGTATTGATATTCCATATCTTAAATAATGATTTAAGTAATAACATGCCTCAGAGTCTATGAGAAGATGCTTCAAAGACCGGGATCGACAAATTTCACTTTGGTTCAGACCAATCAGTGAACGCGTTCACAGAGTAGCTGGATCTCCCTGGAAAACAGACTGCAATTATAGATACAAACCACTCAACCTGCTATACTTAAAAGTGAAGTCTGTAGGGTCTGTCGTTATCAACACTACCAACCTGAAGATGTCACGTAGATTCAGCGCTCGGCAATATTATTCTTTCTGATATCTTCCCGACCAAATACTTTAACGCTTGTCGAACTAGAATTCGGGGATGGAGGAAGCTTTAATATATATATATATATATATATATATATATATATATATATATATATATATGGAAAATAGTAGATACCTCGAGTAGACAACCTAAGCTGACTATTTGTTGTGATGAATTCGTTGAGCTGCTACCTAAACATATTCTGTAGCGAGTGCCTGATGAACCTCTTTCAACTACGGTTGATCTGATGAATCTAATGAGGTCAGAATCGGTGTAAGAGACTCACAGAATCACTTGTTCTAGAGATTTGTTTACCACAATACATTTATCACCTTGTCTTTACATTATTTTCAACTAATCTCTTCTCGTTCAAGCATCTTCATTGCATTATCAATGTAGTCAGCCTAATGAAATGACATAAGTATGATACTACGAATTTATGGTTAAAAGAAAAAACACATTAGTGCTTCAACCTCATAGATATTTAATTAACCCTCTTTCTTCAAGGCAAAACTGGAGTTTTCCAACTGCTAGGTCTTAACGGCCCGACCAACAACGACGGTGCCGCCGCTAACCTTTTGGCTGAACAATACTCTCAGACATTTCAACCGACCCACATCAAATATACTGATGACAGCTTCATCTGCAACTTCGAAAGACTTTCCAAAATGAACCTGAGCGCTGACTTGGCGTTCCGGAATCTGCAGCACTTAAGAATAGAAACTTCTCCTGGCCCAGATATAGTCCATTCTGCTATACTGAGGGAAGCAGCTTCAATCCTGGCAACGCCGCTTAGTAGTATTCCAAGTGGAAAAAGATTTAGGAGTGTTGGAACCCTACGATTTGAAGCTTCACGGTAATTGTGGCAAAATTGCTATCCGAGCAAACCTTGCACCGGTGATATGGAAGAGCATTTTTTGACCAGTTTGAAGGAAGAACTCTCCATATAATCTTCAATATTTTCACTCGTCCCCATTTAGAGTACGGAAACATAGTATTTCCTCCCTTACTCCAAAAGGATACGGACACTCTGGAGCGTATCTGACGGCGAGCCACGAAATCAGTCCGACGGCTCAAATTTAAACCTTATGAAGAGCGCCTTCACTCACTTGACCTTTACCCATTAGAGTATAGGCGTGTCAGAGCTGCCCTTCTAATGGCTTACAGTATCCTTAACAATTCTGGACATACTCTTAAACACCTACTTAAGCTTAGTTCTAACACTAACCTGAGGGGTAACACACAGAAATTGCAGATACAACATAGCAGAACGGACTGTGGACACAAATTCTGCTCCTTAAGATTTGTCGAATGCTGGAATTTGCTGTCAGCCGAGCTTGTCCAAGCGACTTCCCAGGAGTCCTTTATAGGCAACTTGATCTATTCTTAAGGATTAGGGATAGTATCATACTATGATTTACCAGTTTCTTTTTCCTCTTTTATTGTTAGCATAACTAGGTCTCTGCCTGGAGGTTTTGATGATCCCCTGCTACTAGACACGGAAGCCTAGTAAGCGAAAGCCTCTTCTATTCCGTCCACGGCCATTTGAACTAAACTGCTTCAGCCGAAACCTTAAACAACCTTAGATGTTGGATTTCGTAACCGCGATTTACGCAGGTGGTGCTACATGGAGATAGGTGAGTTGTACGTGTTCTCCCTTTTGGTGTTTGGGAACAGGACGGCAGTATTTTTTCAGTTCTGACGGTATATATCATTTTCGAAATTCTTCACTTGGATGAGAATCATGACATTGGATATTAATGTACTGTGGTACTGAAGTTGCGATCTCTTTCCATAGATTTTGTTAGTAAGAATATAATTTATGGACGACCACTGGGCGATGCTAATGTAGCCTTAATCTCAGGCATTGGGATTGAATAACAGTCCCGTCTCTTTCTAAAATATTTTCATTTTTCTGTGTCCAGTGGGACAGGCAAAAATATCTTCCTTTATGGTAAAAGTTTGTGTTTGCTGGACACAAACGGTTATCCGAACATAATTGCTACAGTCTTTCGTCGTTGTCTGTTCGGTAAGCTGTAACACGTTAAGACCTATTTAAATGTCCTCTTATTTGGCTTAAACTCCCTACCTGGTCTTTAAAACCAACTGACACCATTACTACATCTGAGCGTTTTGAGTTACAAAAGGTTGTATTGTACTTTAATTATCGTAGTCACTATGCTTTGAAACCCTTGATCACAAACTAAGCCTCCAAAGTACCTCTAGTCAATTAGCTGGATGAAATTTTCAGCATCCGACATTCTCTGTCTCTTGAATGGTTAATAAAATATAGTTTTAACTACATTTAAATTTTGAAGGCCATTGGCAACAAGTTTTGGCTTAAAGGTAGATGAATATATACTAAAAACATCCATTTTTAAGTATGTGTTCACACCATTTATTAAGTTGTTCTATATATTATTCATAGGGTGTTTCGGTTTGTAAAGATAATAAATTGAAAGTACCATAGTTCAGTACTTCACAGTGCTTTCACTCCTAATCACATCGTAAACCACATTCGTAGTTGTGTGAGATTGTAACAAGTGCAATGCTTTATTATAGTCACTATATATTTTTGTGATTTGTCTATCATTGCTATTTTCGTTAATCTACAGTCCCTACATGAAATTCCTGGATTTGTATGGCAGACTACTTGTATTAATATGGACAGTCGTCCACATCGTTATGATATTGGGCAAAAGCTGTTGTGTTTCGAACCTGACAGTTCTAAGGCTAAGCTAATTTATTTTGCAAAGGTAATATATTTGATTTTTCATTTGATATCTTGATCCAGATCTTAAAACATGTTTCTCGTAGAGATACAGAAGTTCCCCATTACTGTGTTCACTTTCACGGTTGGAAATGTAAATGGGACCGTGAAGTCCCAGAAGATTTGCTTCTTGAAAACAATGAATTCAACCGAGTATTAAAAAGAAAAATTGATGAAGTTGCCCAAAATGTAACTTTTCCGTAATCCTGTTATTCTTGTTAAGGTACATGGAAGACATCAGCGTAAACAACGTATCGATATGATTCTGGAGGGTGCAGCTTTAAGTGGTGATGATATTGATTGGGAAACAGTTCCTGGTGTTTGGAAAGGATCTAAATCAAAAAAATCTTATCATAGTTCTCTCTCAAGTGATAGCAATAGGGGGAAAACATTGATCAGTTCCACATCGTTTGATGATAATATTCCTTTTTTGGATCCAGTTCTTTCATCCATTCTGGATCAGGAGGAAATAACACAATTACAGTTTGAGCAGCTTCAGGTAAATTCATGCAAATTAGAAACGTTTATATTAGATACACAAACCTTATATGGTTTCTTTAGATCTCCCCCAAAACCTTCGAGATATATTGAAATGTCATACCGATGCTAGTGATGTGGGAACGGATGTGTCCAAGACATTTCAGTATTGGTGTTCGGTTCTTCAAGTGCTCCAAAAGTATGTTGATGGATTCCCATACAGTGGGTTGAATATCAGTGCTCTGCTTGGATGTAGTAGTTCCTCAAGTGGTAAGTTAACATTTTGATCGGTTTCGTGAACTGGTGAGTCATTTATTGGAAGATAGCATTGTTTCTGATAAAGATAATGTAATTCTATTTCAATTAAATGAAACATGGCGTGATTCAATTACTATTAGAAAAAGCTGTATATTTTGTTTGTTAAAACGTATTACCTAAGTCGAGATAGTTATATTGAAGTTTGAACATGTGATATGATGGGTAAAAGTTGGTTATTTAAACTACCGAGTAACAATAACTTAAAAGGAAACATACATTCTTTTTTTAACCCCCACTTATTGTAATTTTTCATTCCAGTTTATGTAAGCAGAAATAAATTACAAGTCCGTATTGGTAGTAGTTGTTATGTGTCGCGCTTTGGTTTTCCTGGTCGTTGACTCTTATTTTACTTTCAAGCTGTATGTTGGGTTAAACCCGTACTATAGCAGTGACACATAAACGTAAACCGTTTGACGGTAGATTCAAACTCCACTCTACCTACTCCGATTTGCGCACCTCACTGGTAAGGACACAAGCCCTGTTAATAAGTACAGTTTAAAAAAAGTAAATAAACCTCTCCTCAGGTTTATTTACTTTTTTTTTAAAATTGTACTTATACACTCCCTGTCTTCCCTTAAACTAAGAGATTAAAATCGCTTCATATCTTTCTTTCTACGAACCAATTCTTTCTTCTTGTACTATATCTCTATATGCAATCTTTCTCTTACATATTACTACCTTTGACCTAACCACTGCTATGAATCCGGTGTTCGTCTTGTTGTGCTGACGCGGTATGGCAACGTGGACCGATGCACATATGTGCTGACTGACTGACTGAAATAAACCTGAACTTCATTGCTAGATTATGTTATTTATTTACTATTTTTATTCAACATATACTGTAACTTTACAGGCTTTCGATGTTTCAATTTTGCAAAAAAGTCTGTTAGTTGAATAATATATCCGTCTTTGACTATTACGCTGTTCAATAATTGAAAAAATCTTTTTTTCGCTTTAAGCTTCAATATGATAGATTATGGGAGGTTTTCTTCATTTTATTCATTTCAAAGGAATCATTTCAGATCGCGTTTCACGTATCATGAACCCTTTATTCTCACTAACTGATCGAAACCGGTTAATTTGTGCAGAGGTTTGTTCTAGCCTACGCATACTGTTTGATTTTACCGTAAAAAGCTATCTACTACTTCCTAATGAAAAATTATATTTTACAAACGAGTAAGTGTTTTTTAATAATTCAGATTCATTTTATTCTAATGTATTAAATCTCATAATCTTAACACATTATTTTACTCTAGGCCTCTATTTTTAAATAATCCGGTTAAATTCAAAGGTTTTCGGGAACTGATTACAAAAGTAGGTGCTCAGTATTGTGAGCATTGACTTGATATTATTCAATGAGTAAATGAAATTTCACTCTCAACAAATAAGTTTAAGTAAATTTTTATGAATCGATTGCGGGACGATGTCATATACGTTGTAAAAAGCTGATGAATTCATAAACAAGTTCATACCTAAGCCTAGGCTGTACTTATTTTCATTGTCTCAACTGTCATTGGAATATACAATCTATTATTTTGGAGATGGTTAGACAATATTGATGACGTTTTAAAGTATCGCTGTAACCACAACTTTTTATTGTTTGGAAGATTATCCACTTTTTTGTGGTCATATTTCCCTACTTAAAGTAACTATTGTTACACTTTGAAGTTGATAAAGTTTTGTCTTATATTAAATTATTTTGAAAAGAGCAAGAACAAACATTCTAGCAGAATAGCATGAATTCATTTTTTCTTAGATTACAAATTTTAGGAATCTCTTTCTGTTTCACCTGGTAATTTCGAACAATTAATTAGAAAAAGAGGTCAATAATTATTATAAGTTGAAAAATTTAAATTTAAAATAGGAGAATATAAGGAACACATAAAAGACCTTGGTATCCAATCATAGAAAGTGTTTCACTTAGTATGGGCACATAGCCTGTAATCAATGACTTCTTTTATACTGTGTTTATGTAAACTGATTTTTTATGCCCTCATACCCAGATTTATATATCACGTGATAAGATCGTCAATTTATACCGACTTATACGTTCCGACTAACGACGCATAGACTAGGTCGAGCAATATACGGTTCCTATTGGTCCTCTGAAATAGTTACTTCTCTCCTAATCCAGCCTGTTCAGACCAGAACGCTAGTGTCAGCCTCCGCTCTACGAATCATATATTTCAGTGATACTGGGTGTATATACAAACAAACAAGATCGTATCATAACATGAAATAGAAAATAACAATTATACAAGACCAAGCCCAAAAGTGGCTGCGATTGTGAGAGACTGTTACTAATAACTTGGGAATATCTTAAGAATAGTAAACCGTATAATAATAGTCAATATACAATAAGTATATATATAACGGTCCATAAATAATTCCTGGCTGTTACATTCATTTATTTTCCGTCCGTATATAACGTGATTAATGTTTAAATTGAAATATAACGTACTTAAAGGTAAATGATCCTCACGGTTTTGGTACTTGTCTCTAAGTCGTTTTATTGTACAAAATTTGTCTTTTTCTATGTGACATTTTCACTACTTTTTACTTCTGTACTATATTAGTTTCAACGGTCACTTGTTTGAAGATGGTCGAGCATTCAGTGTAAATTATCACCATGGGCCAAACGATATTCATTCTATTTATCGATTCTCTTCACCTCGATATGAATTGCTTCCAAATTCAGAAGTTATAAAAAATCCACGATTACCCTGTTTAAATTATCCTCCTTACTACCTTTTAAGACTAATCAGTAGGTTATCTGTAAATTGATTAATTTTTTTGTCTCGTAGTTTTGGTTATTTAAAACATGGGTTTACATGTAATAATATTATACGATTTGTTTGTTCAACTTTCAGTCACCTATCGACACTCCAGTATATATACTCAACAATTGTAGTTGCATTTACTGTATGAATTTCCTTCAAAAGGAATTCCATGTTATTTCGGTTTCATTTACTCTTATTTTCATAGTTGTACCGTTATTGTTGATGTTAGTGGTGGTGGTTGTGTTGATGTATCTTCGTTAGTTTTGCATAGTCATTAAGAACTTGCGTGACATGATTTTTACGCGTTCAAGATCACAACATGAATTTGTGGTGTTGGTAATAGTAGAAGTAGTATCAACATTTGATACTATTATCTCATGATTTGATTCTGCGTAACCGATTGGTGATTGATACAGCTTATCAAACGTTTAAAGTGTTATATTCTATTGCTGAACAAATCTGTCCAATAGTCTTGTCTAATCTAAAAGATTGTGTTCGCTCCATTTGAGAGTTACAATTTATCTTCTAATAATTCTTATGTCTTGTTAAATTACAAATACAATATTTGTTCTCCAACCCATGTTTATCAAGGTTTAGAACTCGAGCTTCTTTGTTCAACTACAGTGAATACCATAAAGTCAAACAAGTTTTGTATCAGTTTAATTTCTACACTTTGAATTAACACAAGAAAAAGAATTAATCAGGAACAATCAAAACTGCTGTAATAACTATTTGTATAGCAGAAAATAGTTTTTAAAAAAAACTAACATTGAAAAACAAAACATAATAAATAGTTAATTTCGTGCAGTTAATCTATATTAGCATCCGTTTTATGTGTTGGTTCATGCCATGTACTTAGAATATTTGAATCATTGTAGATCCTCTCGTATGACAGTTATTATCAAGTTTTCAATTTCTTTCAAATCCTACTGTATGTATATTTTAGTCTTAATTTTTCATATCTACCCCAACTAACTTCTGTTTATGCAACTGAGTAACGTCACTAATTTTTTTATATCATGTTCAGCTCAAAAGGGGATATACTTATTTGTACTTAACTATTTAGTTACATTAATGTTATTATTTGTATGATAAAATTGATGATTATCTGTCTTAATTACATTTAAATCACAATACACATTTCATCTACCAGAACCAAACTTCTTTACTTTTATACTCAAGCTTTTCATGTAAGCCAAAATATGAACAAAAATCTCAACTACTTAGTTCTGTGTACTATAAATGGATCCAGATTTTTTTATTAATGTTCCTTGCGTTTTTTTATTCGGCTATTGTTAGTTTGAATGATCGTAAGTTTTGTTTTGTATTACTGAAACATTATTTTGTAGCTATCCTTCCTACATTACTGGATGGTATGCAGTTAACACCTTGTCGACGTGCTATAATTCATCGACATTTGTACATGTTTATCCATTATATTGATCGAACTTCGAAGTTTTGGTTTAATAAATGCTGGTCAGATGAAAAGGATATGCGTTCAGGTAATCAAATTTTAGGGAAGATATTTTCAGGAAAATCATGTGGAGATTAATTTGTTGACTGTGTTCCATAATTATTTACTAATGTGAAATTTTGGTATTTTATGTCCATATTAATTGGTCAAGTTAATAAGTAGATATCCATCTGTATCGTATTAAATTAATTAGTTTAGTTTTTCTACCAACTAAATGTTTATTATATTTCTGGCTACACTTTATGGTGTGTGTGCGGTAGTTTTCTTCCTTGCTTACTCCTGTTACCCCTCGTAGAGCATGCTTTTGTTGTCTCATTCCAATTCCTATCACAGTGTATTCTTCGTTGAACAGCTACTCCCTAGTTTGTAAGTTGCCCAGTTTGATGTAGTCTGAACAGCTAGTTTATATTATCATTCGGTGACGTTTTTAAAGCTCTTTGATCTAACTAGATGTTTCCTCTTTTAAGAGTAATTTTCATAATCTTCTAGTCGGATAAAAGCGAGTTTTTTTGAATGATCAGTCTAATAGATTGACCGATATCTCAATAATTAAATAACTCTCTTGAATCTGTTTCATGATTTCGTTAGTAAAGCTAATTATTCTGTAAACGGATTTATGTTGTCACAAAAAATGAGTAGGCTTATCTGTTAAAATGATTAAAAAGTATCATCTACTTATATGATTTCTGTATTGGAAAAACCCGAAAAGGTTGTACAATAGTAATGGTATGTGTTATTGAAGGAGTGGTAAGCACAGATCAATAACCAGATGAAATTAGTTTTGTGTATTAAACTGTAAATCATATATATTTTGTGGATACTAATAACACATGATCTGTTTAAGGTAATATAAATGTAGGCAAAATTGAATATTTGTTTTCAAGTTAACCACTTCGAAAGTAATCCAGTGTTCATTAGTCCCGAAACTATAACTTGGGTGATCAACTAAGCTAAGATTAAATAACGATGTATATTTATCATGTAAATGTTCAAACTACGTATTACCAACTACTTCATTGAAATCACGAACCAATCCAGGTTAGACAACCACTAAAGATCTAGAAGCACTGGACAGCTGTTTTTGTCCTAATGTGGGACTTCTTGTCAATTCACATTCATGACTGGTCACTGAGGATTAGATCCAGGATTTTCGGTCTCACGCTCAAACCTCCAACCTCATAATCGCAACTGGGTTCCAGTGGTTTACAAGTTTAGCTTCAGTCAGTCTTTGTTTACCAACTAGTCGAATATAGAAAACCCTAATCGTTGGATTTTTATTAAGTGAATCAACTATAACGTATTTATCACAGGATTTTAAATGCTCTTATTTTAACTTTATATGAAATTGTATTTCCGGACATAGGATGACCGTCAAAAGCATACTAATGATAGGTGTCTAATGTTCACTAACTTTCAGTGACTACTAGCTACCTTCTAATTCTTCCATACAATTAGTACTCACTACTTTTTCTATTTTTTCTAGTCACTTAAAAATGATCTCTTACAAAATAAATTTTTCATATATAATTGTTAATTTACAGACATTTCTTAATTTGTTCTATTCTGTTTGGTCCGATGATTTTTTTAATCCTTATTTATGTATACATACATGTTTTTTTCTAATTATAGTGTCAAATAAGTTAGAACAATCATCGATTAATACTACAATATCTGAATCTTCTAGCGATACAGAACCGTTAACAAACATTACTAGTTCTAAATCATTACGGCGTACAACACGAAATACTTCTAAAAATCAATTAACTATAAGATCTGAATCATCAGAATTATCTCCTTTAATAACAAAATCATTCTATTCATCTAATGAATCACCTACAGTAACATCAAATTCCCAACCAATAATAAATGTTAATCTAAAAGACATAAACAAGGATTCTAACACAAATGTATCATTGACATGTTCTATTACAACAACACCTTCAATTGACATAATATCAACATCTCCAACAATAGTGACAGGAACAAAATTCAAACATAACTCTGCTGATTATCCATCAACGGATGTAAAATTTCAATCTCAAGTTAAACAGACTGCTCGATCTATTCCATTATTAAGTGGAAAATTAAAAACCGATGATCATACCACAACAACATTAAGTGCAACAATTACTAATACTGTTAACACTACACAAGGTAGTCTTGATCAAAATATTCGTATGACACGTTCAATTGCTATGCGCCTAAATAGAATGAATTCTGGTCCTAATTTACGTTCTCATTCATTAAGAGGAAAATGAGGATATACATCAAAATAATAATATGCACATTTTTCTGTTTGTGCATTTCATTGTGTATACTGCTAAGATGGTTATCGTTATTCCTTGTTCTTTGTCAAACATATTTTTATAACGTGTTCTAGATATTTTCACTGTCATTATTATTATTATTAAAACAACTGTTTATCAGTTTAACTGTTATGATGATTTTGAGAATCCTGTTCTTAAATATTTGTTTTGTATGTTTTGGAAATAAATTCCTGTAACAAGGTATACACTTCTAAAGAATTAATTAATTTAGAAGTTGTTTTTTTTCTTAGGAAATGATCATTAGTTCAAAGAATCAGTAAAGAGTGTAGAAAACTTAATCATCATAACTCATTAGTTTGGCGCTTCTCAGCCATACAGTTCGTAAAAACGTTTTCGGTTGAATCCTAAAATAATACATTAAACGTGCTGATTATTTATTTGCTATGATTTGTTTTTCCCAACGATGAACAATTAGCGTTGAATTACCATCGTGTCTTAATACAACCTGCGATTTACTAGTAGTTAATTAAAACCCAAAAAGGACAATATCATTATACTAGAACTTAATGATTATAATATACTTCATTTTGTTTCGAGGATTCCTGCATAGGCCAATCTGTGATGAATACGATTAACAATCCAAACTAATTTTCACAACACATCACAACAATGGTGTGTTGTTTTGAAGAAGCGTTGTTGATACTAATTGTTATATGATTGTAAATTAATTCAGTAATTAATTATCACAGCCTCACGTGAATCATCTGTTAGCAGGTTATTTGTAGAGCGAGAATTTTTCAAGGTGTACTATACCGTAGTGTATTAGCAACTCATCATGTGGAGTTATTTTTTCTCCAAATTTCTAATTATAACACCATGATTCTGTACATTATTTTAGGTACAAACATTATTTAGATGATTACAATTTGTCCAATAAAATAATACGAATTAGCTTGATGCCCAACGACGATAGTGTAACATTGTTTTACTGTTCTAAATAAAGTAAATATAATCATTCATCAGTTAATCAACTGTGTAAATTGTTGGGTTGTGTAGCTCTTGAACTGCCTTTATGTAGTCGAGTAAATGAGAACATGTATCTTTGTTTACAGACATTCATTCACTAATATATCCGATTCTTTATTACACATCACCCTATATTATTTGTTTCTCTATAGGTACACAGATATGTTACGTTACTCTTGCGTAACTCATGCATCATCAATCACAAGAAATTTCTTATTTAAAACATATTTTTCCAAGTTGTCATCCTTAAAATTGAAGGAAGAAAATAATTCACCCGATGTGAACCCACCTTTGAAACGGTACAGGAATTCTACTTCTGTTATACGCGCATTAATTTCATGTGTGCAACCTGTTCCAGAAGCTCCAATTTTCTATTTAGGTCCAGATTTTAGTTATTTATCGACCTCAAAAACACGTCTTTGTATGTTATCAAAAGCTAAAGGTCGTTTAGCTGCAAGAGTATCTGCCAGAGATTTTTTTCCGAATGATATTACAGCTTTAAGTACAGAAGTAAGTAAGATGATTTTTTCATTCCTATTTCTAGTAATTTCACAAAAGATAAACTTGATGAGTATTTGTATTTTATAGAATCTATGGTTTATATATTAAAACTAGCATCAACAATGTATCGTAGTTTAGATGTAGTGTATCCTTGAACTGTGATTCTTTTGGTTATACTCAGTCGATGGTAAATTTTCATCTGTTTCGCCACCAGGTTAGAGGTTTACTCATTAATTTATTTTAAACATTCTGAAGTATTGTTATTTATCATAATTCTAGTAAACTATTGGTAATTTTTGTTGTAATGTTGAATAAAAGTAAATATTTCAGTTCTTTATTAGCTTTCTGTTAGAAAAATATTTACAAGTTCTGCTCTCCGTAATTTGAGTTTCACTGTATCAGCTGAACTAATTCACTTCTAAATTTGTATTCTCTCCTTTTTCAGGCTCCACATATTAAGCGATGGATACCTATACAAACTCCAGATAGTATTTTGAAACGTGCTGTTGAAGGATCATTAAGCAATGATGAAGCTATGGATCGGTTGATTTTACTTCTTGCTCCTAAACATTCGTGGAAATTATATAATGAGATAGCTCCTGTAAGCCTGTATATCATAGCAACAAAATTAATATACATAATTTATTTATAAAGTTTGAACCTTCCTGTCGTTGATTTCCACACCTTGACATCAACAAGCCCTTACAATTAAATAGTAAAACTCATCCCTTCTGTAAGAACCTGAGACTATTTCGATTCAGTAGTGCAGTAAACAAAGTGTTAAGCGTTCAAAGCATATGGTGTTGAGCTCGTGTTTTAATGTGAACATGAACACGAGAACGCCAATGAACCCAGGTGATGAATGCAAAATAGGACGAAAAGTATGTCCTAAATTTCACTGTTAGCCACTATCCATTCCTTTCGGGTCGAAAGGAAGTTCTTTTTCTGGTTTTTGGTTTTCCAAAGTTTTCACTTGTTTTGTCATCGTCTTCTCAGCTCTGTTCTTGGAAATTTTTTCCACATAGTCCGTAAACATTGACTGAAGCTCTGAAGACAGGTTTTTAACAGAATATTGTCTCTGAATAAGATTCCTTTCCAAGTTACGGCTATTCATTTTTAAAGTGTGAATTTCATTCGCTGTATTTATTCCAAGTGTTTTCGCATTAGGATAGATTCTGTTACGACACAAAGATCTCCAATATATATATATATATATATATATATATATATATATATATATATATATATATATATATATATATATATATATATATATATATATATATATATATATATATATATATATATATATATCAGATTGCCAAATCGTTTGATTAAAATATTTATAAGTCAGTCTTAAAAAACAAACATGTCGGTGGTATGTCTACAAATATATGTTACTATAATAATGAAAGAGTGTAAGGTATATTAATATAGTAAGGTTAAAGTATCATACTAACAATAGTCTTTGAGTGTTGATCTAGCACAGGTTTAGCAGTTATACCAATTTAGCGAATTTCATATATACTACTATAGTAAATAAATTAGTAACTTAAAAAGTAAGTTCTAATTAAATATTTTTTGAAATCATTATACTATGAGGTTATTTGCTTTTTCGTGTTATAATTTCCCGTATAGTTCTCATGTTATTTATATTTTGTGTGTATATATTAGGATTACAAATGGACATCGAATACTTTGCATCGCTTGCTTGACCTTTTATGTGTTACAAATGGTGGTCGAGGTGGATCTCATTCCCATGTATTATTAAATAATTATAATTGGAGTAATCTTCCGGATCCAGATGAAATCTATATGACTCATCGTTTTGATTTTATTCCTAGATATAATCATGACAAACAAATAATAACCAATCAAAACGAGTTGGAAAATATAACAGATGATGAAATCAACTATGAGTTTACAGGAGACTCCATATCATTAGTAGGAGAGTCTAATAATTGGAATTTAGACTCACCTGCAGAAAAATTGTTTCATAAAGAATTTAACATTCTCAACACGCCAGCAGGTTATCGAAGTATGATTCGTGGTGCAGCTAGATTCGGTAATGCTGATCGTGCTTTCGAATTGACTAAACTTGTATGGGAATCAAAAAATGACGATAAATATCTTGATCTAGCCACATATAATCAATTAATTCGTTCTCTACATCAATTAACCGTTGTAATGAGAGGTGAAGAGAATCTGTGGAATGTAATTTTGGATATTTTAGAACATGTGAAAACATGTGGAGATCCAATAAATATTTCAATTTTTACCAATATTCTTTATACACTAGCATATGCAAGTGCTAAAATGAAATATTCGACGTCACCAACATTACATTTATCTAATGGAAATTATGTCTCAATAGGTTTAGGCTTATTAAATGAATTAAAACGATTAAATTTTAAACCTGAACTTGGTACATTAGCTAATTTGTTGTTGTTAATTCATGAAACACCAGCACCTGTAAATCGATCTTCCACATCGACAATAAATAAACAGAATGATAATAATAATTTGATAAATTATCATACTGATCATTTATCCTATACTTGTTCTAATCTATTGAATGAATTATTAAATGAAGTAGAAATCTATTTTAATAATAATAATTCTGGTATAGGCGGTTCACCTCAACGTTTTGATGCATGGACAATGGATGATTATACGTTTTTTCCAATAGCAATGAAATGTGCAGTGAATGAATTAAATGTAGAATTAGGTCAAAAAATCCATAATTTATTAATTCATCATGAAGATAGAACATTTTTATTGCCTAATAGTCGAATGAAACGAACTTATATGTATCATTATTGTAGATTAATGATTCAATTTAATGAATGCGATATGAGTGAATTCGATCAATTAATCCAACGTTATAATAAAACTTATTGTCAGTATTTTGAAGTGATATTATCATCAAACAGTTTACTGATAGTTTTAATCAAAAATTATAACAGAATATTGAGATTATGCGATAGTTATACTGTACCGAATCTAAAGATCCCTTTAAACAAAAAGACATATAACCAACAAACTATCCATTCAATAAAATTAGCCGTATATAGTCACCTATGCAGAATATTAAATGATTTGTTAAACACTGAATTCTCTCACTATTTATATGTTTCTCCAAGCACCATTAAACGGATAACGCTTACAGTGTGCAAATGGGCTACTATTAATCCAAAGAATGCATTAGATATGTCTATGAATCTAATAAATACTTTAAAAAGATTAGATAATTCAATAAAACCAATGAATGATGTTTCTACAACTACTAGATCTCATGATGTGAGTGGAATAAAAGTTGATCAATCAATTATGAAACAGTATGACCAACTTGTTAAATTTATGATCATTGAAAGTACAAAATTATGTTTTCCAATTTTTGATGAATTATCTACTGAATATAATAATGATAATAAAATCAATCGTGAAGAATACTTAACATGGAAAACAAAATTAATTAACGCATTATATGATTGGTTTAGTTATGCTGAAAGTCATAAAATGATTACATGGGAATGGGCGATAAAAGGATTATATATTTTATGGAAAGAAGATGATTTTATACAACTGTAAGTTCATTATTCTATTTCATCTTATTAAATGTGTATTTTTAATAGTGATTGTTTTATTAGAAAGTTCAACTTTATACTGGAATTGTATTCGAGTAACTTCCAATTGATTATCCCTGTGTAGTTCTGATTTCAAATAGGCTTTCGTTAGTATTAAATTCTTTCCAATGGCTTTTAGAAGGATAAGAGATAAGAGATTTTAAAATTTATTTATACCATCATGTCTTGTGATTATTATGAAGTAAATTAATACATTCATTTATGATGTAGAGTTTTGTATAGATGGAAATTTACTCATTGGTTTGTGAATATGAATTACCTGAAAAGACTTGGATAGTCATTATGTATTTTGAACCACCATAGAAAATAAAACGATGTTTTTTTTATTCCAGTACATAATGGATAACTTTTAAACCTAGGGCAGTAACAGATGTAATTAAGCTGTTACCCAAATTGTATGAACCTGATATGTCACGTTAGTTTTACATACGCTTGTTACCAGTTGTTGAGTATAGACCTCTCACCAGGATTCTCCAACCAACTTTGTCCTGACCTTTCCTTTACAGTTTTTACAAAGTATCACTTACCCTTTTGATGTCTGCCTCCGATTTCCGGCTCAATGATTTCTTTGGTCTCCCTCTTTTTCTTTTGCCTTGAAGATTCGAGGTTAGCGTTTGCCTCGTGATGCGGTTTGGGGATTTCAGTAAAATGTGTCCTATCCACCTCCAACATCTTTTTTCATGTGGCCTTGGATATGCATTTGCAGGGGAATATGATTCCACCCATAGCCATTTCATTAAAGGAATATAAATTTGCAAATCTCTCACCATTTTCGTTCCTTCCCTCCAGTCCATTTCGTCCCATGATGTCGTCATACACGGTATTATGCATTTTGACTTTGGCATCTAGATCTCCCTTCAGAATGGTCGTTTTTTCCCGGATAGTTCTTTACGGTGGGTTGCAGCCTCATTAAACTGATCTTTATAATCTCCACTACTCTCATTGGTGTGCAAGTAGCACTGGATGACATTCATCGTAATCCCTTCCTTCTTCTAGCCGTAAGGTTCCCATCCTACAAGTGTTTTTCATGCTTCTTTGGGCAACATCAGTGCAACTCTTTAAGTATGCTAGAAATTTTTTTGTTCGTAACCAGATCACAACGATAACTGTCCCGAAGCTAGTCTTTTCTGTCCAGCTTGTGTCTACGTTGTACCTTTTCACGGCTATTTGAATGGTCTTCGCCGTCTCCCACATTGTGCAGACATTCCGTGTATCTATGCTAGTTATTACTCTGATTGTCAGAAGGGGCATCTGGTTCATGGTTCCCGAAGAATCTCGGCTTTCACCACAAGGCATCGTCAGTCTTCCAAATGAAGGTCCTCCAACTCCCAGTTCAGATGGTTTAGATGATTTTCTTGATTAGCGTTTTTTTCAGCAAGGTTTATTTCTACAAGATGAGGTTGCTAACCCTATGCCCAACTTTTCTACCACGGCTTTGGACTGACACTAACCCTAGGAGAGCTCCAGATGGATTTATCACCTTATTTTAATGATGAATATCTGATAGTATACTGAGGTTTGCTTATTTTTATTTTTTTCAAAATCAGGGATTTTATGTGGAATGTTATGCAATGTTTGGCGAAGCAAAACGTGGAATTCGAAGTTTGCGTTAGAGAAAAAAGAGATTTACTAGAACCGATTTTAAACATTCTAGAACAGTCCATTCCAAAAATCCCACAACAAGATATCAGATCAATCGAAAAACTAGAATGTTTACAGTTCCTGAGGAAGGTTCTTAGCGCCACGGAGTCTACAAATATACTACCCTTGTATTCTAGTACGTCTAACGCCGTTGAAATTTGCGCCCATAATTCTCAGTAAATGAATAAATTTACATGCCTCTTACTTGTTCTAAACGACTTTTCGAAATAATGAAATGGTGATGTAAAATTGTATTATGAGCATATTTTGAAAAATTGTAAATACATACTTGTTTGTTTTTTAATACAAATGGTTGATCACCTGCTTTACACGTTGAATTCGAACATTGCACAAAACACTGTAATAGTTGTTAGTATTCATCAAGAAGCTGTTCTTGCTGGTCGAAGCTCATTATCATAGCTTGGTCATAACCTTTGGTAAAACGATTGTTTTCCGTGGACTCAAACTATTTTAGACCATTGATACAGTCAGAAACGCTATTTTTAAGCTACTCGATATAAGACTGATTTCCTATCACACAGGACCGATTTAACTTATATGCCAGTGGAAGATAACTAATAACAACCACCTTCTCTCTGTAGTTCCGTTTTCCTGTCATCGTGATTGGCTGTCCGACATTTATAGCTGGTGTCTTTCGATTCAGCGAAGCGGTTAGTAAAGACAGGTTCTAGGTACCAAAAAAACTTGTGTGGTTCACTGTTATCGTTTTGCATATACGATCAGACGGAAGCTTGACTAGAATATTGAAATAGGCTGTTTGACGTTTATCGTAGTTAAATATAGAGGTAAACCTAAAGTTACACTTCAATCAGCACTCCTTGGCCACATAGTGGTTGAGGCGTCCGAAAAACACCCCACCTACCTCAACTTATGCGACTGGATAGTATTATTAGCCCTCACATGAGTTATTTTTCGCTGCACTTCAATTGTCCAAGATTTGACTGCAGTCAAATCTCCAACGCTTGCTGAGGTTAAGAAGGCTGTTGTAAATAAAACAAAGCAACAGGACGTGACAGTAATTTGATGGGCTTCGAGTATGGCGTCCTTCAATTTATGGTTAAACTGACATACTGGGGTATATTGTTTGGGGGTATTCTGGTCTTAGTTGGTAGTTGTATTAGTTTGAGGTATGAATTATTTTAAGATAACTAGTTCTAGCATCACAAATCCGTGTTAGTTGGAGCACAACATAATGATGTGGGCTTCAAATATGTATTAATGAGTTCCTCAAATTCTAGATCATTTATCTGATTAAAAGTAGATGAACTTATAAACAGCGTTTCACTCGAAACCAATAGGTAATGTCATGGAGTTGTACTCCATCACGTTGGGCTTCGTTAGGAAGTGTCTTTACTAGTTCTAACTTTTTTCATTTTAGTGTATCCACACATTTGTAAAGTTTGAACATAATAGGTGAAGATGCCGACATTTGGGGACTTCTGCAACTGGCTATTCTTATAAGGGAGTATAATCTGTAAAATGCAATATCATAACCTGGAACTGGTTTACACCAACACCTAGCCAACTCAGAAGTAAAACAGAAAAGTTACGTATATGGAAAATAGCTAAACCTGTTGCGTACTTATCAACCTACACGATAAAATAACTCACACCTTATCACAAGCCGAGTGTACTGAGCAAGCCATCGGCTAATCTGTATTTAGGAGTTTGTTAATGTTTTAGTGTTGCATATTTAGAAGCGATTTGAAAGTCTTTAAAGTGCATTCAGCCCAACACCACTTATTTTATTTAAATTTAAAAATGTCCAATGAATCCCGTTGTATGATTGACTACGAACTTTCTTATCACAATGATGGTTTTCTAGTCTATGGATATAAGTGGATGACACGGACATTTTTTAAGTGTAAAAGAAGAGACAAATTTTCTAGTTTTTTTTATATTATTTAGTCGTTTTCCGAACTGACTTGTGTAAGAAGTTTCTGAACACAAAATTTTGTATACAGCTAACCCATATAGACGTTTTATAGAAATTATGCTAATCAAAAAACGGAATATTTCAAAGTGAATGACTAAATAGAGACGCGCTCTAACGAACCAATCCAAAAGTCTCGCAGAACCTTTTGAGAACTAATTTGACTGGGACCAAAGCAAGATGACTAAAACAGTGTATCAAAACAAACGAACAGAGGACAAATCTCCCTTACTATATGAGATCTGAAGTAACTAGGTCGATTCTTCACAATGTTTAGCTGAACACATGTTCAGTCTAAACCAATTATATTTTACCTAAGTATATGGCGATCATTTAAGTTCAGCTTTAATGTTTTTTACTCAGAAGCCTTAACTTCTAACTTATTTTTCATATGAAAGAACGACCTAGACCGCTTCATAATAACTTTAGTTAGTAAATACTAATGAACTAAAAATGAGATTCAACAAACATGAGTTCTTATAGCATTAACAGCACGTAATATGTGAGGGCTAGTAATACCAATTATCTGATCAAATTTACTCGGAAGTTACAATATCCTAACTTTTGGCCCAGTGATTGATGGGTCACAACTCCACTAGACTAGCATGATATAAATACGGAAAGCTGTTAGTCGTACGACTACCTAACTGTAGACTCTCACATTTAGAATATTCACTAGTTTTTACACTATCTAATACAGGAGACTAGTATTTGATCGCATACAAAACCACAAATTATTATATACCACATAGATTGGATTTTTTGAATAAATGTATTCAAAATTACATTGAGGTTTTTATTTTTAAAATTATAAGCGATTAATAACAAAAATTTGTTGATTCACATATAAAAGAAAGTTTGTGACGCTGATCATTAGTTGTTGTACCGGATAGAATGGTAAGTGTCACACAGGAGGTAATAAATCAACTAGGTTTTCAGAAACAAATGCATTAATGTGACTTTCAATTCGACCACGTAGCACGGTTGGACCAAAACGATTTCCTATAGATTTAAGGCATTCCGATGCAGCATTAACAGCCAACGGTAACTTGCTTTCTACTGCGGTTGCCAATACTTCCAGAAACGCATCCATATATTTTTTAAATTGAGGTTTTTCGAGATGATTACACAGCTGTACAATTACATCGCAAGCTGGAAAAAGGAAATCAAATCTTTAGAAGGAAGAAAAATGTCACTGCATATTCCCAATTTTAAGACAAATAAAAATTGAGATAAACGATACTAAGTTTGTGTAAAAAAAATTAGATGAAAAAACTTAAATAACGTGGTGCATGTTCACGAACTTAATTATTTTGTTTGCTAAAGTTACAAAACTTAAAGTATACTTGATTGATTACGTTAAATATCAAAATAGATAAAGCACTTGTGCACTGTAGTAAGATCAATCATAGTAGCAAAACAATCCATTTTCTAGGATTCTGTCCTAAGACATTTTTATCTTAAATGAATACTTTTGGTTGATTGTCTTCTCTGAGCTGGATTGTCTACTTCTCTGAGACAAGGTTACTACGACAGGCTGATTCAGCGCTCACAGAGTAGTTCACTTCTACCCTAATGTTATTTAGATCAACATTGAAAAACTACCTACTTTAGAGGATACAATCAGAGCTTTGTCAATTTTCAGAGTTTTAATATATGTAGGAATCCGTCGAATTCAAGGGTCGGAAAAAATGATTCATTACATGCAATAAACTGAAGCTATAAACGATATTGTTGCACAGAAACACCCAACCTATCGTTCTTTAGTTGCAGCTGAAATTACAGTTTTAAAGATTATGCTTACCAGTTTCTAAAAAATAAGGATAATGTGTATAATTTCGATGTTCACAACCCTTCAATAGTTGCTCAATCAAATCGTCAGTGACTCGGTTTGGGAACTTGTCTGATATTTGACCGATCAAGCGAATTGCGCCATCAGCCTCTTCCCAAGGTTCACTGGCACGTTGATGAAGACCATTATGACAACCACCACCTTTTCGACCTGAAATATTTGCAGCCGTATGTAAATATAGTGAGGAAATATCAACATGGTAAGATCGACTCTTAAAATTTATTTGTTTAGAAATTTTAGTCAAACGACTAAATTGTGATGAGCATAAAAATACAATATAGAATAATATATCTGAACAGTTAGAACTGAAATGTCTATTTTCGTGTGATCCACAATACCATAATAATACCCACCTACAATATACAAGGACACAAAACGAATTTTAAAGTCAAAACTGTCAACAGCTATGGTAAAATTATTACTGGATTGTTAAATTGCCACAAATCAAATATAATAGTTAGTCATGCAAGCCTAAAATTTATCACAAATGTGTATCACTTTAGTATTTAATACATTCCCGACCGTTGTTGCTACCTTGACGTGGTGGTCGGGCTTGCCTATCGTGATGAAGCAACTGAGCTATACTGACTGGAAAAACGGTTACTCAAGGTCCTACCACGTCAGACAGGTCGGTTGAAGAGCGGTAAGACTAAAAGCAACAAACCCAAGGTCCGAAGACGAAGTCGTACTGCTGACTTTACAGAGGTTTGACAGCAGTAAGGGGTTTCCTTCAGACAACCAGCATGACAGCGATGATGCCTTTCCATAACAATGGGGGTTAGAAAATGTCGACCCTAAAAATGCATATCTCGCCTTATCCCACGGATATCCGTCTCCATCGGTAGGGTCTCAACAACTACGGAGCTAACACAAAAATAACTCATGGAAAGATCGTGTGTGACAGACATCAAGCAGTTGTGCTCTGGGTACTGCGGTCAAGCTCTCAGGTCATTAAGACCACCTCTAATCCGATTTTCTGATCAGGTACCTCCAGAACAACCCTTCCACGGTGTGGGCAACCGGGAAGTGAAAACCGCCCTCATACCTCTAACAGCACTCAAGACCACTGTATTCATAATCAACCTTCCTCTTCAATCCCTATTATTCCTCCTACATCGACTTTCAACTTTAAATTTCCTCTCTCGGCTTCCACCTCAAGTGTCACCATAGCCAACGATTCTAGTGCGCAAAATACTGTCCCAGGTCTACTGAAACCTCGCTCCAAACTACACATTGGAGCCTTCAACGTACGAACCCTATGATTTAATACATTCGTATCTTAATGTCAACAAACAAATTATGATATAAAAATAGTTTAAAGACGATGGAACATACGATGTAGAGAAAGATGAATAATAAATACATTTGTGCAGTTGATTTCAAGCATGAAAATCATTCTCCAAACATACATTTCGATAATCACACGGGCTGCAGCTAGAAAATATGCACCTTATTTATTTATTTATTTATTTATTTGAACACATAAATATTGGTACAAGAGAGCGCCAATATATATGCGCCACACAAAACAACGGGAATTCGAAGAGAAGTAGAAAGAAAAAAAAAAAAACTAAGGAACGCAAAAGAAAAGGAGAGTAATGACGAAGAGGTACAATCAGAAGAAATCTTTCAGTTAAGGAAGACAACCACTTTTTATGAAGAAAGTAAAAGGTTACAGCAGGATCGCCACTGGCTTCTATTCTGAGCCATATCTGATAACGTCTCTAGCCACTGTGTAGCACCATCTCTCGGACCCCAACAAGGGAGTCGTGAAGGACCAACACAAGCCAGTCCTTTGCAGCTTTCTTTCATGCCACGACACCATGTCATGCACTGACCACCTCTCCGCTTCTTCCAACCAGTCCCAGAGTCGGCAAATAATGCACGACGTGGAATTCTCTGGGACGACATTCGGAGAACATGTCCAAGCCACCGAAGTCGGTTTCAAGATGGTGACACCAATTGAGTTATCATCTCTGTGCCCGAACACACGATGCCGAACCTCTGCATTACTCACATGGTGTTGCCACTGAATGTCAGCAATCCTTCGGAGACAGCGATGATCGAACACAGAGAGTCGTCTAACGTCCTCAAATCGGAGAGGCCAGGTTTCACAAGCATAGAGCAAAACTGCTCTCACCGACGCGTTGTAGATCCGGCCTTTTACAGCCAGACTAACATCACGAAGGCGCCAAAGGTGGCCCAGATTGGCATAAGCCGCTCTGGCTTTCACTATTCGTGCATTGATCTCATCACTCACACCCCCACCAGCACTTATGCAGCTACCCAGATACACGAACTTCTCAACTACGTCTATCTGCTCACCGTCCAGGGTGAGTACAGGATTAGAATCCTGCCAGTCTTGTAGAAGTACTTTGCACTTCGAAGGTGCAAAGCACATACCATACCTACGGACACTGATTGCCAACTGATTAAGTGCGGATTGCATGCCTTGGGCATTATCGCACAGTAAGACAATATCGTCCGCATACTCAAGGTCGAGAAGTCTTTCTCCAGGCAACAGATCCACACCACCATTACTTACATTCATCAGAGCTGTTTCCAGAATGTCATCGATGGCAAAGTTGAAGAGGAATGGTGAGATTGGGCAACCCTGCCTAACCCCACTGCTCGAATGGAACAATGGAGAGAGGTGGTTGTATGCCCTCACTCTGCCTGAGGTGTTTTTATACAGGGCTTTTAGGATGTTAATAAACTTCTCAGGCACACCCTTCTTCAACAGACAATCCCAGAGAACAGTCCTATCCAACGAATCGAAGGCAGCCCTGATGTCAAGAAACACTACGATTGTTGGCCTTTGAAAAGTATGGCGGTGTTCTAACATTTGGCGGAGGGTGAAGATATGATCAATACATCCTCGACCAGAACGAAACCCAGCCTGCTCCTCGCGAGTCAATCTTTCTCGGGTTTTGAACAACCTACGAAGTATGACGGAAGCCAATAGCTTGGACGCAATCGGAAGTAAACTTATCCCCCGGTAGTTGTTACAGGAACGACGTGAACCCTTTTTAAAGATAGGGACAACTATCGACTCATTCCATGACGTTGGCACACTCTCTAGTTCCCAAACCTTTGTGAACAACGTCGTCAATTCCTTAGTCAAAAAGTCACCACCATCTTTAAAAAGAGCCGGAGGTAAGTCATCTGGGCCAGGTGATTTGTAACGCTTCAAGAGTTGGAGTTCCTTGCGGACTTCCTCCTCATTTGGTGGATCAGTCGTCACCGGCCATGGAGGGCAGGACAGTCTGACCGATGTTGCCGGAGCAGCAGGCCAGTTGAACTGCCCTTCGAAAAATTCTGCCCATCGTCCAAGACGTCGATGGATGTTAGTGATTGGCATCCCATCATCCTCGCAGATTGTTTCACTCACACCAGACTTCTTGCTGCCAGTGGCTCGGATGAGTTGGAAGAGCTTCCGGTAGTTACCAGATGCAGCTGCTGCTTCCAGCTCATTAGCACGCATCGACCACCAGGCTTCTCGGTCCTTACGCAAGCTTTGCCCGATTTCCTTACGTAAAATCCTTCGTTTATGGTCAAACTCACGGTTACCCGGAGTAGACCGACGGGCTTCAATGAGTTGTAAGGAACCAGAAGAAACCCAGTGCTTAAAAGCGGGACGTTTCGCAAACCCACAACTGACTGTTCCCGCCATTTTCATGGCGTCATGCAATTGCAACCAATGCTCATCTATACTTTTCGGTGGAGTGGTAGCTAGCCTAGAGGCTAGCTCGGTTCGATACTTACTTGCAACAGAAGTTGCAACCAGCTTGCTAACATCAATCCGTTGATGGCGTTCACTTCGTTGTCCACTGAAAAGTAAGGCAAGATTGGCGCAGACCAAGGCATGGTCAGAGTCCAGATAGGTACTCCAAAAGGAGCGGCAGTCTTGTACACAACCACGCCAGCGGTAGCTGATCGCGATGTGATCAATCTGAGTCCAGGCTTGAGATGCAGAGGGAGGACGCCAGGTGGCACATCGGCGATGACTGTGCCGAAAGTTAGTGCTAGCCAGAAACAGGTTGTGGTCTGTGCAAAGTTGCAGTAGACGGTCCCCGTTATCTGACCTGCGACCAACAAAAAATATGCACCTATCAACACAGCTCTTGTTCAACAGTAAATGGTATCATAAAAATTTTAATAATATTACAATTGTAGTGAACAAGAACACCATTGGGGACAATCGAATGTATTTAACACAAAATTACAGGACTTGTTGATAAAATCTAAAATAAAGTAAATGCTTAATTTGCAAAATGTCCATCGACTGTCTCAAAATGGCTCAGACTTCATTGTTCTTGCACATTCATACAAATTTCATTCTGTTTTTATTCTTTACTGTTCGATCCTCTTGTCTCTCTGCTGCCAGACCTTCTGTTCACGACTAACATATACTACTTATGTCAATATAAGTAGCACACACCACACTATTAGTTACTATTATGGGGAAAATATTTTTTGTACTCATGTAATTTTATTTTCTAAAACGACATTACATGATGCAGAAACTAAGTGCTAGAGCGAATAAAAAACTATATGAATTTAATATGTTATTCATTATCAGTGATTGAATAATACCCCTGAACTACTGCACTACACTCACCAAGACATGCAGATAAAAAAGACAAAATCCTTCTCTGGATTTACTGCTTTTTGAGAAAAGTCGTACTGCTGACTGAAGAGGAGTGTGACAGTAGTAAGACGTTTTCCTCGGGCAACCAGCATTTACAGCGACGCTGCCTTCTCACAACGAAGGACGGGGTTAGGAAGGGTCGACCCTAAAATTATCGAACCTCACCTTACCTCACGGATTCCCATCTTCGGCGGTAAGGCCTTTTGAAGAACAGAGCTAACACGTTAAAAACTTCCCACAAAAACGCCTTGCGCGATCGGCCTCAAGTAGTTGTCCCTTGGGTTCTGTGGTTACGCTCCCAGGTCGTTAAGACCAACAGTAAGTTAACTTCCTTTTTAGGTTCTTCGAGAAATACACTTCCACGGTGTGGGCAACCGGGAAGTGACATCAGCCCTTATACATCTGATACTGAATAAATAAGTATGAAAATATTAAAACTACTGATTGAACAGATGAAATTTCCGGTCGCTAGAATGTTTATCAAGAGGTTAACGCGATCAATGACGTGGTCGAGTGGATAGCTGATCATAAGAACGAATTCTTGACTGGAGACCCCGAATGATTTGAAATAAAAAAAGATTACTAGCCAAGTGAATGGGTATTTATCCAACAAAATAACATGCCTATATTCAAAATATGAACACATAAAGAACAGTAAAATGTCATGACTGTGGAAAATTAGCCTACAGATCACTTATTCTCAAACGAATAAAGACCTGTCTGTTAAACCAAATTTTCGGGCATCGTATCCAAAACTGATATCTGTAAAATTAGACTTACTTAGAAAGAGTTATCTCAAAGAGTGATGAGTAGTTAACATACCTTTCTGAAGCTTCGGGGCCAAGGATCCACAGGAGTACATAACTTGATCAGTATGACGACTATCATGAGCAGCATCTCCACTGTGAACAGTAACATGAGATGCTCCTGGTCCCTTCCCAGATACACGACTAGATTCTGCACCATGAGATTCTTTAGGCTGTTTGCTTAATCCATCAATTTTCTCTACGATATGGTTGATATAATGCTTGGGAAAATTGATTAAAACCAAAATAACCGTATTCATATCCAATAGTATGATAATGAAATATACAGATTATTAATTATTCTAATTGCCTAATTCAGACCACTGTTAGTGAAAATATGGTGGACAATTCAAAGTGTGGAAACAAATAAACCTAACAACAATATATGATGCAGATTAGCATGTTACTTAACTTTTTCACAAACAAAAAATCAAATTCAGTTTTCACCATTACATAAAGGTATTTAGACAGCTTACACTGATACCATATTCTAATTTAAAACCAGAACATTTTGTTAAGTTCCTTGTGTTAATTTTAATCCCCATGTTAAGATGGACTGAGCAAACAGCAAATATTCCCGTTCATTCAATTACTAGATACTCATCCGGATATCAACTGATTTACACTTGTTTACAACATTTGCGCTTAATTTCTTAAAGAAATATTAATATCTCAGCTTATTTTTACCTGATGAAAATGTCCGTCAGATGTAGCTCAAATCGATTAAGCAGATTCAGATAAGTAACTAACTGCTGAAACGTTTAAAGAAGAAGTGTACATAGGTGATATCTGTGTGGGAATTAAACGTACCTTCAAGTTAACTCCACAAATAAGTTACTGCCTTAGTAATAACTTGTTTGATAGCACAAGTTCCTCCGCTAGGATCTAGTTAAACAAATCTTGGACAGATCAATAAACAAAATAAACAACCTAAACTACGCACCATAGTACAATCAGGTGGTTTGACATTCAGCTTTGTAAATACATATTTATTCTGAAGATAATTGAGATATCCACAAGAGACAATCAAGATGAAAGATAGGAAAATATGAAAAGTACTTCAAATGAAACTATGAGTGGCGGAATTCAAAAATATGGAGAACTTTACAAATACCACTGATGGGACTGGGTGATAGTTGCGCTGAATAAAGTTGAAAATGTGAAATACTGTGTTTCCATTTAGTGCACAAAGTATCGTGCTCGCTGAGAGATTTGAAGATTCAAAGTTTGGTCGTATGTAGATTTATGGGTCACAAACTAGGAAGAAAGTGATTGGATGTGTCTTGTTATTTAATAGTACCCCAGTTAATATAAGCTTACGATGAAAACTAAATAAAAGCTGATCGATCTCCACTAATCCCTTATCTAAAGATATAAATGCTTGCTACACCAAATAAAAAGTTTGATAAGATTAGTGCAAACAAGTTGGACGGAAGATATTAATACACCCCTACAAGTTGAAAATACCAAACGGAAATTACGTGCAAAGCCTTCAGTTGTATTCGAGAAGCTGGACCTAGTTTCAGCTGGGAAGAATGATATGACAGCAGATCAAAAAAGGTAAAATTAAGTCAATCGGTAGGATATTGTAAATACGTGTCCACATAGTAAGTTAATGATTAGTTGGTGTTTAATACTATTCAATTCAAATTATAGAAATCTGGTCATTAATATGACTGTAAATAAATCAAAGGAAAATTAATGTGATGAGATAGCAGTTTGACTTATTTGGGTTGATAAGAAATTTCTATCACCAGTATATGTTCTTACTACTACTCGTCGCTGGATTTCAAATTTTAATACCAAGCACAAGTAAGTTCAGCATTTGGCAGACATAATAGAAACAGGTATCACGGAACATTCAAACATCAATATATGGACACAAAATATAGAAACAGAAAAAATTACTTGGAATAAACTTTGATCACCAACTGATTTTAAAATCGCAGCAATCGATTTAGCTGCACCATCACGGACTGATGGAATACTATCACTAAGGTTTCGTAAGAATTGTGTAGCCATTAAATTATCGTAGCCAGCCGCGCGTGTCTCATTAGGAAAGGTGGAAATCAATGAACCAAGTGCAACACAGGCCGCATCTCTTACTGGCCAACTTTCATCTCCAAAGCATACAATTAAGGCATCGAGCAATTTACTGACACACGGTAGTAGCAAATTTGGATCTAATTTAGTTACAATCTCAGCCATAGACGCACAAGAAGCCTCACGAACCTGAATATAAAACAAAAATCTGTATCAGAAATCTTTAATACAAACTGTGAAAATGCTTGATTGTGGATCTGCTCAAGAAACAGAATAACAGATGTTTATTGACTAATATTTCAGTGAAGTATAAAATACGTATTAAACTCTATTAATAAATTTAAACAATGATTGGAACAAAAAATCTATTCATATCAGTATAGTCTTGTGAAGACAACCATTGAAAACCTGGTAGCATTAGACGACCGTTTTATCCTAGCATGGGACTCAGAAGTGTAAATTTACTATTCCGCTATTGAAGATCGAACCAAAGACCTTCGTTATCGCGTTTAAATGTTAAACCTCTAGACCATTGAGCTAGGATTTAACAGAGCTAACGTCTAACTTCAATCAATGCACGGTATTGAGCAATCACCTGACATAACAGTCTCACACCCGATACGGTTGAAATTCACTAGTCACAGCTTTTCACTATAACTCCGCCAATTGCATTCAGAACCCAGTCACTGGTGAGCACATGATTACTATTTGTAAAGACTAGAATTTTCAGATTTTAAATCACGAACAAATATTTTATTTATTTGAACCCATAAATGTTGGCACATAGAGGCACCAAAAACACATGCGCCACACAAGTCACTTGATTTGTGTGTGGACTGTGATACTGCCCGGGTGTTCAGACCCAAGCAGGTGGTTTCCTTAGAGGGTCACCCCCCGAGCCTTCAACCTAAAGGACTGATTCACAAGGCAGTGGATCAACGTCAGATGTAGTCCCATGGTAGTTAATGACCAACAGTTGGCTTATAAGCCATTTGTTCCTTCAGGATCCTGGAGCCCATGTGCAAAATTGTTCTGGAATCCGGGTTTTTCAACTCCCTTAGGTGAACCCACCAGCCGGCTCTTCGTCCTCTCAATTTCACAAACAACACCCCCTCCTGGAGAAGAGAGTGAGTAGGACTTCCCTCGCAGATTTCGTATACGCGTGGCCATGTGAGAGCATTTGGAGGAGGAAGCACTCTCTCCACCCTCGGCCGTACCAGGGGGGACGGACAAATATCAGCTATTTTTATTTATTTATTTATTTGAACACATAAATATTGGTACAAGAGAGCGCCAATATATATGCGCCACACAAAACAATGAGAATTCGAAGAGAAATAGAAAAAAAGAGAACAATAACGAAGAGATTGGATTAAGGTAGTGTGATAGTAATGAGGGAACGCAAAGGTACAATCGGAAGAAATCTTTTGGGTAACTTCTCTCACTGACGCGTTGTAGATCCGACCTTTTACAGCCAGACTAACATCACGAAGGCGCCAAAGGTGGCCCAGATTGGCATAAGCCGCTCTGGCTTTCACTATACGTGCATTGATCTCATCACTCACAGCCCCACCAGCACTTATGCGGCTACTCAGATACACGAACTTCTTGACTACGTCTATCTGCTCACCATCCAGGGTGAGTACAGGATTGGAATCCTGCCAGTCTTGTAGAAGTACTTCGCACTTGGAAGGTGCAAAGCACATACCATACCTACGGACACTGATTGTCAACTGATTAAGTGCGGATTGCATGCCTTGGGCATTATCGTACAGTAAGACAATATCATCCACATAATCAAGGTCGAGAAGTCTTTCTCCAGGCAACCGTCACGGTTTTACTCTTGTGATTTGTTGCATGGTAAGAACCGTCGACCAAGAATCGAAGCAAATATCAGCTAGACCACGGATGAAAACGTGGACACACTGGACGACCGTTCCATTTTAGTTGGATAGCGGTGTGGTGGTTTGATGTTTAGGCGTTCACATATTAGACTGAGAGTTTTGGGTTTGATTGCCTGATGTGGGGTGGGGGTGCGCTGATGAGGTGCCCCGTACTAGGACGAAACAGACGTCCAGGGTTTGTAGGTTTTTAATGGTGGCCCAAGATTTTTCATAGTTTAAACTCCACAAAAGCTTATAATTTAGGGATGTTGAAAATAAGATTACTCGTAAGTATGCAGAAATATCGTAACTTTGACTCCTGTCACATTTTTAAAAAAAATAAACATTGCTTATTGAATCACTGCCATATCAAAACCTCAATCTTACTATTTCATTTAGAACTAAGAGAGTTCCCAAGGTTCCTTGTATATAACTTTGTTAACAAATGGACACTATTAAGAGGTGTCTATTAATTAATGACATTTAGAAATCGCTATGATTAGGTACTTAAACACAATTAATGTTTTATTCGTGAAAATTTAATTAATCAATTAACCAGTGTTTAAAAATATGGTGTATTTCATTTTACAACATTGAAGAGATGTTAACAGGAATACATATGTAAATTTAGCCGTTAGAAGTTTACTCATGAGTTTTAGCATAAATACTACTACGAGTGAGCAAGATCGATTTCTTTTAAAAGGAAAAAAGAAAACATATAAATCACCAATTTAGCTACATTTCTTAATTGAAGGAGTTAATCTATTGATTTTGTAAATATACACTTACTAAACTAACGCTAATTAATGGTCAAATTCACCAATTACAAGGATATATATGATATTGTACATTTGGATGTTGTTTTTACTATTTAGGAATCAGTTGTAAATCAGTGTTGGATTTAATGGTTGGTACATAAATCAATATTAATCAACAGCTGTGCACTCTTTTTTGCGTCAAGTCAAATGCCTCACCTTACTTTACCCTACAGACCCCCATTTCCAGCGGTAAATACTTCTGAAGTAGCAAGCTAACATAACGAATACTTCCTACAAAAATACTGTGACCGGCCACAAGTAGTTGTCTTACATGCATTGTGGTCACGCTCCCAGGTCATTAATCCAGTTTCCTATTCAGGTCTACCAAGAAGAAATATCCTCCCGCGATGTGGGCAAAGAAGAATTGAAAACTCGCCTCATACCATTTATAGTGCACGACATCACCTCGTTTATAACTAAACGCCATTTTCATTACCATTATCAACTGTCACCTGTTTTCGAATTCTTCATAACGAACAACTAGTGTTAACGATTGGAGCTAAATAAATTCTAACCTTTCTCCTGAAACTGCGCTTCAGACTACATGCCAGAGATTTTAACACCCGAATCCCATGTCCAATAGGAGGATAGGTGTCACTAGCTGAGAGAGCTGAGCCTCGTGCTATTGATGCATGTTGTATTTCCGAAACATGCATCTAAGATCACAGTATGGTCATTCACTTTACCTTATTTTTCGTGTATTTTGAGACATGACAACTCATGGTCTTGTCGGTAGAACTATAGCACTAAAATCAGTCTTATTCTATTGAACAGGTAACAATTTACTTTCCGGACATGCCAATTGCAGCATTAATCAGGCCTTTACCAAGTCTTTACGCTTTCGATAAGAAAGATTTCAAGGAGTTGAAAACGATGCCTTTGGGTTGTCAAAATGAATGAATAGAAAGCTGAGTGATAGGCGACGTGCAATGATACAATGTGGACGCGACTGAATTACTGACGAGCCTTCAAATGAATTAATATCCAAAGAAAAAAGTCGAAACATCTATTCCTAAAGTAAAATATACAAGATATTCGTTATGAAAATACGTGTAATCAGATGTCATAAGCGACCAGAGGATATAAATTTTGTGGGTTGTTCACCCCTCAGTGAATTAAGACATGAGAGTAAGCGCAACTTTCCCCAACTAAATATTCTTCCATAAAGCTATATTGTGAAGTAATAGAGCACTTTTAGCTTACGTATATGTGATCGTGCATTATCTTATGTAGATGTTTTAACGGAGAAGCTTTAGTAATATTGAACGACACCATAAAAATACAAACAAAGTCCACTATAACATATTACAAAAGTAGGTTACCATAATAGATTGACAACTTACCGCATGATTATCGGCATCACTTTGTTGAATGTAATAATCGACAGCTGGAACTAAATATTGACCAAGTAACTTTCGACCTTCTCCTTGAGTAACACGACACCAAGTATCTTGACTATAAATCCTGACGCCTTCAGCAACGTAATATCTGTTTAAACACATAGCTGGTAAAAGAATAGGGTAAATATCATCTCTCGTATATCCAGAGGGAGGATCAACCTCAAAAAGAGTTCGTACTGCTCTGGAAGCGGCCATGCGGACCTAAAATTGCAGTACATTTCACAAACAAAAAAACTTAAGGAAACCTATTTCGGTTGAGTAATAATAGCGAAATTTCGTACATGAAATAACAGAAATCATACAAAACAAACAATGGGTATATAGGAATACCTAAATCTGCAATGTTCATTTTAAACAGAACCATAACCTTATGTTTTCGAGCTGAATCTGAAAGTGTAGAGCTGTAGAGCAAACTCTTCCATTTTTTACTGTAAGAAATGAAACAGCGTAATTAAAACAGCGATAACTGATAAGAGGAAGCTAAATTTTTTAACTAAACATTTTATTTTGCGGATCACTGAGGGAGTGCACAGTTTATAAACAAATGTCTTGTACAAACTAAACGGAGGTACGACTTTATGGTTTTGTAGTTTTAAGTTAAGTGCATTTGCATAAAGTAGTATATCAATTCAGTTGACAAGTGCGTTTAGAAATAGGTTTCTAGGTAACACTTTTCTTTAAAGATCAGCAACAATATTAAACCAGTTAAACCGAGTGGACAGTGTGGAATAGAGGCTAAGTAGCTGATATTCAAACTTCTGGGAAACAAGATGCCTCCACAGAGACCGCGTTAACTTTATGGAGCCATGGAAAGTACTTTACTACCAACAGATCAGTTGGAGAATGATTTTCTAGCTAGTGAAGTTGGTACAAAACTTAAAATTCTCAAAAGTCAAAATATCTATGACATGCTTTGAACAAATATGAAGCCCAAAACTACACTTGAAACATCCAAATTTTCCAAGAAATAAGCTCTCATCACTAAAGATTACAACCTTGGAAATCAACGCAATGAAAATTGGCAAATATATACATACTTGACTCCAATTATCTGATAAACCCTTAGCGAGTTGAGTTGCAACGTTGATATAAGTTGCTTCCTTTGCTTCTGGCTCCGTGTAACATAAATGACGAGAAATCATTGTTGATAAAACATCATAACCTGTTTCACGAACAAAACGATTGACGTGCTGAACAGCTTTAAAAATAAGTTCCAAAATAATAGTTCTATCCACTTTAATGAAATCCTTGGATGGAAGATTTGAAACCATTTCCTGTAAACACTTCATCCATGTTTCCAAGTTTTTCCAACCTGCTGTATCATGGAAAATAGATAGAGAACTGCTGCTCAAATTAGTACTGCATTCCTATAAAAAAATCAGCGATTAAAGAAAGCAGTTAGAATTTACTAACCTTAGCTAAGTTGAGCTCTCGTAGAGATAACTCAGCTTCAGACACAGGGGCTTCAGTATTTCTTTCTAAATTAGTGACGACACCCTGAATTACAGTGGGTAAGTACCGGATGAACAAAGATAATCCAGCGTGTCGACAGAGGGAACCCATAAGTTGACCTGCAGCTATCCGAACTCGGAATTCAGGGTTATCATGACATTCAACTGCTTGATCTTCTAATTTACCGACAATACCAACATCTACCAGAGATCGATAATCGACATTGCGAAGTAGGATGATAGCTGCGGTGATCCCACCAAAGACCTGGCAAAAATTAGTAACAACAACTACTTACGTCTTCCCAATTAGACAGCCCTTCCAACTTTTCTTCTATCCAACTTGACACCAACTTAACTTCGTCAGATGTTAGTGATATGTTATTCAGCTGATCTTCGCCTTTTTCACGATCAAGCTTCTTGGGTGCACACAGAAGTTCCAAAGTTGATAAGAGATTAGTAGCTTCCATTGGCTGAATTGCGACCAAACTGGAATAAGACATTTTATAAATTGTAAGCTATTAGGAATGTCACAATGGATTTCGTTACCTCTAGTGGTGGATTTAAAGACGATTTTTTAAAAATGTTAGACAAGCGATATACCATAGTAATGAAACTAAGTAGTGTTGAAAAAACATTGTATATTTTCAGTGTCCATTAACCGTATTTTGATGCTTTTCTGTAATGAGTACCTTAGAGTGAGGCATTTGTAAGGATATTAACTAGAAAAATTAAGAATAGTTTGGGAAGTTCACAATCGTGACGAAAAAAGATAGGATCCAAACATACCTGTTTCGTGATAGGTTCCCTCAGTCCGTTTTGAAATGTACCGAAGCTACTAAAAACAGGTGATAAAACATTCCAATCTTGAGACCCTAAAAATGTACTTCGGTAGTGCAAACATTGCAAATACAGTTGAGATATTTCGTATTTAAAGATTAAGCACGACAATTATGGTGACCTACGGAGCACATGAATAAACATGGGGAACGTAAATCTTACATAGTAAAATTAAGTCATGCATTAATACATAAGATTACTAAGTTTCGAAGTTTGATGATCAGCAAGCGTCCGTCTCCTTAGACTTTAGGTTAATGATGTTTTGCTGAACACAAAAGTATAGATCAAAAGCCTATAATGGTCTTAAAAATAAAGGAACTGGGAATAAACAAATTAGAGTATAGGCAGTCATGTGACCAACCTACATCGCGAGAAAAAATCCCAAAGAAAACGAATATATGATCGGTTACAAAGGGACTGACGCTATTATACTAAGAAATGAAAAATAGACAGACTAATGCACACATTCCGCCGTCAAACCGCCTTAGACATATTAATAACCTAACTAATAACCAGCTGAGACCAACTGGTGACATAACTCCTCAGGTTACCGCTTGAACCGTTCTTCATATAAAAATACTTACGAACCAGATTCAAAACGGATGTTATCAGAGTTCGGACGCAATGAATTCATTGGATTAATCCAAACACAGATGGCAGAAACCCTATATTGTACATTACCGCTAGAGTTCGTTGTGCACATAAAGGTTAGAAAATTGTAAGCCAACAGACTAATAGATTCTAAAGCATTTTAGCTTTTTGTGTCAAGTCAGAAGCTACTTTCTGTACTAGGAGAGCATGCAGAGTAGCGTTAAGAGGGCAGGAAAAAATGTAGGCCAACGATCCAGTGAGCACACAATGAGTCTACATTTATTAGGTAAAGCAATCAACAACGACCAGAAATGACACAAGTTTCAGATTAAGACAATCTGGTAGTCGAAACGAGCATGCACATTCAATGTCGCGCAGAAACTGAATCGCCCACATAACACTACCGGTATTATAAAACGTTTGTTATTCATATTGATGTTGTTTGTCCGTTTTTGACCTTTTCATTGCAAAACAATGTCTCTCGATCAACTGACAGACCGTTGAAAGTCTATAAACACAAGTGCTTTACAAATAGAAATATTGATCTCCACGTGATGAATGACGACATTTTTACTCGCTGAGTTAAATTTATGGTTTCGATAGTTTATTATGCATTTGTAACATTCTTTGCACTTTGATAGATTTAATTTCAGTTAAATTAAAGCCATTTTCAAATGTAATTTTGTATCTGTCATCTTATTGAGTACATCGGGCTACTTTGTGTTTATTACACTCTTGGATCAAACAGTTCACGGTACCACTTCTCTGGTTATTGTATTTTTCCAATTTTTTCTGTGTGCGAGTCATTTGAAAACCTCTGGTTGATTACTGGATAGTAAAAAGGATGCAGTCGCCAACCGTCTGGCTGGCGATAACCTCTGTGAAGTTCCATGCAATACGTTAAGTGCAAAGGACAGTACCACTGAGTTCGCACGAATCTAATACCTGCGATTTTCAAACGACTTATTGAATATCTATAAGCGTAATTTTACTTGCAATGATGCTCAAATGTGTAGTAGCTCTGTAAGTTTTCTATGTTTGATACTGGCCTCATTAGTTTTACTGGACTCACATAGCTGAAGGCACTCCGTCAAGCATTAGCACCAGATCACGATTGTGTACACCGTGCTACGCACCTCTGTCAACTACTAGTCATCTTTTACCAAACGTTACTCGACATAACAATAGCTTTCCAAATACATCTTCGGACACCTTTACTCCTGATTTCTGATTTGGCTGGGTCGGTATACCCGTTTACAAAGTTGTTACTGGTTAAGGTGTTTTCGAACTACAAATATTTGTGACGTCTTTAGATGCAAACAGCTTGTTATCCGCGGCCATTGTAAACATTAACGCTGTTAAAGAGCATATCATCAAACACGACCGAGACCCATACAATGGTACTCGCTGTCGACACACAAACCGATGTTCAGTCATCACAACTCTGCTCAAAGTCGACTGTCCGGCTTATAGAAAAAGATGAAGCACTGACTTCAAAAAGGCCTTTCAGAAATAAAAACTCAAAGAGGGAGACTTCCTCGACGCTACCCTCTTAATGGTAGCAGTATGGAACTATCTGAAAAACCTAGTCGTAAGGCTAAGTGCGGTTCATGCAGGGAAAAAAACAACCTGGCCACCTTGATTATCAATGATCAGCCACAGTCTTAGTGTGTGTAGCTCAACTGTGACCGCTAATCAGGATGGATACAAGGCAAGAATAAGCAACGACCTAATGTTGTTTACCGAAATCCAATCTCCCTAAAAGTAGTTGGGAAATTAGAACCTGAACACACTAATATGTGAATCATCTTTCATGGCGTCCAGGAGAGCGAATGATCTGGGTCCAGAACTCCCGTTAAGTATGACATTGAATTGCAAAAAAGTCTACTTCGCCGGCTTATGCCTCTATATATAATTGGCATCACACTACTGAAGATTTGTGAATTAGGTAGTCAGCGGACCTCAACGCAGGTCAAACCAGGCAGCAAAAATTGAGACGCAGTTCTACAGTGTTGAGACTACCTGAAGGGATCAAGAGATGGTCCCGCAAGACCTCGTCGCACGCGGACCCTATAGAAAGGCAATAAGCTGGAATAGAACCGAAACTAAGTTTAAATGCTGAAGAGAAGAACATTAGGATTGTGAAGATTCGGGCGGTGAGCTCTCGGTAGAGGGTGACACTAAAGACACTTTAGGTAGGGCACGAATGTTCCTTGGACCTGTTGCACAAATTACCAAAGCTTGCTCAACAAGCAATGGAAGCCAGGTGTAAATATAGACTCTATCAAGTCAGATGTAATCGCCTTCACAGTAACTAGGCTGATGCAGTCTGTAAACAATTAGAAAATTTGATTTCGAAAATTCCGTATTGTTGAAAGTCGATATAACCCATGAGTTTAAATAGAGAATTAGCTGCATTAATTTGTAACACTATTCCTTTAAACATCATCTATAATATCCAATGAAAGTAGAACGTGCAAATAAGTTAGCGTGTAGCAGCATGTGATCCTAACCACAATCCTCAAAGTTGAACATGAGATAACTGGGAAAATGGACTTTCAAAGTGTAACACTAAAATAAGGTCAATAATGGTGGACGCAATAACATTCTTTCCAAATTCAATTCATCGTATGGTATGACTAGGCCGTTCAGAAGTGGTCATACTTATGTAACATCACTTTTATCATATTAAAACTATTGTTCTGTCTCTAACCTAAATGTGTTCTGCACCATATGTTGGTGATTGTTATAATACGATGAGTTAGTGTAGACAATGATGTGAACTCCACGTAAGATCTTGTATATTAGGCAGTTATATCGTGACAAATCTGTAATTTGAAGATTAGATCTACTATTACAGCAGTACAAATAACGAAGTAGACCATAATTCTACAAGCCGCAGCTTGAAATGCAATGAACAAGAGATGCTGATTGATTCGGTGTACAGGAGTTCAAATTGTGGTGTGAACGAGGTCTCGCTCGATGAATTCATAAATTGGTCTTCAAGTTGTCAATGTTTAATATGAGGAGAATTTAGTGACGTTATGACAGACTAGGTCTGTTGTGAAGTAGTAACTCAGTGAAGACAATAGTGGGTGTGTCTCTCGATTTCGTGGATTTGTTGAAGTTAGACATCAACAACGTTGGATGCCGGCCCACTGGTCTAGCGGGTAAGCGCTCGCGCGCGAGACGGATAGGTCCGGGTGTAGTGAACAGAACACCAATGCAAACAATCGAATGTATTCGACACATAAAAATACAGAACTTGTTAATGAAATCTAACAACCATATAGTAAATGCTCAATTTGCAAAATGACCATCAATTGTCTGAAAATGACTCAGAATTCACTGTTCTTGCATTTTCATAAAAACTGCATTCTGCTTTCATTCTTTATTGTTCGATCTTCTTCTCTCTCTGCTGCCAGACATTCTGTCCCTGACCAACGTCATAAAAAACTTGTGTCGATATGGGTAGCACACACAATACCGGGTTCGAATCTCGCGAAACGGGATCATGGATGCGCACTGCTTAGGAGTCACACAACAGGACGAAACGGCCATCCAGCGCTTCCGGGTTTTTCACGGTGGTCTAGCTTCAATTGACTCATGATCTTAATCATTCAAATTACAACAATATCCACAAAACCCATTCAAATATGGAAACTGAACTGTTAAACAGTTCTATTAAAGAATTTAGCTGATTCCCTAATTAAATGTGCCTCGGTGAAGTATATGATAGACACAACAGGGTACGATCAGGACTCCGAATCACCTTCACCCGTGTTGACCCATCATAAACCTCGGTAATATTTCGACTCTAGATAAGAATTATCACGCTATTCTAGTTTACATGTAATTTTCAACGTATGTGCGTCAGCTGAAAGCAGACCAAACGCTTGAGAAGAAAATTTAACAAATTTATATCTTCAGCACTCAATGAAATTCGTAACAGAACGATAATCTTTTAATAAAACATTCAGGAAGGTGTTCAAAAAATTGTATATTAAAGTTATTGCAATACATATTCCTTGGACTATGTCAAGGAAGACGAGGATCTCTTACACCATGTCCCAGTTTCGAGGTTCGCACTCGCCTCTTTGAGAAACAAACAAGGCGAGAGAGATTTGGGTTATTATTCTCTGGTGAGACGAATTGGGAATGTTGGAAAGCCAGAAATGCGTTTACCTCAATCATATGCAAAACTAGAATATTGTATGAAGAAAAGCTTGTTAAGGAGTCAAAATAATTCCCTGGGCACTTATATTCGTACAGAAACCGAAGGTCTAAGGGGTGATTTTCTAGCATAATGAAGAGTCACTTTTACTGTGGCGGTATTTGTTCTAAGGTCCTCGGAAATGCACATAAGATAACTGGGAGAATTCACGTTCAACATTTGTCACAGAGAGGTCGGAAATGGTAGACGCGGGGATAATTGAGCGAAAATGATATGGTTCGGTCATGCAGATACGGCCACAACAGACCTTGCCTTATGTATCAAATATATTCATATCTTCTCAGCTCAAACGTGCTCATCAGAAGTGCTAGACGTCGTATTGATGATTGTCATGATAGTACAAGTCTGTGTAGAGGATGATGTAAATTCCACGTAAGATCTTATCAATTAAGTAATCACATCATCACAAATCTACAATTTCGGGATTAGGTCTATTAGTATAATAGCAAGATTAAATGCACCATTATCGAAGTTTATGACATCCTGGAGTCAACATTTAACGGTTTACATGTATGAAACTAGTCATAATGTAGGCTACTGATTTCAATAATCTTTGTTAGTCGGTCGTAGTAATGACAATCATGTACTCACTAATGACCAACCTTTTAAAAAAGGTTCAAGTCGTTCCTGTAACAACTACCAAGGAATAAGTCTACTTCCGTTTGCGTCCAAGCTATTGGCTTCCGTCATACTTCGTAGGTTGTTCAAAACCCGAGAAAGATTGACTCGCGAGGAGCAGGCTGGGTTTCGTTCTGGACGAGGATGTATTGATCATATCTTCACCCTCCGCCAAATGTTAGAAAACCGCCATACTTATCAAAGGCCAACAATCGTAGTGCTTCTTGACATCGGGGCTGCCTTCGATTCGTTGGACAGCACTGTTCTCTGGGATTGTCTATTGAAGAAGGGTGTGCCTGAGAAGTTCATTGGCATTGGACCATAACCAAACAATCCTCAAAGCTGAATACGAGATTACTCGGAAAATAGATATTCAATATTTAACACGGAGAAATACCTAACGATGGAGTAGGCGGGAACAAGGAATTGAATGAATTGGAGTTGATCGGATGGCATGGCTCGGCCATGCGGGCATGGTCCATCTGAATGTTATCTTATATCTTCTACTCATATTAAATATATTGTTCCTTCTCTAGCCTAACCTTGTTCTACATCATGTATTGGTAATTGATACGATGGTGTGACTTCCACGTAAGATCTTATAGATTAGGCATTTATATCATGACAAATCTACAATTTTAGGATTAGGTCTATTATTAGAGCGGTAGCAATATCATAGTAGACCATAGTTCTACAAGGGCATACAACCACCTCTCTCCGTTGTTCTATTCAAGCAGTTCTGTTAGACAGGGTTGCCCAATCTCACCATTCCTCTTCAACTTTGCCATTGATGACATTGTAGAAACAGCTCTGATGGATTTAAGTAATGGTGGTGTGGATTTGTTGCCTGGAGAAAGAC